ACCATGCGCGTGACTGGCTCGATGATATTGAAAAAACTAAGCGTATTCTTATTTCCATGACAGAAAAGAACAAGCTTGCTGTCAAGTTTTACGATGTTATTGAGCGTCTGCAAGAACAGTATCTACAATCTTCCAACAGGACACAAGGAAATCCAGCAAATCCCACCTGGATGTCGGACATTTACTCACTCATGGTGGATTTTATGAAGAACCCACCCATAGATGAAAGTCTATTTGATATTTCAAACGATCCAATAATAATGTAAATACAATATATAATAAATGATTGCTTTTTTTTTTTTTTAAAAAAAATACTTTAAAAGTCTAAAATTGAAATGATGCAAGTTTTTTTTTTTTTTTTTTTTTTTTCAATATTTAGATTAAACCCGCTAGAAAAAAAAAAAAAAAAAAAAAAAAATCCTAACAAGGCATTACATTGATGTTACAATTATAGTCACGTGCTGGTTACATAATTTTTTTTGACAAATTTTTTTTTCAGGTTTTTTTTTTTTTTTTTTTTTCATAGAACCGGTTTACCAGATTGTTTATACCAAAACATTTACACCAAACAAATATAATGGCCACAAAAGCTACTATTAAACGCAAAGCTGTCGAAGCGACAAACGGCAATAAACGTGCTAAGGTTTCTAGCAATGGTGGTGCTTCAAAGAAGCAGGTGAAGAAACAGGAGATTGAGGAAGAAGAAGAAGAAGAACCATCGGATTCTGAAGACGAGCTTGATAACGCTGCCAGCGATGATGACGATAAGAATGAAAGCGGATCGTCCAACTGGGGCAGCGATTCCGAAGATGAGGAAGATGAAGAAGAGTCTAAAGAAGCTAAAAGTGAGGAAAACGAGGAGGGTGACGACTCTCGTCCTGAGGGTCTTTTGTCTTCTAAGGAAGCACACGCAAAACAAAAGAAGATGCGCGAAGAACGCAAAATGGCACGTCCTAATGCTGAGGCAATCCAACATGTTAAGCAACTGTGGGAAAGACTTCGTGTCCGTAAAGGTTTGACTTCTGCTGCTCGTCAAAAACTTGTCAAAGAAGCTTGGAAGTCGTCCCAAGGTCTCGTGTGCGACATTGCACTCAAACACGATACTTCGCGTGTTGTACAGACCATGGTTAAATATAGCGATGCTACCATCCGCAAGGAGATCACCGACGAACTGAAGCCTATTTTCTACGAACTGGCAACCTCGAACTACGGCAAGTACCTGATTATCAAGCTGCTGCATTACGGGACTCCTGCGACTCGTGACGAGATTTGCGAGGCCCTCTTTTCCAAGGGTGTTGCACACAACCTGATGAGACACAGACATGGTGCATATGTGCTGGAAGATATGTTCCGCTACTACGCATCTTCCAAGTATAAAGATGAAATTGTCAAAGAGTTCTTTAATACTGGCCGACGGGGGTTCAATAAGGAGAATCTGAGTCTGGCAGAGGTGCTGGAAAAGCACCCAGAAAAGCGACCAGACATGATGGCTCATGCTTATAGACGGCTGCAAGGTGCTGTGGAAAAGGGATCTATTGGCTTTAATGTCATCCATGCTGTTATGCTTAACTACGTCAAAAACATGATGACCACAACCTCTGAAAAGGAAAATTTTATTGATCTGATTACTGAGCAGATCCCTGAGATTGTGCACACCCCTGAAGGTTCTGAGACTGCATCACGGGTGGTTGCGCTTGCAACTGCCAAAGAGCGTAAGCTGCTGATTAAGAGTTTCCGCAAGTTTATTTTTGAGCTTGCGTCCGATGACCATGGATGTTTTGTGCTCATTAGCCTGTTTGCATGTGTTGATGATACTGTTCTGATCCGCAAGGCTTTGGCCGAAATTCTCACAGAACACATGCCTGGTCTTCTGACAAGTAAGTCTGGTCGTAAACCATTCTTGTATCTGCTTTTGGGACCTTCTTCACGTTACTTTTCTCCCTCGCAAATTGCTATGTTCAAAACAATCGACGAGCTGAAGAAGACTACAAGTAAGAAACCTGATGCTGACCGTGCAAGAGAAAACCTTGAGTCCTTTTCTCCTGGTATGCTCAAGACTGTGGAGGAGTATCCCCGAAAGATTTTCCAAGACACTGTGGGATCTCAAGCCGCAGTCGAGGTCCTGCTGTATGCGGCGGGCGGCGCTGAGGCTAAGCAAGCAGCATTGCAAGCGGTTGCCAACACTTTTAAGGGTGATGTGAATGCAAAAGATGAAGAGGGCAATTCTCTGATGGAGCAGCCATTTGTTTCGCGAGCTCTGCGTACGCTGGTACAGGGTGGTCACTGGAACGCGTCAAAGGGTGCTGTTGACTCTGAAAAGACTGGCGAGGATGTTGCTGCTTTCAAAACCATGTTGGCTGAGGCCATTGTCGGTGATGACGGCCAGTACGTGGTTGAATGGGCCACAGGTCCCGGCGCCTTTGTTCTTGTGAGCTTGTTGGAGCACCTGGAAAAGTCTAGCGCCGAGTACAAGGCTCTTCACAAGGCTCTCAAGAAGGCTTCTAAGAAAATCTCGACTGCCGCTGCAACAAACAAGGGAAGTAAGATTCTTGCAGAGTTGATTTAAAAAGAAGAACGCAAAAAAAAAAAGAAATAACAGAGAGGGGGGAATTAGTTATCTTTAGAATTATATTTACAAAAAAATTTCAAAAAAAAAAAAAAAAAAAAAAAGCAGTCATTTCAGTCATATCAGTCGTTAAAAAAATTAGTAGAGACCAAATCAGTCAATATGGCGCCATTTCAACATTATTACTGTAAGTTCCGTTCATAGGACTGTAGTCATCATAAAAAGACATGCCTGTCGTTGTATCTGGAGGACCCGCTCGGGAAACTGTGTTTGATGAGTTGCCGGTGCCATCATCATTTGCGGGATCATTTTCCGGGTCACTTTCTGCAGTGGCAGCCGCATAGTCGAATGCGCCCATTCCTATTTCCAAGCTTTGGGCCCGCGCATCGGCTGAAGCTGTGGAGGAGGTTTCTTGGGCATTTTCAATATCGTGAAGGTTAGCAGTTTGGTATTCAAACTGTTGCTGTTGTTGCTCTTCTTCGGATTTGATGGAAGAATCATTCATTAAAGCTGTCAGAGGCAGACCGCCTGCAGCAGCAGCTGCTGCTGCATTTAACGCAAGATCGTCGTCTGGTGAGGGCCCCGACTCAGCGTCGATTGGAATCATTTCATCGCCAGTAGCAGCAGCACTTGCTACAACAGCTTCGGCCTCAGCAGCAGCTGCCTCAGCAGCGGCAGTAGCTTCTGCTGCAACTCGTTCTTGTTTTTGGCGGTGCTCACGTTCCTGCTTAAGGTTTTGTGCTTGGCGGTATTTTGTGAGGTAAATTTTCAGGACTTCGGCATAGTTTTCAAAGCCCAGAGACATCATTGCAAAGAGAATATCCTCTCCGTTAACGGTTTTTCGGCGCTCAGCACAACATTTTTCAGAGGCCTCAGAAGTGATGAAAGAAACAAATTCAGAAACACATTCTTGCATGCACTCCTTGGCCTCCTTGGAGATTTTGGCGTTATCTGGCAACGCGTTTTTCATAATTCGTGACACGTTGGCTATCGGGAGCCACTTGTCCTGTTCTCTGAGTTCGTATTCGGCCATGGTATTTTAAGATATTGGATAGTATTGCTGGCTATCGATGGCTGTTGTTGTTGTTGTTGTTGTTAAAAATGAATATATATATATATAAATATAGGTAAGCGGAAAGAGAAGGAAAAAAAGGAAAAAGGGGGGAGTAAAAATTTTAGGGCAATGCGGAGAGCGAATTTTTCAGCCTGAATCGGGGATCTTCGGAGAGGTCTTTTTTTTTTTTTGGCCAAAATAAAATAAAATAAAACAAAAAAGGCGCCACAATGGTGATATAAGAAAAAAAGAAGGAGAAGGAGAAGAAGAAGAAGAGGAACAAAACTATCTACAACTTGCTATTTTAAACGATGTTGAAGGGAAGAGTTTTTTTTATTTTTTAAGGCGGAGTTGCTGTTTCCTGGTTTTTGAAATTCTTTGGGGCTTCGGTGTTGTTGCCATCGTTTGACTCGTGTAGAACTACTGATTCGGGTGTGAATTTCAAATTCCAAAAAGGCTCTAACCATTGATTAAAAGGATTTCATTTTCAGATATTCAAAAGAAATTGTCCGATGTTTACTGCAGAGTAAGAAGATTTTAAAAAAAAAAAAAAATAAAAAACGACAACTTCTGGTACCGAGACCCGAATAGAGACCCGAATCACGTGCAATATGAATTAAATGGGTTAAACTTGGCGGTTTTTATTTATTTATTTATTTATTTATTTATTTATTTATTTATTTATTTATTTATTTTTTTTTTTTTCTGCTCCAAACCTCCTTTAACAATTCCAGTCTTATTGTTCACTCAATAAACAATAACGACAGCTCAGCTTCAGCCTCTGATACTGTTCCGGTCTCAGATCTTAGACTTTAGGTCATCGTAATATCTTTTAATCATAGTGCAACATTTCTAATGCTGTGGTTTTAAAACTTGTTTTTGTTTGTTTTAATTTCAATTTTTTTTTAAATTAATTATATATTTTTCATAAACAAACAAACCTACCTCGATCAAGCTCATCTGCATTTACTGCTCGTTTCCATGAAAGTCACCGTCAAACAGTGGAATGCCGTGGCCGCCTGGAAATGGCATGCAGCCGACGACGAGCTTTGCGGTATTTGCCGAGCCAAGTTCGAGGCCACTTGTCCAACTTGCAAGTATCCAGGCGATGGCTGCCCCTTGAGTAAGTTCTGCCAACCATTGTTATTCTTACTCTAATACTTATTCTTTCCTAGTCATTGGTGCGTGCAACCATTCTTTTCACATGCATTGTATGCTCAAATGGCTGGACACTGAAACCTCTCAAGGTCTATGTCCCATGTGCCGCCAGCCTTTCAGTACAGCAGATTAATACCAAGAACATATAACCTATGCTTAGATACGCATGTATAAATACATTGGTTTCTAGAAACAGAAAAGAAAAAAAAAAAGAATCTACTTATACTAATAATATCCCTGCTGAGCTGTAGGCGCTGCAGCCGGCTTAGTTTCCAATCCTCCTATCTCATCATTGAGAAGACTGGCAGGCGGAACCCATGGTTCTTGAGGTTGTACTACCTCTCGACCCGATGGCCACTTTTGTACAACAGTCTCAGGCCCGGGCACTTCTTGAAATGAAATTCGATCATTCTCTGCAGTGTACCGTCGCAGCATATCAGTGATACGATCCCGAAGAAGTATCTGAGCAGTCGAAGAGTGGCTTCCTCCATCGCCGTTTGTAGTGTCTCGTGCGTGAGTTAGAAACCCCACAGCCAGCCCAACGTTGTTGTTATTATATGCCGCACCAGCCATAAAAACTTCAGCAGCTGCAATACAATACCGCTGTTGGCCATCCAGCCACCCTAATAGTGGACTTTGTGCACCCAGTTGTTTGAGCGCAGCTGTCTTGACATGAAATCTTTTAAACCGTGATTTGCTATCATCATTGCCAGCTGTGCTTCCCGAAGCCAATCCAGCAATAGATGCTGCACTTGTAAACATTTGATATGCACTCGCAAACTTTTCTGCCGCAAATAATGATACTCGACTATACAGTGTTGATGATTCCAAGCTCTCCTGCCGTAATACTTTATGCACCATTGCCATGTGTAGTGACCCAGATACAAATGTTACAAATCCACCTAAGACTTGAGCAGATAAATCCGGAATAGAGGCAAGCCCATCTTTTGGCATACTTAATATATACCGAAATACTGATTCTGCTCGGCGCAAATACCCAGAAATCTGTTTTAGACGGTCAGCTGGTCCGGTTTCCGTATCATTTTCCGCCGTAACAGGTGCGCTAGCTTGAACTGCTTCAGCGGCTGCCATATAGGCTAGCGCATATGTGTACAAAACCATTCCACGTTCGTACTGCAAAGATGCTACTTCCACACGGGGTGGCTCAATCAGAGTTGTACGAGGGGAAACGCTTAATGCGCTGCGCATTGGCAATCGCCACGATGGAACCAATGGTGACACAGCAGGCTCAATTTCACCAGTTTCTAAGGCTTGTAAAATTGTAAATAAATATGGAATATAACTATCAATGGCCTTAAAAATGTTAGAGTGAATAATACAAAAAAAAAAAATTGCATTCTCCTTAACTTACATTGATAACGGCAATTACGTCTGGTGTGCTAGACCTTTTGGCTTTTTTCAGAGTATCACGCACAAGTGCACGCCGTGAATCCGCATCTAGTAACAACTGACGATGCTCAATAGATCGCAACTGACTTAGAGAAAGGTTTCCTGTAGTTGGTAATTCAAATTGGTAGCAGAGACTCATTGAAAATGGTTGTATAGCAAAATATCACAAAAAACAAAAAAAAAAAAATTAACTCTCTCTCCCCCCTCCTTCCGCAAAACTGGAGAATTAACCTAAAAAATATAAATATCACGTGACGCATGAAATCGGAAATAACTAAGATGGAATTGATAAAAATAAACCTAACCCATATAGATGAAATTGATAAAAAATTAGTTTTCAGCCAATCACAATTAAACTCCCAACCGTTTTAGCGAGACACTCGCAACCGCCGCCCGCGGCTCCTCCCGCCATTGCCAACGCGCACGACTCGTCCAGCAACGGAACTCCCCGCCGACGATATGCTTTGAGCAAAAAACTCGACACATATATATACTGCATAGATAGACCATTAATATTCAAATACCCCCTTATCATGGCGACAAATAACCCGCCAAAGCCTACAATTTATACGGCTTTGTCTCTAGTTCCTGATGTATCTATTGACGACACAGATGTCCCGGACTCTGTCACAACCATCGAATCATGGGGTATGTTATATCGTTTGATATCTCATAAACTTTTCTAACTTCTCTAGACTCCAGTATATACATTGGAACGTCTCAAGGCGAGGTTTTACATTACTTTCGTGATGACTCTTCTGTGAGTATTGTTTAATTTTTTTTTTTTGTCTCGCCTTTACCTTTTTGCTAAAACTAGATAGACAAATCTCTCATATATCCTAGCGTCGCGGCAGCGTACACACGCGAAAAAGGTCAGACCGGCATCTAAGATTATTGTTCTGCCATGTATTTCACGCGCCATCGTTCTCTCTGTTTCGACAGCTTCAGTCTTTACACTTCCAGAATTTGCCCCTGTAAGCGGCATAGGCTCTCTACGCGACATTCATGATATTTGCCGCGACTACGACGACCGTTCAATCACTGAAGAGCCCTCAGCGACATCTGATGGAAAAAATGTACTTGTCACTGTTTTAACGCGTGCTTCCATTCGTTTTGTCCGAGTTTTTCCAACTGCTCTCAAAGCCGAGCGCAAAATTGATTACCCTAGCGCACTTACTGGGTTTCAACGCGCAAACTTTGCCGTGGTGGCAAATGCATCATCCTATGACTTGGTGGACTTGGAAAACAACCAGAAAATACCTCTTTTTGAAATCTCATCCGGAGGTGTTGATAACGAAGATTATGAAGACCCTCCAGAACCAGCTCCAGAATCAACTAAGGAAGACACAAAAACAGAAAACACTACAGAAGATGCCACCACTGCACCTACTAACACTGATACTACTACTACTACTACTACTACTACTACTGCTGGTACTACAACCACGACACCTCAAGACCCTCCTCCACCAAATCCAGAAAATCATAAAAAAACACCCAGAAAACTTAAACCTTTGATATGCGCTGTAGGTACAAATGAATTTTTGCTTACAAGTGGAACAAAGCTTGCGGAGCCAGCCATGGGTCTCGTAATCAATACTGAGGGAGACATTTCTCGTGGTACCATTGCATGGCCCAAATACCCCTCCTCTATCGCTGTTGACTACCCATATGTCGCTACAGTCATTGACTCTGACGTTTTGTTTTACTCTCTCCACGACCAAGACCTAGTTCAAACTATTTCCTATCCGTCTCCTCCACAGGTTTTTACAGTCACAGCTCCTATATCTCAGGCATATGCGCCTCTTGCCGATAAAATTCGCCAAGTGCCGCTAGATGAAAGTCCCTCGCCAAGCTACAGTGAGGAACAAAAAACACGAATAGAAAAAGAACGCACACAAGCAGAAAAGTTATCCATCATTTCTTCGACACTTTTTGTCTACACCAAAGAATCCGGAGTACAATGCTTATTATCATCACCTCGCATTTTCCATTTGGAAAAACTTGTTGAACAGAACCGCATCGATGAAGTTCGAGAAGAAATAAAAACAATTGAGGTTTCCACAGAGCGTGCCTTTATAGAGCTTGAATACTTGGGCTTACTTGTTGGAATTGGTTGCCTTATGCATGGTGACTTTGACACAGCGTCTTCAGTATGGCTTGAGGGGTCTCTCGATCCTCGTTTTGTAATCTACATGTTTGATCGGAAAAGTTTTCAGGGCAATATGTGGATCTTCAATGGATTACTTCCATTTTTGGCAAATACGATGAACAAGCTTAAAGAACTGCGCGAAGCAGCAGTGGCCAAGCCAACGCCGAAAAAGAAGAATTCAAAAGCACGCAAAAATAAAGAGGAACCTAGTAGCATGCCTTCTGATGAAGTTGTTAAAGTGCTGGAGGAGTCTCGCACATATTATACTTACTTCCTTTCTGAATGGCTCAAGCGCCGTGGCTTGGAAAGTATTGTGGATAAAAAAGCTGTGTTTTATTCCCTTGAACTAGCATCTCTACAATTACATTTAGATGACAGTGATCATAAAAAGCTTTATGAGTTTTTGCGCACTGAAGTCATTGAATCTGTGGACGATGCTCTTACTACCTTGGCGAATCGCAAACTTTACTACGGCCAGTTTGTACTTCTGGAAAAGTACAATCGAACGACAGAGTTTGTTGATCTATGGAAGCAAGTTCTTGATGGAACTCTTAAAGACAACGAATTTCTTTCTGAAAAACCAGAAGCTGCCTTTGCAACATACCTACAGAATGTATGCGAAGACTGCGATCTCGTATGGAAATATGGAATGTGGCTTGTTGAGCGAAACGTCAAGCTGGGATTGCCGGTGCTGACACATAGATCTTCGGACAACCCTGTACAATTTGACACAGACGAGATTCTAGCAGCTCTTAAAAAACTGAAGAATCCACACGCATGGCGATCTTTTCTCAAGATTCTTGTCTATGAGCGCCATGACGTGTCACGGCAAGGTGATTTAGTGGAGATATTGGCAGACGACTTGACAGAAAAGCTTGCTGTTTCTTCAGATGCGCGTGACATTGTAGCTGCTTCTTACAATGAATACAAGGCTTTACCTCTGCCTAAACGTGGATACGTGGAGTTTATGCATTCAAAGATGGGTCGCAGCTTGCAAGGGTCTGAGGAAGCAGAAGTCACTAAAATGCGCTTGGACTTGATTCGACTTTTACTTAATGAAGATAGTGCTTATGACGTGCGGCAAGTTTGCACAAAGCTTGAGGCTGGTGTTGGTCGAGAGCTTCTGGTAGCCGAGCTGTGTGTTGTTTACAGTCGGCTTGAGATGCATGATCGTGTCATTACATTGTTAACGCATTCTCTCCTGGACTTTGACCAATCGGTTGAGTACTGTCAATATGGTCGACTTATTCTTAAAACTGGAGCCAAATCGTCAGCTTCATATCCCCACCCTGAAGAAGCACCAGAGTCCACACAGCGCGAGCTTTTCACAAGGCTCTTTGACGCTTTCTTGGAAATCAATGATGAAGCAACGCGTGCCGTATACTTGAGGATGTTGTTAGAGCGTCATGGCCATCGGTTGGATGCGTTTACTGTTCTTCGCAAAACACCGAACGATTGGCCACTAGAACGAGTTAGTGGATATCTTTATGGCGTGCTGCGTAATGTTACAGCCGACAAAAATGCAAGCATGGTGGCTAAAGCACTTGCGCGAGCCGAAAACAATTACGTGAGCGCTTTTCACAAAAAATTAACAACAGCTGCATCAAAACAGGCTTCTTAATATTCAAATTTTTAGATAGATTATACAATAAAGAGTTTTTTAAAAAAAAAGAATTAGAAGAGATATTTTAACGAGTTGTGAAACCACCATTTGCAAAGATGGTGGTACCAGTGATCCACCAGCCCTCAGTAACCAAGAACTTGATGAGAGGAGCAATGTCCTTGATATCGGTGAGCTTGCCATTGAGAGAGACGCTCTTCATGTACTCGGTAGATTCCTTGCTCTCCTGAGCGTAAAAGAATGGGGTATCCATAGGACCAGGGGCAACGCAGCTGACCGAAATGCCCTTAGACTGGAATTCCTTAGCAGCGGCACGAACAAAGTGCTCAACAGCACCCTTGGAGCCACCATAAGTAGAATAGAATGGGGTGAAGGCACCCAAAAGGGAGGTCACAACCATAACAATGCGGCCATCCTTATTGAGCTTTTTGCCAGCCTCCTGAAGGAAGAAAAAGGCAGACTTGGTATTAGCATCAAACATTGAGTCGTATTCAGCCTCAGAAATGTCGACAATTGGCTTCTTGAGGACCTTACCAACATTGTTGATAGCAATGTCAACACCACCAAACTCCTTGATAGCAGCATCAAAAAGCTTAACGTTATCGGCTGGCTTCTGAAGAGCACCTTGGACAATGATGGCTTTGCTTCCGAGACCAGCGAGTTCCTTGACAAACTTTTCACCCTCAACTTTATCAGCTTCAGAGTGGTAGTGAAGAACAAGATTGGGGTTACCCAAGGGGACGAGAAGGCGGGCAGTAAGAGCTCCAAGGTTCTTGACACCTCCGGTGATGATGACAGTTTTTCCAGTAAGAGACATTATGAATTGATTAGATAAAAGTACAATTGAGTAAAGAGATGACGAATTATTAAAAAAAAAAGATAATAAAAAATAAGATGATGATAGAAAAAAAAAAGAAAGAAGAAAAAAAAAATTAATTAGAAAAAAGGCATGCTTTTTATACTTTTTTTCGCGGGCTTTTCTGATTTGTTTGAGAAATGCTTTCCATCCCCCACCATACTAAAAGCATCAACTATAACCCATTATTGAAGCCGCACTGCTACAGCGGACTTAAACAATTAGGTGGAATTAAGTAGTTTGTAAATATATAAAGTTTGGAAGGTCTAAACTCCGTTCCTGTGGAGAAACCATAAGCTATCAGCACGTGACTTTGATTTCTCCGCCCTTTGGATTGAAATACTTCCCAAACAGAACAAAACCTATACATGGTATTCGACGAATAGAAGAAATGTAAAACGTAAATAATAATAAAAAAATCTACACCTGCCACTACATAAATTTAAAATTAAAAAAAAAAAAAGCTACCTAAAGTTGCGTTTTGTTGCATCTAGACCCAAAAGTACAGCCATCTCACCGGGATTTAGCCGGTTACTTAAAGCCAAATCTTGCTTCCATTTCCAATCAACCATCTCAGGTAAAATGGCACTTGATGGGGGTGTTTTCCCTTTGGAATAATCTCTTTTCCAAGCATCAGGTCCAACACAATTTGAATTAGCTCGAAGCAACACACTTACAGATTCAGCTTGCATAATTTCCGCCGGTGCAAATTTAGCTACTCGATTAGGAGGGCGAACGGCACTTGTTGTAGTGGTTTCAGGACACGGAAATGATAAGAAATAACCGCCTTTTACTTCTTCAATTTGTGTTTTTTTTTTCTCTAAAGTAGACGTATCGAAATCTAAAATTGTTGCTTTTTTGCAAACAATTGGAGTTTGACAAATTACATTGACAAACTTGTCATCCCGTGCTTCAATCCGAGTTGCGGCCGAAGAAGAAGAAGAAGACGAAGACGAAGACGAAGATGAAGACAACGAAGAAACTGTTGAACGTGAAAGTGGAAATTTGGAATCCTCACTGTCTTTGGTAAACAGAGACAATCTCCGTAAAGTTTGTGCTGATGGAGCTCCGTTAGTCGGGGGTGAAAGAGGGGATGTAATTGAGCATGATTGTGGATAAGAATATGATACAAGAGAACAGGAAGATGATGCCGAGGAAGAGGTCGATAATGGTGCTTGAACTGGCCCTGTTATCGCTTCATTTTTTTCTGGAACAGTATTTGGAGATGTTTCAACCTTCCCCACTAATTGTTTTTGGTCGCCATTTAGCTGGTCTTCTTCATTGCAAAAATTATTCTTGTCAAAATGCAATAATGCAGACGTTATATATTCAATCGAGTCTTCATCCAACAAGACCATTTCTTGGCCTACTGATCCGCATTCTTTTTCAATTGAAGAGTCTTCTAGATCCAGTCCAGAAAAAGAACGTTGCAGGTCTTTTAACCGTGCATGGAATTGGTTTAAAATCAGCACATTCCCAGAATCGTAGCTAGGCGAACAGAGTTTGGACGCTAAAATGCTGGTGTTAAAGGAATTATTAACTGGTGAACTCATGGCGGATGAATGAATCTTAAAAAAATCGTTTTCTAAAGACCCTGCAGATCCCTCGTTATTTTTTTCCCGGAATAATTCAAACCTTTTGTTTTGTTCATCTTCATCATATTCATATTCAAACTTATTATTATCATTCTCTTTTTCTTCACTTTTTTTTTCACTTGTTTCTTGTTCCCACACATTGGGCGATAAATCCTTGGTAAATGGGCGTATTGGAGCAGTATAATATGATTTTTCATTTGAAAAAGCATGTGTGGAACTCGCAATTTCTTCTGGCCCAGAAGATTCAAACCATGATACAAGCGAATAGCCTAAGACATCGCTGGACAAGCACTCTTCAGGAGGAAACTCTTTGAAAGTCTCACAGTTAAAACTGTCGTCAGGTGGATCCGCATTATTTTGCCAAATATTTTCTCGACGACAATAAGAAGAAGGTGGACGCACATAAGGTTTATGTGTGTTGAGTGGAGAACAAACAGGTGATGTTTTAGGAAAGGATAAAACATCTGTGAAAGAAAGATTTATTTCTTTAATATTGTTCTCTTCTTGTTTCCAAACTATTGGCCCTTCCTTTTCATTTTTTGCATCTTTGTTTTCTTGTTGAGAGGTCCAAGGGTCTTTTAATGGTTCAAGTTCTTGCTCTCCAATCTTTTTCCTAGAGAACTTGCTTCTCCAATTAAACCATTCAAGCTGGTAATTACTCTCTTTCTCTTTCTCTCCCTTTTCCCCTCCAACCAAAGTTTTAGACACAGATGCACTTTCTTCTCTTTTTTGGGATGGGGTCCAAGGACAAACTAACAAATCGAGAGGACTATTGGAGATTGCTTCTATAGCCACATTACTAAAATTTGTTCCAAACTCTCGTTCAAGATCATAGATTCGAGCACTCAAAATAGCTGAAGCACAAATTCCCACCTCTTGTGATTTTTCCACATTTACAACTTCAACTTCTTCTTCACTCGTTTCTTGGTCTTCTTCTTGTTCTTCATGTAAATCATTCTGCAGGCCGCATACTCTGCCCACATCACCCCATTCGGCAATACAAACGTGCGGCTCAGGCATGCTTTGCACTCCTTCTATTGTTTCCTCTTGTTCTGGCCCAACAGTCTCTTCTCCTTCTTCTTCTTTGCTTTCATTATTACCTTCTCTTTTGTCTTGCCCTTCAACATATGTGCCAATTTTACTTGATTCGGCATCTTCACCCACTGTTGGGTCTACTACTAGTGCTATATCAAAAGACAAAGCACCATTCTTAAGACTGTTGTTACTACCAACTTCAGAATCCCTTTTGGTGACATTGAAAAACTCGTTGGAGATTTCCGCACTTTGCAAGCCCTGCAGATACGCAGAATAAATTTCCAATACTTTGCTGCGGCATTCGTTTTCCGACCAATCAGCAGTTTCTGTTGCCGCGCCCAATTGTTTCAAGTCTGGAGGAGCTACATCAGTAACATGAGATAAACCTAAAGATCTGTTAATGTTTTGGGTACTTGTGGTAGATATTGTTTTTTGAGATTGGTATTGATTAATTGCTTGAGATGATGGAGGTTTGCGCGTAACCGCAGAGTAATATTTAGCGACCCTTCTGGGGGAACGAGGAAGAAGCGGAGCTGCAACCATTGCTGGTTTTCGGTGGGTGGGCTTGATAAAAAAGGAAGAGCAATAAGGAGATGAAGACAAAGATAAAGGTGAGACCGCAGTGGCTGCAGTTACAGCACCAGGAAAAATGGAAACTGGGGCTGTTGCAAAGGGTGGAACAACAGACATGGTAATAGGAAGTCGAGTAACGTGAGAAGTTAAGTAAATATTTTTAGAGGCTCCGGAATCTAATTTTTTTAAATTATCTTGTAATGAGATTTCTTCAGATGATGAAAAAGACAAGATATGAGGTTTTTCAGCAGAGCTAATGTTTCCTGTATGTGGGTCATAATACAATGATCCAAATGGAAAGCCTGTCGATGAAGTTGGTGATACTGGTGGTGAAATGGATAGCGTTTTGACTGGAGCAGAAGTTGCAGCCATGGGTAGAGCTAAAGCACTGGGGTGTGTTGGCAGAGCGTAATTAGAGATTTGAATTTCTGGGAAAGAAATTGGGACTGATTTAGATGTAGGATTGTTTGAAATTATAGGCTTTTCATTAGGAACCGTTTCAATGCTACACTCATTTGATTCAAAAACTTTTACCGGACTTTTTCTCTCTGAAACTAAGTTGGAGGCTTGATCATTATGGTTTTCTTTGCCTGTATCAAGCACAGCACAGTCTGAACACAAGCAACAAGTATTTGAAAGTTGAACAGCCTGGGCTTCAAAAGATTCTGTGTTAGTATCCGCTTGTCGTTCTTGAGATAAACCCCCATATAAATCATCAGGAATCACGGTATTATATTTGGGACGTCCAAACAAACGATGCATTTTTAATTAGAAAACAAAATTGATGGATTTGATTTTATAAAAAGTTTAGCAAAACATTATTGGGGTTGTTAATATGGGTCCCAATATACATATGTTTCCTATTAAGGCAACTAATGTTTGTTGGAGTAAAAGAGGTTTTTGAACGGGGGGTACGCATGTGCTCATGGTAACGGCTTAGGGCTTTACAATGAGAAGCTCTAATTCTTTCTTTACGTGCGGCTTTTGTTTATATAGAAAAAGTTTTTATTACTTTAAGTGATGATGATTTATTATACATTAATTTTGATTGATATCTGTACCATTTGATTTTCCCTTTTTTTTTCTTTATCTAGCGAATCCTTTTGTTTTTCTTCCAAATTAAATAATGCGCTTTACTCCAAGAATATGCTCAGCTTCGCACAAGCTCAACTTGTTACGAATTACCAGCATTTCACGATGTTTTGCCAATTGTTCGGGATTCATTTGTTTGCGCGCTTCATTGAACGCTGCAGCTGCAGCTGCTTTTTCTTGCAGCGCTGCCCGAGTTTGCTGCTGAAGCTCTTCAAAAAACTCCATATTTCTTAAAAACTTGAGGCTCTTTACACTAGGTGAAGCCTTTAGAGTACTTCCTTGGCAATGTTCCACATGTAACTGTTCAGAGTCTCGTCGTAAAAGAGACTCGGATTGTTGCTGGTTTTGTATAGAATTTTGTCGTCTTTGCCGAAACAATACAAGCAACTCGTTTTCATTCTCATCTTCTTCCTCCCCAATGCGGGGCCCTGAACTTGAACTTGAACGAGGTCTTAGGGCACTTGTTGACGCACACATTCTAGGTGCTCTATATACAGGTGTTGGTGATGGTAGTGATACCCTTTCGACACATTCTTCTTTTTCCTCTTCATCCAAATCAACAGGGGACCCTATACTATTCGATATCGATTGTGCGCGTGGCTTATTAACACTAAAAGAAGAAGAAGGAGAAGAAGAAGAGGAAGAAGATGGCACAGCCCGCCTAAAAGTCCGTGGAAGTGCTGCAGCCACAGGCACACAGATGGTACCTCCACCGACTGTAGGCATGGGGCATGTCCAATAGTGATCTGATCGGGCATTCATGACTGGCGCATGAGGGTCTTGTGGTGGAGGGGTAAAAAGCTGGGCCATTGAATGCGGCATTGGAGGTGTTACAGTAGTAACTGGTAATACTGAGGCCATTTTGCGGGGTAACGAGGACTCAGATGCAGAGGCCAAAAAAGTACCAGATGAAGCAATCTTGGGGATTTCCCCAGCGCACTCATTTTGCACGTCAGTGCAATCTGCAGTTATCGCATAAGGCATTTGTTTTGGCAAAGAAACTTTAGTTTGAGTGTCCATTTGCTTGTTAAGAGAGTGTAGAGTAGCATTTTGGAGGACATTTTTTGTCGTCGGAACCACAGTATAGTCTTCTTCATTTTCTGGGTAATCGTGTTTTATTTCGTAGATTTGGTTAGTGTACCCATCTTGGTAAATGGTTAATGGTTGGTTTGCACCTGTTTCCTGGGGAAGAAAAAGGTCCAAAGAGTTGACGCTGACGACCTGCTCTTTTGAATCAGGCTGTGAAATGGGCCGCAAGTCCATGGATTGAGTTCTATTTCGATGAGAGTTGTGAAGAGAAACAGGGTTGCGAAAAGCACAATTGTTAGGAAAAACGTCGACATTGTTGGAAGAGGAAAAAGGAAGAGTTTGAAAAGAAGAAGAAGAAGAAGAAGAAGGAACAAGTGAAGAAGACAACGAAATAGATGAGCTGTCATTATTTGGTTCCGGGTATTTGACAGAAATAGTTGGTGGTATTATGCGCAAATTTTTGGAACTATAAACTCGGGCCGAGTTGTGAGTTTTTGTGATTGATAGAATTGCCCGGTGTTTATTAGTTTTTGTTACCGCTTGTGTGTCCATTCCAACTCGTCTTCTGTGCAAACCATGTCCATTCTTCTTTGATTGTTTATTATTTCCTCTAGTGTCGTGTAAAAATGTAATCTTTGAAGGGGATTTTGCAAATTTTTGGCCATCAGGTTGAACTGTCAAAGTGACATTTGGTTTGTTGAAGGCATAATCCTGGGTCATCATGGCTTCTTTAACAGCATTATCAATTTCCTGTTTCAATTCATGAAAAGCGGCTTCTGCACGATCTAAAAAAAAAAAACAATAGTTAGATTGATAAAAGGTATTCAGTAAAATATCAAGTCTTTTTATTTTTAATTTTTTTTTTTTGAACAAAACTTACCAGCCATTGAAGGTACAAGAATACATATAAAAGCCCAGAAAACCGCAGCAGTGGCCCGCACCGCGCACCAAACCAGTCGGAGCACTCGTTTCAAGAAATTTATTTTCCTGTGCGATTTGGCAGTACTCGAGACAGCCGGACCTTTCGAACGACTGACTGAAGCCGAGTTCATTTGTGGGTTTTTTTTTGGTGAGTGAAAAGAAAAAAGAAAAAAAAATTGGCTGGGATGGATCGTGTGGGTGTAGTGCTAAATTTTTTTTTTTTTTGTTTTGTTTACTTTCTGATTGTTGTTGTTGTTGTTGTTGTATATGGGTGGGTCATTTTGGTTAGTTGCACAAATAAATTCAGTGTATCTGTCTAGTTTTCTTTCTTGTACTTTAAACACATTAAATACAGGAATTCGTTGATTGCTCCTTTAAATAAATCGGCCATTTTATGATGCGTTTTAGTCAACTGCGGCGCAAATTCGGATTTACCACTCAACTGGCCCAGAATAAAAAATAAAAAAAATAAAAAAATAAAAAAAAATAAAAAAATAAAAAAATAAAATCAAAGCTATTATTTGATTTTAAAAAACCAAAGGAATTATTATTATATTATTATTATTATTACAATGTTATGTATGAATTAATTTATTCATGCTTCTTATTTTCAAGACGAGCACGAGCTGCCGGTGTAAGATCGACATGTGGAAGAATCCAGTAGGACCAACGGAACTCATAATCCTTTTCGCGGTTATCGCCATTGATGTAAAGCCCAAGGTATTCGAGATAAACAATATAATAGTATACACCGTAACCAGTGAGAAGATGCCACCAGCCGTGGCCCTCGAGCAGGAACCCCCAGGGCATACCAATGGAGCGGCGAGTGGAGCGCCAAAAATCACAAAGATGGATATCAATGTTCCAAAGAGCGTAACCACTAAGGAACGAGGTAAGGCCAATTGCTAGCAGCATATTAAGATTTTTGCGTGCAGTAGCATCCTGGACTTCAGTGTGTGCCAGGTGGACACCCTTGAAGATGATGACGGCATTGAGAATACCATATGCGGCTTGGTGAATTGTCGGGTTACGATAATGCAGGTAAATTGCTGTAAGAGTGATTGCAGCGGCAGTAATATGGCCGGCCACCTTAAGACTGTCCGACTTGTTTTTCCCATGAGAAAACATGACCCAGTAAGGGATGCAGGTTGCGTAAATCATTGGTAATTCATCGAGCAACTGGTATTCATAGAGGAGCGACATATGGAACAACCAGCTGCCAACACCGACAGTGATGAAGCCAATGGCCACAAAAATATAAGTCTTGTCGTGTTTCTGGTAGTATACATTTAAAAGAGCAAAAAGAGCAAGTGCGACTGGATACAAAATAAATGTTAGCATGAATAAGAGATCAAAGTATGAACAGATTATGGTACATACTAAAGCCAGCATTGGTGACTGTGTTAACTGCTTCGGCAATGTATGGGCTGACAACATAGTTTTCCTCGCACCAGTCAATAGTGGAAGTTCTTTAAAGTTTATTAAAGTTAGTCAAGATAATAAAAATAATAATACAAGGTGGATGGATGGTAGACAAAACTTGCGCAACTTACGGAGTACCCCAGAAGCCGCCTTCTGGAACGGGAGGATAAGGAATATGGAATTTCATGATATTTCACGAGAAAGGGAAAAAACAAAAAACAAAAAAAAAAAAAAAAACAAAAAAACAAAAAAAAAGGGAATCAGGAATTGGAAAGAATCAGTAAGAATAAAAAAAAAACTTTAGAGTGAAAAAAAAGGAAAGAAAAAAAAAAAAAAGAAAGAAAGAAAAAGAGAGCAGAGGCTGATGGTTTTATAAGGCTAAGGCCCAAATGGTAGTAGAATGATTATAATCAAAAGAGATTAAAAGTTTATTTATGTCTAGACAGCTCACACACACACACACACACTAAAAAAATAAATTTCGCTGATCAGGAAAAGAAAGGGCGATGATGAATGTGATTGAGTCAATCTGAGAACAGAAAATAAATTGAAAAAAAAAAAAACGTGTTTTTTTTTTTTTTTTTTTTTTTTTCTGGTTAGAAGGAAAGTATCGTAGAAAAGGATGTGAGTTTAATTTTTGTATATCAGGAATAGAGTGGTTTTAATTGTTGATATTCTAGATGATAAAATAAAGAAATAAAGAAATAAAGAAATAAAGAAATAAAGAAATAAAGAATTTAAGAAATCAAAAAAGAAAGAAGAAAGAATCAAAAAGAAAGAAGTAAAAGAATTTTTTTGTTAATAATTTCTTAAAAAAAAAAAAAAATTAATAAATTTCTATTGCGGGATATTATTTCAGTAATAAATTCACCAAAAAGAAAGAATATTATAACAATTTTTTATCGGCAATAGGGAATTTTATTATTATTTTATTTTATTATTTTAAAAAAGATCTTTTATTTTAAAAAAAAAAAATATATTCTAGAAATTATAAAAAAAAAAATATTTAAAAATATTTCACGAGATTTTATATTAAAATTCAAAAAGATAAAATAAAAAAATTGAAAATTAAAATATTTTTTTTTTTTTTAAAAAAAAAAAACGTCTTTTAAACGTCACTTATCTGCCGGAGCCCTAACGGTTGTCACAAGAACATTGAATAGTCTCAATTTAACATATCAGATTAGAAAAAAAAAAGGTTCAATATTGTTTGATGAAGCAGTTTAATAAATTAATAAATGGTAGTAATATAAAAGAACTTAAAAGAAATTTTGGAAAGTTTTTTTTTTTTTAAATTATTTCAATATTTCAATATTTCAATATTTCATTCATTATTTCTTTTAAATTCTATTTTTTTTTTTGCAATTTTCTTAAATAATAACAACGGAAAAACCACATTATTGTCATTATTATATATTAACCCGTCAAGTTTTTGATTTCTAACTTTTTTGTTTTTTTGTTTTTTGGTCTTTCAAATTGTTCTGAACTGCTTGTTGCCAATCGGCCAGCCGTCCCCCCGCGTTTTTCTTTCTTTGAGCCATTTTTTTTTTTTTTTTTGGCGTATCAAAAAAAAACCTAACCCTTAAATTGATTGATTTAAATATATTGCCGCAACCATTTTCACCATATAGGAAGCTTTTTTTTATTTTTATTTTTTTTAAAATTAACAAATTTAATTACCATAAATTCCTTCATCAAATGAAAAAAATTTGTTATTTATTTTTTTTTATTTAAAAAACTTGATGATAAGGAATTATTTTTCTTAACATTTTCAAAATGTGTTTATATATATTAAACTGCCTTGTTCTTTTGTCTTTAATTTTGAAGCCAATTTTTTTTTTTTTCTATTTTTGCCGCATGATAATATGTGGCACGCCACCAACTAGAAGATTCGGATCTGGAAACTGCCGAAAGATCCAATTCCTTTTCTTTCATCATTGCCGGTTTAAGTAAACCCGGATTTTAAAAAAAAAAATAAAAAATTGAAAATAGAATTATAGAAGAAATAAGACCTATCGTAGCCCTTTACCTTGACCACGAGTCTTTAAAAAAAAAAGAAAAAATTATTTTAAATTTAATTAATTTAATTTAATTTTAAATTTAATTAATTTAATTTAATTTTAATTTTAAATTTAATTAATTTAATTTAATTTTAATTTTAATTTAATTAATTTAATTTAATTTTAATTTTTTTAACATATTTATTAAACTATTTATAATTACTATTTTTTTTTTTTGGTCATTAAAAAATCATAACTTTTGTTTTAAAAAAGGTTTTCATCATCATAATCATTATAATCATCATCATTAATTGGCCTTGACAATATCCAAAATCAAGCCAAGAGCCTTCTCAGTGTTGCTCTTCTCACCACGAATAACAATAACATTCTCATTCTTCTTGGCTCCATTCTTAGGAATGGCTACAGAGCACTCAGACTCCTCACGAATGTTATTAATGGTGCTACCAGAAGGTCCAATCACCAAACGGTATTTGGATGAGTCGGCGAGCCACAAGTAACCAGTAGTGTCGTACTTCTTAACTCTCTCAAGAGCCTTCTCAACAACAGCCTTAGCCTTCTTGGTATTTTCAGCATTGCCCTTAAATCTCCAAGTAATCACGCTGCCTGCAGCCTTACCAGTCACAGGAGTCGCAGCTTCCTCAGAAACAGTAGTCCACTTAAACTTGGCTGAAAGATCGTCATCAGTAATCAAAGCCTCACCAATGGCATCCTCAGGAATCTTGGAAATAGTATCCTTGGAAAAGGTGGTACGTCCCAAGTCAACGCGGACATCAAAGTCACTGCGAAGCTTCTTAATCAACATGCCAGAGTCAAAAACTAAGTTATTGTACTCAATGGGAACATCAACCTTAGCATCGTCAGCTGCAATCTCCAAAATTTTAGCCTTGGCCTTCTCAACATTCTCCTTGGTGCCTACAACACGGATATTGCGGTCAAGATCGCCCTTAGCATTCTTGCTGCCCTGATAAGGAACATTGATCGAAACGTTAAATTCAGTCTCAATCTCCTTCTTGCTTTGACCACCAGGACCAATAATGGCACCGTGACGTTCAACGGAAATGGGAACAAGAAGTTCAACCTGGTTCTCGCGCTCCTCAACAATGCTATTGATAATGCTAATAATCTTATTCACAACCTTCTTCTTGCCGTGAACCTTAATCTTGCTGCTGCCGCTGCCAGCCTGTGGAACCTGAATCAAACGAGGATTAAAGGTCTCACCAGCCTTGGTAATGATTTCACGCATGGCAGAACCATTGGCACCAATAAGGTAACGGTGGTACTTGGGATCAACTTCAATCTCCTCAGTAACAGTGTCCTCAATCTCCTTGACAACTTCATTAATGCGTTCAATAGCCTGCTTGATGCCGCTCTTGGTACCAACAATGGTAATGGCAACCTTGGCGTCAGCAGCGCCTGCGCTCTCTCTTTCGCCAACGTCAATGCGAGTATTAGTGGTATCCTTAATGTCATTAATAAACTCGCCATTGCGGCCAATAATGCGTGAAAGAGCCTTAGCAGGAACGTAGACAATATCACTGTTAGAATTGTCCTTTTCATACTGGACAAGCTCCAAAATCTCATCCTTGGCCTTTTCAGCACCACGCGAGGGACCGCGAACAACAACCTCATCTTGATTGGAAGGTCTGTCACGGGCAGAGTCGTCATTATCGCCATTGCTGCCGCTGTTTCCGCGAGGGAACTTAATAAAGACATCATACTTTTCCTCAAGTCTCTTAACAAACTTGCCGCCAGTACCAATCAAAGTGGCATGGTACTCGTTGGGGATGCTGAGGCGAAGAGTAACTTCATCAGCCCATCTCTTGCCCATATTGTGAATACGAAGCTTAGCCTCATCAGCATTCTTCTTAATGCCCTTAATGACACCCTGTCCTTCAGGATCAACATCAATCTTAACTCCAAACTCATCACGGAGCTTAGAAAGGTTAGAACCACCCTTGCCAATGAGTTTGTTAACGTGCTCCTTGGGGAATTGGAACTGAGTAGTGTAGCTGCTCAAAACCTCGTAGTTGCGGCCAGTCTCAACAGCCTCTTCAATCTCCTTGATAACGTACTTAACTTGCTTGGAGAGACCACGAACGTAAACAGATTCAGGAGTAAGCTCAACAGAAGCATCGGCACCCTCGGGGCGCTCATCATTACCAAAGTGAACATAAACAGGAGCCTCGTGCTCAACACCCTTGAGAATAACACTCAAAGTAGTGCCGTTAGGACCCAAAATGTACTTCTGGTCTTCAACAGGAACACTCAAAATTGAAGTGACAATATCCTTTTGATGAGCACGAAGATCATCCAAAACCTTGGAAGAAGCCAAAAGGTGTTCCTTGATCTCGGAAACACCAGGAGCAAAGTCATCCTCAGAAAGGTTGGCATCACCCTCGTAGACAAGAACAATGCCAAAGGCAGATCTGCTAGGCTCAGGGACAAACGTCTCAACGTGGTGCTCATTCTTAATGGTAAGAATGTGTTTGCTCTTGGGAGTCAAAGTCTTGAAGAAAAAGGGATCAATGTCATTGATCAACATAATACGGCTGGGAGAGTACTTGTTAACAAGGTTAACAAGCTCCTTGCGGGTTTCCTGAATATTATCAGTAACATTGCCATTGATGGAAAGGGCAACCACCTTAGTTTCAGGGTCGTAGAGTTCATCATCACTAGGGGTGGTGATAATAACACTGTTCTTCTCCTCAAGAGCCTTAAGCTTATCAGAATTCTTAAAGTAAAGAGTCAAAATTTGACTGTGCTTGATGTTACCGTCATGGGCCTTTGAAATAATAAGGTTGGTTTGTTGAATGTTCTTGCCAGCCTCGGAGACAAAGAGATTAGCAGCCTCAACCTGCGAGGCATGACCAAAGAGCTCCCATTGTTCAGGGTTAGCAGTGGGGCTGACAACAACACCAGTCTTAACAAAGACGTCATTGGGAGAAATAAAAAGCTGGTGGGCCTTTGAAATGTTCTTCATAAAGGAAGCAGAAGAAGACAAAATGTTTTGAGCCAAAGCCTCGAGCTGAGCCTTAACCTCAATGACAGCATTACGCTCACCAGAAATAACAATTGGGACCTGGAGGTTTTGGGGGGCCAAGTAAAAGTGGTCAGGAACATCAATCTTAACACCATGAGTCTTTTCAAGCTCGGCAATAGTAGCATTGTTGACACCGGCAAGAGCGGGGTAAACCTTAGAAGGAACATTGTTAATCTTCATCTTGGCCTTGCGGACACGAGAGTTGACAATAGCAAAAATCTCCTTCTTGGCAATCTCAACACCCTCGCGATCACCCTCGATAATAACCTCAACAACAGGCTCATCATCCTCATCGTCAACAACGGGGACCTCGTCCTGCTTAGAGACCTGAATTTGAGTACCACTCTTAGTAATGATGGGACGGAGGTTAGAGCCCTTAGGACCAATAATGGAAGAACGGGAAGAAGCAGGGACCAAAATAGTCTCAGAAATGTGGACAGTCAAGTCTCTAAGAAGATCACGGCGAGCTTGCTGAACATTCTCAGCCTTACCCTTAATGATAAAGGTAGAAGCGCCAGTCTGCTTAGAGGTCGAGCAATTGATAGTAACATTGTTCTTGTTAATGGCTCTGTTGAGGACATCAGCAGGAATGTTCTTAGCTCTGGGACTACGCTCCTCCACAGAAAGAGTGAAATTATCAGTGACAACATGGGCCTTGGGAGGAGCACGAATAACCTGAGAATGAGGCTTAGGAGAAGCAGAGCCGGTGGCACGGATGGGCTTAATGGCAGGGCCCTTACCCCAAGAGGTGTTTGCAACAACGGGAGCAGAGCCACCAAGCTTGGGGAAAGCATCAAAGGAAGAAACGTCAATTTTGTTAGTCTTCTTCTTAGACTTGGGCTTAGAGGCAGCAGCTGAAGCAGAAACGGGAGTAGCATCGGCGGAATCATCGGGGACCTCGTCAGATTCAGCATCAGCATCAGGGGCAGGCTCGGGAGACTCGCCGTCAGAAGAAACAGGGACAGACTCTTCATTAGCTTCCGAGTGGAGATCGGATTCAACAGAAGGTGAGCTTTCAGCGTCAGAAGACTCGGGAACAGAATCGATGGCAGCCGAGTCGATAGCAGAAGCTTCGTCGGCAATTTGGTGTCTAGCCATCAACTGCTGGGCCAAGGAGGAGGAGGTGGAGTCTTCGAGGGTAGCCATTATCGAAAAAAAAAAAAAATCTTGAAAAAGATCAAAGTTAGAGATTCAATTTAACTTGGGGTATATATAAAAGATAAAAAAAATGAAAAATAACATACCAACGGGAGGAAACGGAGACAGAAAAAAAAAAAGAAGAAGAAAAAGTGCTGGAAATCAAAATCCTATTGCGTGATAGTATATGGTACTATATGTAGTGTCCTTTAGTCAAAAATTTTGAAAAAAAGAAGTTGAAAATAGTAAATTTTAAAATAAAAATGGACTAAAAACAACAAAGATGGAGAGTTTCTTTGGGGTATTTAAAAGTATTTTATTGAAAAATTTGGAAAAATGTTTGAATTTTGTAAAAAAAAAAAAAAAAGAAGAAGAAGAAGAAAGAGAGAGAGAAAAAGGGGTGGAATGGGATCAACTATAAATAATTATTTTTAAATAAATAAAAAAAAATTATTTTTTATAAATATATATATATATATATAATTTTTTTGGTGAAAACCACCACGTAAACCTTAAAAAAAAATTATGAACACCGCACAGCTTGGGAAAAGTGCTGTTGCTACATACAAGAGGTCGCCCAACATCCCGGCCAACCCTCAATATACTATGCTTTTAGGTAAACAAATAAACAAATAAACAAATAAACAAATAAACAAATAAAGTACAACAAGTACAGCAAGTATAGCAAGTACAGCAAGTATGATAAGTCATTTGGGTCTTTTTGACTCAGCTCTTCATGCAATATCTACTACTTAATAGTTCTTTCATGGCTTAGAAAAAGGGTTCTTTGCATAATTGCGGGTTCAACATTTATAAGTATAATATGAGTATAATCCTTATAGAATCCCATTCGTTTTTAAAAAATTTATCTTTATCTCTCAATTTAACCCCCTCCATATATTACTACTCTTATGAAAATCTTTCAATTTTTAATCAAAGTTTGATAATTTGAGCCAACAAAATATCTGTCTTTTTTTTTTTTTTTTTTTTTTAGATTAATAGTAGAATTCATTAAAGGTTAAAAAAAAATTAAACGTTTCTAAACACCAAACTGGTCCATTATTTTTTTTATAATACTTTCTGTCAAATTCTCATGGCAAAAAAAAAATAAAATAAATAAATAAAAATAAAAAAAGAAATAGAAATAGCAGGTGTCCTGTGTTTTAATAAATATCCGGCACACCTTCCCAATCATGTTGTGCTCTGCACTCCCAGTAGTTGCCCTTGTAGCGCCAATACTCTTGACCAGACAGAGGGTGTCTCACTTGCTCAAACCAAAGTGGTGAATAACTGACACCCTCAGCCTCTCGTTTACGACGAGCGTCACGTTGCTTCTCTTCTACTCGGTGCTTGTCATCTGCTGCATCATCGTACCGACCTTCCTCCATGGCCCGCTGATCGGGTCTAAATCTTGTGTCTGTGGATGCCAGCCATGGAATTAATCTGTTGGGAATGTCATTCAATGTAATTGCAAAAGCAGTCAAATTGAACGGCGCCTTGGGTCTGGGGTTCACCTTCCACAACAAAACACGGTTACTTTTCTCTCCAAGATCACCAGCCTTACCATTGCTCACTAACTCAGCTTCTCTGCTCGCAAGTTTCTTGCCAAAAATCTTGTCGTTCCAGCGTCCACCCACAATCCATTGAGGATTCTCAGCCTTGTCAAATACTGTACCACGCACCTCGTAAGCACCATCGCTACGCCAGCCACGGGCCTTGAACTTTAAGGTGCACTTGTACCCATTTGTATAATTAATAATTTCCATATCACCATAGTTGTCAACAACAGGGCTTCCCGTAATAATACCCACAACCGATGACGTCACCTTACGGAACGAGTAAACCTCTTCTTCTGCGACATCATCGCCCTTGTTGGGACGTAATGTAATGTACCACAAACCAAGGGGATTAATGTCAAAACTTCGTCCGTAAAACTTACTCTTGACATTACTAGCTCCGTAAAAGTCCCAACGAGGAGATTCGGCCATAAGAGCTCCAATAGGAGGATGGTGGCTAACCTGCTCAGAAAACATGCGGTATCCGCGATCAGGACGAGCATACTCAAAAGTTTCACCTAATAATGGGTTGAACGGCTTAGCAACACGTTCTGTGGTGGATGAGTATGAAGATGCTGCAAAAGCGGCAATGTAAGCCATCCGTTCACCAGCATCACTAACAGCAGCAGCAGCCTTGTCAAGCAAATATGTGTATTCCATATCCTCGGCAGAACGTTGTAAAAGATTGGTACATTCGTTAAAAGACACAGGCAGTGTCATACGAGTCATATCTTTACCGATGAGGTTCTTAAGAACTCCCCACAAACTAATCTTTGGTCGGTCATCACCGTCCATCTTAAGACGCTTGCGAGGCCCGTCTTCATATCCAGCAAAAGAATTGTCTTTGACAATATCTTCAAGCTTCTCACGTTGCACTTCAGTCAAATTATAAGTATCCTCATTTTCCAAAACACTAGGAGCAACACTTGAAGAAGGAGGGGAAACCTTCCCCTCCACTAGAGATGGTGCATAAGCTGATGCAGTTGTAGCAGGTACCTCAGCAGCCGCACCAAACCCGGGTTCAACAACCTTTTCTTGTGTTAAAGGTTGTTGTTGAATCTGAGGCTGAGTTGCAAGCATTGATTCGTATTGTTGCGTCTGTGGAACTGGAGGAACTGGAGCAGGATGTTGAGGTTGAGCAGGATGAACAACAGCAGAAGGTAAAATATTTGTACTCAAAGGAGCTTCCTTTAGTTGAGCATGTTCCTTGTGCAGATCATGTTTTACTTCATGGCCCCTCTGTGAAACCTTGTTGTAAATGGACATAACGTTGGGCGGCTGAGGCTCTTCAATATATCCCTCATCTCCGCTGCCTAAAGCATCAAAGAATTCATCCTCGAGTTCAGATTCAGACTCAGATTCAATTTCAACTGTTTGAAGTTTATTGTTGAGATCATTCAAGTTAAGCTTTGTGCTATCGACTGGGATTAATGTTGCAGCAGCAGCAGCAGCAGCTTGTGCTGCCACTGATTCCTCGACATTAGTAGTTGTTTTGCTAACAGGAACATTAGTGCCGTTTTCGCTATGTATCACCGTCTCACTTTCAGGATAAATGAAGGACTCACGACGCGGCTTGTAAACAATACTGGTTCTATGAGACAAGAGACCAGTACCAACTGCAGCACCACCAGCCACTTCGCGAAGAACCTTGTTTGCTTGGCGCTTCTTTTGAATAGCCTTGTGAAGCTCTTCTTGAACCTTGGCCTTTTCCACTTCAAGTTCGTGAATAGACTTAGTCCAAAGATCTTGAAGTTGGTTGCTGCGCTCCAGCTTGGTGGTATAGTACAATTCGCGGTTGCTAACATGAGAAGTGTACTGGTTAACCAAAGTAGTGGTCATATTCAAGGCCTGCTCCAAAGTGGAAAGACCAGTTTTAAGCTCATCATTAGTGAGAGTTCCATGATTTATACTGTCAGATAGAGAGTTTAAAACTTTTTGGACACTATCGAGTGCAACAGTAATGGAATCAGAAGCAGAAGCAATCTCGGCAGTATAAGGAGGCTCTTCACGGTTCAAAAAGTCGTTTTCATCATCATCGTCATCATCATCGTAGTCATCTTCAAATTGTTCAACATCCTTATCGTGTTGTTGATCAATACCAGAGTCTCTCTCACGTTGTTCCATAGCCACATTGTTCATATGAACAAGACGCGCTACATTATGACTGTGAGACGAGGCATCATCACTAAGAACAGATGTTGGACGGGCACCAATAGACTGGCTGGAATTTGAGGCCTTGTGAGAAGAGACTTTTTGAGCCTGTGACGAAGAGAGTTGAGTGTCCAAATGGGCAGTGCTGGGGGTTCCATTTCCCAATGAGCTAATTGAATTCGTACGGTTGCTTTGATATTTGCGCGGGTTTTGGGACTTGATACGATCTTGATCCTTTGCGTACTGAATGGCATTGTTAAGAGCCCAAACCCATCTATTAGTCTCAATGGGGTGGTTGGATTTAAGATGGAATTTGACCGAAGTACCCGAGAGGACCTCAAACTGAAGCTTTTCGCTCGAGTCGAGATGCAGACGTGCGTTTCGCATATTTATTGAGCCGCGGCAAGCATTGGCAGTATCATCTTGGCGCTTATAGTAACTTAAGACACCATTCTCAAGAACAAACCATCTCAACTTGTAGCCGCTAGTAAAGTTTGTCCATTTCTTCAAAAATCCTTTCATTGTAGGGGGTGGCCCCATTAAAGAAGGATGATCAGCAGGGGCTCCAGCTGAAGAATCATCTGTACCACCTTGCTTTTTGTCCAGAGATTTTTGGTTGCGATTCTTTAAAAGAGCAGGGTTTATAGAAGTTGATTGCAAAACAACTTGCTGAGATTTTGTGCTTTGTTTCAAGAGTCTGCGAATAGTGTCATCCTTTGTAAGGTCGATTGGTAGAACACCTTTAGAGTTTCGAAGCAACGGGTCGCCACCATGAGACAAAATAAATTCAACCATGGGGACATTACGAGCTCGAACAGCATCATGCAACACAGTAGTACCGGTATCCGGATTTTGACCGTTTATGTCCAAGAGTGCATTTGCGCGAGGGTTAGCAAGGATTGTTTCCAAGGTTTTAATGTCACTTCGTGTAAAAGCCTTCTTCATGCGAGTAGCAACCTTTTCCAAAAACTGAGCCCTTACGACTTGCATTGCTTCGGCAAGTTCCGGAGTCCGAGCAACCTCAACAGGCTGTTTACCATCATTGTTTGTGAGCATGTCGTTAATTTTCTCATCAAAGGAAAGAAGGTACATGACGACGTCTGAACGGCCAAACTTTGCAGCAATGTGAAGCGGGGTATTGCCAGTATGTGGTTCAGGCGCGTTAATATCAAACGCAGGAGCATCGGGGAACTTGTGAAGAAGATGGCGAATCATTTCTGGTGAAGCCACCTGAACAGCAGCGTGAAGGATATAAATGTCATTAGGTCCGAGTGGTCCTTGTGATTTGTTGAGTTTGATAAGGCTAGCATTTTTTTCAATGAGGGAGTCAACATCAGTTTTTGAGTTTGCTTGAAAGGCTTGTATAAGCTTGAGAAGCAAAATGTTGATCTCGAGGTTCTCTAGTCGCAAATGTTAGTAAAGTTTTTTCTTGAAATAAAGTAACGGGAGGGTATGTAAGGCGTATCTGATGATGATGATGATGATGGACGTACCATTGGCTTCAGTTGCAACCTTGGGTGAGTTGTCCTGGGTGCTCATTTTGAGAAGTATTGAGAAACACCAGTTGGTGATATATCAAAGAATTGAGTGACGTTATATATTTGAAAAAAAAAAATAATAATAATAAAAGAAAAAAGATATATAGATCCTTTTTTTTTTAAAAAAAAAGTATAAAACTAAAAAAAAAAAAAAAAATTTAGGAAGGAAAAGACATATAAGAGGAGAAATTAAAAATAAAAAAAAAGTTCGCACAATCTTCCGTTTTTTTTTTTAATTATTATAATTATAATAATAATTATAATATACTTAAAAAATAAAAATTAAATCACGCTGTGTGGGTTGTCAGTTTAAAATGTTTAATTAGTCGGCATAGCTGGCAATTAAAAAAAAAAAAAAAAAAAAAAAATTAAATTTAATAATAAAATTAAAGAATATTTTTGGTTCGTGAACCATAAAATACTTTTTTCTCCCTAACCCTGATCATGATACCACCCCCAAACTTTCTGATTAGCCAATGGCGACTGATCTCTTGTAAAAAAAAAAAATAAAATAAAATAAAAATAAAAAATTTTAAACAAAAAAAGCTAATTTTCTATTGATTTGGAATCCTCCATACAGAAACCTCCGAGTTTTCCCATCAGTATTTTAGTTTATTTTATTTTTTTTTTTTTTCAACAGGGGAAAAAAAAAAAAAAAAAATTTAAAGGGTTCTTTCTCTTAAGTCTGCTTCGTCATTTTATATTCAATATATATAGATATATATACTTATAAGCATTTGAAATGTCTTTGCTGCTCTCTTCTAAAGTCACCCTTTCCGCTGCTGCCCGTCTTGCAGCATCAAAACCCAGTGTGATCAAGACCGTCACGGTTGCCTCTTATGCAACTGACGCTTCTGCTTCAAACAACACCTCCCAGCCTAGTAACATCAGCAACTTCCTCGACCGTATCAAGCGTGTTACTGAAAACCGCGCTGAATCTGGTTTTAAACCAAACTCTGAAATTCTTTCCAAAATCTCTATTAAGGGAAAGCCCAATCAAGAGAAGAGCGACAAGAGACCTTTTAAGAGACAAGCTGGTGCCTCTGGAGACAGACCAAACTATAGAAACAACAATAACTACAATAACAATAACAACAGCAACAACAACAACAACAACAACAACAGTACTCAGTCAAAGCCTTTCAGAAACAACAAGTTTAACAGATTCAACAAAGATAAGGCACAGGCTAAGCCTCAACAAGAAAACTACTCTTTCAAGCCATCGCAGCCTAGAAACTCAAAGTCTCAGGCCTTTAGAGGAATTGACTCTGAGCACGTTGATCTCCACGTTTCTTCTGAAGGTAATACCCTTTTCAACAACAAGAAGTCTTTCAACTCTCAAAGAAAAAACAACGGTCCTCGTCAAAATTATCCCGTGCGCTTCGGTGGCCGTCCCCGTCAACCTGCAGGCTCTAAGGCTGGTCAAACCCCTAAGCGTCTTCCTCGCAAGGATGCCACAGTTGGTTCCGGTAAACTTCTTAAACTTTCACCTGAAGAAGCTATTATCTCTGTTAAAAAGGAGATTCGTGGCTCCCAGCTTGGTAGCACCATTTCTGTTCCTGCAATCACCTCTTCCACCCTTGCCCCTTATCTCCCCACTGTCGGTGTTTCTCCCGAGTCCCGTGCTTGGCTTGCTATCCACCGCGCTTTGACCGATGCTGCCGACCAAGAGCAGGCTCTTAAGACAATTGTCGAGTCCACCTTTAAGGGTTCCCTCGAGGGCTACCAAGTTAACGAAACTTCTTCCGAAGCTGCATCTCCCATTGTTCCCATTTTGAATGCAAACCCTACCTTTTCTCCTGAAGTTAAGAACCTTCTTTTGTCTCTGGCTTCCGGTGAATCAACTCTTTCTTCTCTGAGAAATTAAGAAAGAAAAAAAAAGTTTTATTTTATCATCTGTTTATTAATGTTTATTATATATAATGGCTTTTTTTTTCTGTCCTTTTTTTGTAAATAATTATTGATTATAATCTCATTTTTGCTTGTTTTTTTTTTCATATTTTCAAACATTGTTTTTTCCTCCATTCTTTATCAGTCAAAATACCTTCTTGCCTTGATATTTTTCACCCTAACCCTATGGATGTGCTGTGCTGTCAAAACGCACACCTTAATACATATTTTCCAATTCCTCTGGCTGTAAAAATACAAAAAACACCAAAACAATATCCCATAACCAGCTTTGCTCAGCATTTTAACAATGTATGATGAATGGATATATCAGACAGACAGCTTTCAGACTCCGCCACAGCCTCAACAATCTCCAGTGGCGTTAGCTCCCTCATCACCACATCTTGACCGTCCCAAAACCAGAAAACGAGGTAAATCGCTACTCCAGTCAGTAGCGATTGATGGAAACGTAAGTACTGAAAATAGCCTCATTCAGTATACAAAAATGAGTATTCCTGTTTCAATTTTTTTTAACAAATTCAGACATACAAAAGCCATTCCCATAAACGTGATTATTCACCTCCTGAACCAGATTTTCCTTTGAGACGGAGGAACTCTACTTCATATCTTATAAACTTAGTTGTGCCACAGTCTAAACTCACTCCGTCTACACTTTCATATCCTTTCACAAAACAAGAACGAGAAAAGCTAGAAACTGAGCTTTCTCTCTCCCATAAATTATCAAATGATTTGATTCCCTTGTCAACAATTTCTCCAGTAAATCCAACGTCTACACTCGACGAAATTGATGTAGCCAATAACTTTCAGTACTTTACATTTCGAGAAACTACGAAAATACACCTACACTCATGTGCCCAAATGCTTTCGCAATCAGCAATTGTCCTGAAATTTGTTTCAAAGCTTGATGCTGGGTTTTCCAGTGTTGAAAAAGAAACTAATAGCATCCAAGAAACTTGCAACGCTCTCCTGGCCGAACAGCATAAACTTTCAACTTTATCAGAAGAAATTGATAAAAACTTAAAGATTTTTAATAACCTCGAAATGATTACCCGGAAACTCAACACTCCTGGTGCAGATTTTGTTACTAGACCTTCTTTTTCTCAACTCTTGGACAATCTTGATGAAGGCCTTCTTTATGTGGAAAAACATAAAAATTTCAAAGACATTGAGCGCTACCAGCAGCGATTTCGACATTGTATGACTCGAGCCCTTAGTTTGATTCAAGTTTACTTTCAAAATACGTTAAAATATCTTTCAAATGAGATTTTAGAAAAAACTTCAAAGATTACAAACGTGGGAAATGCTCATCAGGTTCTTTTATACTCTAAGTTCGAGTCTGAGTCTCCAAGTTTGTTAAAACTAACTACAGAAATTTCTAAGCGAATGGTAAATCACTCAGAATATGAAGGTCTTTTAAACGACTGTATCAAAGCATATTTTGCTACAAGACATAGACTATTGTTACCAAGAATCAATCATTTTTTGGATGAGGCAGCCAAAGAGCCCGGTGACATTGTTCAATTCACTCGTTCCTTGCTTGTTTTTTACAGGGAATTGTGCGCACAGGAGTTTGGACTTTTCAAAAAAATCTTTTATCACAGTGAACTCGCTTTTGTGGAGTGGTACACAGATATTTGCAGTAGTCTTTACGACGTCGTACGCCAACGAATTATTAGAGAAGTCGATATTGGGTTGCTCTGTGAGCTGGCATCTCTTTTTCTCAGTTACAAAGAAGAGGAAGAAGATCAACAACGAGAAAACGAGTATGAAGAAAACCAAAAGTGGTCACGACGTGATAGCAATCTTCTCTCTCCAGTATCTAGTAAACACGACCCATTAGCTACTGAGCCAGAAAAGCCTTTCACGATCAGCTACTTTGAGCTTTTCAAGCCTATATTACAAGATGTTCAAGCTAGACTTTTATTTCGTGCGCAAGCATATGTTGAACAAGAAATCGTTCGACATGTTCCTACTGAAGAAGATCTCCATGGTCTTAGTGGTCGCAGAAAGAAGTCTAAGCAAAACTCGTCTTCTGCAAAACCCAGTGAGTTTGACGTTGATAACATTTTTTCGGCGTGGTACCCACCCATGCGTAAAGCCATTGCACTTCTCTCTCAAATTAACCAACTCGTCAACTCAACTACATTCGACGACTTGGCCCATCGCATTGTTCATGAATGCTTAGTTTCACTGCAAGCAGCACATGCGCTTGCTGTTACTCGTCTTGGAAAGCTTGAAGCTGATCTGTTTCTAATTAAGCATTTACTGATTTTGGGAAACCAAATTACTGAATTTGACATTGAGTATGTTCCTTCAGATGTGCATTTTGACTTTAGCGGTATTTCAGAAGTCATTTCATTGTTACGAACTGGTGGTGTGAGCTTAAATCGTGCTAATCTTTTGAACTTGGCAAAAATTTCTGTCCCTAAGGTTGTCAACAATATGTTTGATGCCAAGGAGGAGCTCTATGCAAAGCTTCGCAATACTATTCACAATTTTACTGAAGAAGCTGTCAAAATTATTATTGAGCCCATCACAAGACCTGAGTGTACTCCAGAAACAGCACTTGCTGATACACGCCAGCTTAGAGAAAATGCGGCTACAGAAATACCAAAGCTACGCAAGCTCATGCTGGATAACTATCTGGATGACATAAGAACTGTTGACATTTTGATTGACTCTATTCAGGATCTGGTGATCCAGTCTTATGAAGAGTATCATGAAAAGATCATTGCCGAAGCTGCTAAGATTAGCAAGGAAATGGGCAAAGACGAAACCGATGTTATCGATGGTTTAATGGAAGTAGAAGGTCTCATGGCTTGGTTTGGTGACATTATTGGTACACTCCATAGAGAGAAACTGTCAGGTGCCGAAGATTCTGTCCAAAACCGTTCTCCAAGTCCTACAGTTTCTGAAAATTAAGTATATAGTTGAGTTTTTTTTTTTTTTTTTTTTGAAAGAGAAAAAAAACCTGATATTTCTAATAAATTTAAATGTAAAAAAAAGCACACTTATTTTTCATCCTCAGGCACAAAGGTGTTTTTGGCCAAAAGTCTGTTAAGTTCAGATTTAATGTATTCGACACGATTCTCATCCACCAAAAGATGTGTGTCATCAAGCTCCTTTAATAAAATGTTAAAAAAATTAACCTTTAGGCAGTCTTTTCAACTTACCTGGATGATTACTCCATGAGTTTTGGTATCAATATGCAAAATTAGGGCACGAATAGAGGGATCACTATATTTATCAATCAGATGATGTAGTTAAAAAAAACTTTTGGAGATCATACCATTCAATCAAGACACCTTGTAAAAGTTAGAAAACATTTATTTTTATTAAATTCTCTTGATAACTAACCTTTAATAGCGCTAGGCATTCTGATAATCTCCTATTATCGTGGTGATGATAGCTAGAGTAAAAATTTAAGCTCAAACACTCCTAAAAAAAACTGTATTTTTTGTTGATGTGGGCTTTTAAATATACATATGTGTAATATATTTTGCTGTCATAAAAGATAAACCAATTTGGCTATGTGCACAGTGAAAACAGAAATTAGTGCATCCACTCAAAGCTTGCTTATCCACCAAATCTTTTATCCGCTCTTATTTACACACTTCCACCTATTTAAACGTTAATAAAAACTATTATATTAAAATGACCGAAACCAAACCAGCCAACGAAAACGAAAATGCTTCCTTAGTCACATCAATTTCAGATTCCAATCACAATTGTGAAGATCATGAAGAAACTGTTTTAGAGAATGAAACAGCGTCGTCCTCCCCCGAAGTTTCGGAAGACAACCTAAACAATACTAAAGAACTAAAAGATAATAAAGATGAGCAAGGAACGCCCACGGATAGTTTTCCATCAGTTAATGACAAAGACAACAAAACAGATAATTCCGAAAAAGAAAGCAGCCCGGATTCTGCTTCTACTCCAAGTGATCAGACTATAGAAGATGAAACCAACAACAAAGAACCACCTGAGCAAATAGAAAAAACTGACACAGAAGAGTCAAAGTCTCCAGTCAATCCTATAGCCACCCAATCAACTGAAACTGATGTTAGTGAAGAAGAAGGATCTGATTACAGCGAAGAAGAAAGCGAAGAAAACAGCAAAGAAAACAGCGAAGAAGAAAACAAAGAAAACAGCGAAGATGATAGTGAAGAAGACAGCGATACTGATAGCAATGCCGACAGTGAAAGCGACGATGATGGTGTGGAAATTGAACCAAGATTAAAATATTCTCGCATAACTACACTCCCAAAGCCAGTGTTTAATACAGACCCTGTTTCAGCCTGCATTTTATCAGAGACGTTTATTGCTGTTGCCACTCATGGTGGGTTTGTTTATATTTACAAACCCGATTTGATAACTCCTATCTGGTCGTACCGTGCACATAAAGCCTCTGTTTTTGACTTAGCCACTGATGGATACTATGTTGGTTCTGCATCAATGGATGGCACTGTTGTAATTGGCTCAGTGACTGATCAGAAAGACATTCAAGCATTTGACTTTCATCGCCCAGTACAGACACTTGCTTTAGACCCGCACTACAAATCGTCTAAAATATTTATTTCTGGAGGAATGGCAGGTGATGTCATTCTTTCCGAACGTGGATGGCTCAATGGCCGTTCTGACACTGTAATCCAACACTCTGAAGATCCTGTCACAGCTGTATACTGGATAGAAAGTCTAATTATATGCATGGACGAGTCCGGTATTAATGTTTACGGCCAACATTCGCGCGAAAAGTTATTACATATTGACAGGCCTAAAGATTCCCCACGGGCAGATGTTTACAAGCCACGGTTATGCTCTCCAGAATCTAACCGTATTTACATTGCTTGGGTTGACCGAATTTGGAATTTGAAAATATCTTCCGAGTCTGCATTAGCAGGACACAAGACAAAAAAGGATTTCTTTAAATCTTCTATACTTTCATCTGGCGCATCTATGATTCTACCATCTAGTTCCTCTATTCTTTCAGCAAATCAGGACCCTCAGATTATTATCGAATCTATTATTCAAATTGATTCCTTGGTAGCTGGAATTTCTCCCTTTGGACAAGATACCCTAATGATATTGAGTTACAAACCTGTTAGCTCTGAGGACCAAATGACAAACGTCCGGAGTGACGCTCCACCTCCAGAAATTAGGCTTATTGATTTGAGTTCTGGTGAAGAAGTTTATGCAGATGAGCTTTCTTTGAAGGGATACGAAAAACTTGGACTCAACGATTATCATCTTTTACAGTATTCCGATGAATCATCTATAAAGTACTTTATCATAAGTGCAAAAGATGGTGTTGTCGCAGTAGAACGCACATTAGGTGATCGTATAAACTGGCTTCTTGAACATAAATCTTATCAGGAGGCTTGGGACATTTCTGCCAACGTTAAGACCCCAGAAGAACGTTTAAATATTGGTGTTGAGTGGGCTGAATCTCTTCTTAATGCCGAAAAATGGGAGGAATCTGCAAACACACTTAAAAAAGTTATCGATGCTTTATTGGAATGTGACTTACCTATATCAGATACTTTGATTAGCTCTGCTGATACCCCTTCGATCCAATCTGGACAACTTGCAGACAATTCCTTAAAGCCTTCCCCCACACTTCCGGAACTTACTGGGTATAAAAAGATAGCTCAGGAAAATTGGAATCGTTGGGGGTTTATTTTTTTTAAATCAGGTCACTCTTCTGAAATTGCAGCTGTACTCCCAACAACATCTACTTTACAAGTGGATCATAAGGTCTATGAACAAATTTTAGCTTTTTTTATTGACCATGATATGGTTGATGAAATTTTGAAATACATAAAGCTTTGGCCTTGCGACTTGTATGATGCTAATACTGTAAAGTTCAGACTAGAGTTTCTCATTAAAGATGATTATGAACTTTCTTCAACTCAGAAAAAGAGCTTACAAAAATCTTTAGCTGATTTATACATTGCTTCAGGAGATCCCGCATCAGCTGTTAATCATTTATTGGCTCTTCATGATGAATCCGTGCTTGATTTGGTTTCTCAATACCATTTATTACCTACTATTAAAGATAGAATTCCTGATCTACTTACTGTCTCCCTGGCTGATGATACATTAGCAAGTGCACCATTACCAATAATTCGCAACCAAATCTCCAAGGCTAATTCTATTGTTGTCAAGGCTCGCCATGAAGTCATCCCTGAAGAGATTGTATCGCAAATTATGAAACGAAACCTTCCAATTATTGCTTTTCTATACCTGGAGCAGCTTACACTTGCTGATAGTTTTGCTAGTCAGTCATTTGGAGACTTGCAAGTTTCACTTTACGCTGAGTTTGATCGACCTAAGTTGATGAACTTTTTGAAAAAGCATAACAATTACAATCTTGAGAAGGCCTCTTCTGTATGCGAAAAGCGTGGTTATATTCCAGAGCTTGTGTATATTTTAGGAAAGATTGGCCAAAATAAACAGGCTCTTAAGCTAGTTATTGAAAAACTTAAGGATCCCGAACAAGCAATTGATTTTGCCAAGGCGCAAAAAGATCCAGAGCTTTGGGATGATTTGATTGATTATTGTTTGGAAAGACCTGAATTCATTCGCGTACTACTTAAGCGGGCTTCTGGATCTGTAGATCCAATCAAGGTGTTAAATAAGATTCCTAGTGATATGAAAATACCTGGGATTCGGGATTCTATCATGCACATATTTTCAGAGTATGAGCTGGTTCTTTCTTTAAATAAGGGAATTTTGGAAATTGTTCAGAAAGAAGCACAGGACAAGGCAAAAACTTTATTTTCTTTGCGAACTAGCGGTGTTTCTGTGGATTTGTTTCCTGAGACTAGTCAACCTTCACAAGACGAAAAAACAACAAACTCTTCTGCTATTCCAGAACTTGATTTCACAGGGTCTATTGTCATCAAGCCAGATGGAACTCTTATTAACGAAATTCAACTTTTCGGAGATGAAAATGTCAAACATTTATGGCCTCAGGCATCAATATCACCAGTTTACAACCTTGATATTACCCGAACTGTGTCACAAAAAATCAAACATTTGGCTTACATTAAAAAAATGTTACAGTCACAATTAACAAAATAGAGTGATTTGATTTATGAACAAAAATAAGTAATACAGTAAATTTAATATTATAGTAACAAAAAATTATATAATTATATCATTAAAATAACAACCCTAGCATTTTGTTGTACCATATCTGGTATTTGATGTAAAAATTATTTCATGTTTCCCTTTTGGTTCAGTCTAATAATCTGCAGGAATCCATGAACCACCACAAGGACATGCCTTCATGAAAACATACTCCCAGGTTTGTACGGATGATGAGCGCTGTGATCTCCATATAGTAAGTTCACCACAGCGTGAACAGCGAGCACGAGTACCACCACTATTTGCAAATGCAAACGGAGCAGTCGACATTTCCTTTTTCATGATAAAATCAATCTCGATACCATGTCGAAGCTCCTTCATGTGTGGATGAACTGATCGGATTTTCTTCGATCCGTCAAAATTACCAAAATCTTTTACTGACGGTGGGGACAGATTGATATTTTGAGTGACAGTGCCATTGCCAGACACATTAGATCCATTATGTCCATTACTTTCAGTTGAGCCATTGCTTGAAGCTAAAGGTATATTTTCATTTTTTCCAAGCAATAAATTATTTTCCTCTTCTTCGTCCATATCATCGCATAGACCTAACCATGAAACATCGTAATAATAAAGCCAAGCAGCATTCATGGTAATTTTATCGATTTTAGAAAAACGTTCCACTATCCGGCTTACCATGGCTAAAAGCTCCTGTGGTGGATTGACTGAAATAAAGACAGAATCTTCAATAACGATTCGACTTTTCATTCTTGGTGAAATTTTCTCCATCATGCTGTCAATGTCCCGCAAAATTAAATCAAAATGTGCAATATTTATTGGTGAGTTTGCTTGAACAAGGTTTATGATTTGCTTGAATGCACGTTGGGAAACACTGTCTGGTGCCTTGCTACCTTTATCAGCTATTTGTTTTGCATTCATTTCGATGGAACGTATGAAACGTAATCCAAACATTAAAAATGCTCGAGGAAGGCGAGACAACATTAGTGACATTGCAATGGAGTTTTTGTTTTGAAAATATTCATAGTACTTTTCTATGGGTTCTAGTGATGCCAAGTACAACTCTTGAAAAATAAAAGCAAAAAGGTCAATCATGTATCGAATGACGCTGACAGTAGATTCTATATATTTTGCTCTTTCTTCATAATCATTTACATCCAGTTGTGTTTTTTGTTGTTGGTGTAATTTTTGTTGATTGTTGGAGATTTGCGCTAGCCGCTGAAGTGTCATGAAAAAGGCGATAAATATAGTTCGAGCTGAAAGTGTTGCCCAGCTGACGCGTGCCATAGGGGATCGTTTCCATCCTTTTGATGTACCAAGGACAGTTTGTAATGTGAACATTTTGCAGAGATGTGACTGTAAAAGTTCTTTTTGGCCTCCATCTTTTGAAGATTCGTTATCAAGTGGGAAATTAATTGCACGGTATGATTCGAGAATTACAAGGTGAATAAATTCATCAGCCAATTTGGGCGAAATCCGCTTAAGGTCTTCTTGAGCAAACTTTATGACAACATATAGATCATCAGCATAGTAGTGGATAGTACTTGCCGTTGCATGAAGAGCTGCAAGAGTAACGGCCGCAAGGGTCAAATACAGACTCTTTTCGAGAGTGTTGTCCGACTGTTTAGATGGTAAGGATGATAATGATAATTTTGGATTTCTAACATAAGAAATGCAAAGCTCATTATTTTGAGTAAGATAGAGGGCTGAGCAGGTATTATGGGAAACACAAATATCAGTAATGGGTTCAGGTAATTCTAAAAACTGAAACCCACAAGTTATGATTGTTTGCATAGATGCTGAAATAGACGAGGTAGATGAAAGCTCCAAGTATTGTGGTCGGAGCTTTAGATCTGTCGTTCCATCCGAAAACGAGATGCTAAAAATGGTATCAAAATTTAAGGAATCTATAGAAATGACGAGTTTAGGGTATGTCAATATGTCATCATCAGCAAGTAGAATTGTTGTTTCAGTGCCAGTCGAATTACTCCCTCCGTAATCGGATCGTGATGATAAGGAAAAAAAGTTTTTAAGAATGGGTGGCTGGTGTTTTACTAACATGTACTTCTGTATAACAGTGCTTGTTTTGTTGGTGAAGGCAGCACGGAGTTCGACTTCAGCTGATGTTTGAAAGTTCTGAGGACTTAAGGGCATGATGTGGATATGACTTAATGTTAATGACGGATTAAGAGTCGGAATAAGTTTTTGGCGTAGTAGCCGTTGTATTTTAAGAGTAGAAAGTTGGTTTGAGCCTGATTTTAGCTGGGGTTTCAAACCTATGGCGGCGGCGGCGGCAGCAGTGAGCGCTGGCCATTCGACAATGATTCGATAAAAATAAATAGATTCCGTTTCCAAAGAATAGGCAGCAAGAATAACACTACCATCAGTGGAGCTTGAAAATGATGCATGCGAAAACACGACAGATTCGCGTGTCATACTGTCTCTGTCAGCGCTACAAGAGAACTCATAGTACTTTGCATCAGAGACACCTTGTGTAAACAATCTTACAGTGCCACGTCGAGTAAAGGCAATGCATGAATTTTTATTTAAAGGAACAAGAGGTTTGGGAATAGGCATATTGTAGACAGAAAAGTCAGCAATAGGACTGGATGCCCCTAGCTTAGAGCGGTCAAGCGAGCGTATAAATGTTTGAGCATGAGTTTGGATCACTGGAGGATTAGATATTGATACATTGGGATTGTTTGAATTTTGATCAAACCATTTAAATCCAATGATCTTATTCATCTCTGCTGGACCGGCATTGCTTTCTGGTGAAGTGGACTGAAAAATTCGGTTCATAACGCCAAGCTCTGTTTGAGATTGCATGTAAATGTTAAGTATTCCGTGCTCGTCAGCAACAGCAAGATCGGTGCCTAAAGAAGACCAAGATAAGTGATAAATATCCATTATTTGGCCTGATGGAGACGTTGGGTATATCTTGAAGGGCTTACTGAACCCCCAGGATTCTCCATCTAAACACACAAGATTCGTGATGTGAACAACCGACTTGTCAACAACATGAGCTATGCTACCTGTCCGAGGTGCCCAAGAAATACGGTTGTTGCAGCCAGTACGTAGCTGATTTCCGAGGTGGGACTGAACATAGGGAACCGAGCCCATTGTAGACGTGAAGAGTTTGTTGGGTGTGAAAAAAGAAGTAGTGTTTGTGGTGGTAGTGGTGGGGGGTTGGAGGTTTTATTTTTATTTTTATTTTTATTTAATTTTCGATTTTCTAAGCATATCTCAAAAATCCCACAATAGCCGACATTTCTATGTTTAGACACGCGAGTACCACCTCAGCTAAAGACAAAGATATACAGATAGAAAGATCAAGTATATTAAACAACGTGTAAATTTTTATTTAAATGATAGTATATTAAAAATAAATTTCAAAATTCAGTTTTAAGAAGTTTTCGTGTTTTTTCTTGTCATTAAAATTTTTTTAGTTGGTTGTGAAAACACGTGATAACACGGGACCCATTTTTTGAAAAATTGCTAGGAATTTAATTTTTAAACACACTTTCATTTAACTTACAAACTTACAAGCATTCCAAACTTTTTTTTACAACTCGTCTTTTGATGCAGAGTCAACAGCTTGTGGGTTATACTGAGCACAAGCGGCTGGCGAAGTACCAAAGATGAAGTACTCGCAACGTTCGGGCTCTGTGACTTGGAGAAGAGCAGTTTCTTTACCGCAAGTCAGTGAGACAGTAGCCCTGCGAATAGGACCACTCCAGCATTTGGCACCTTTCTCAAAGTAGAGAATCAGTGCTCCATCTTCAGATTTATCATCGATAGAAACATTTTCAAAGTTTCCAAGATTGACACTTGAATTGTCCTTAGTAGACTTTTGGGAGGCTTTCCCGTAGAAGCAAATCTCGTAAATGTACTCCCCAAGATTGGAAGAAACACACGTGTCTTTAAGAGCACGCAGGATATCATCTGGACCATGTTCAGTCTCTAAGCTTTTGCGTGCCTCTTGCAATTGTCTTTCCGTCTCAGATAAAGATGTCTTGGTGTTAGAAACTATATTACGTTGTTTTGTGAGCTCAGTGCTGACATTCGTATCAGTAGGGACGCTCTCGGGCTGAACCATAGAAGAAGATTCACCATTATCAGGGATTATACTGAATTCCACAAGCAAATTTCGAACCTTCTTAACTAAATCAGAAAATCGGAAAAGCGGTAAATCAAAACTTGGTTTAAAAGAGTGCTGGTTTGATTGCTGAGGAGCAGGGGGAGTGTATGATTTTAAAGACTCAATGATATTTGAAACGGCACCCAGTTTTTCCGCATTGACAATGTGGGCTTGAGAAGTTTCAGGGTTATTACCCTTAAACTCTTCAAACGACCGAATTGCATGTTTAACAGCAGGGTCGTTAAAATTAGGGTTATAATCACCCTTCATTTGCTCTAAGACCGAAGAAAGTTGAGAGAGTTGCCCAGAAAGAGAAGCAATTTCAGCTTCAAACTTTTTGTATTCATCTAACAAAAACTCCAGGGATTCTTGAGCATCATCAATCACTTTAGGTTTAGGAACGGTATTTGCAGCAATGCGTTCTGCTTCTTGGGCCTCCACAATCTCAAGCTCTGCCTCTTTCTGTGAAAGCTGAAGTTTAAGATCTTCGACTTTCTTTTCCTTTGTAGCAATTTCCTTTTTCAAATTTTCACGAAGAACTTGAGCCTTTTTTATCAGCTTTTGCCTGTTTTCTGAAGCGGCTTTAAGAAGAGCTTGTTTTGCTTCCTTCTTTGCAATGTATTCCTTATGCATTTTGGCACATCTGTTTTCACACTTAGGAGTCAAGCCTGAGTCTGACAATCCGGCCTCGTCAGAGCCATCACAGCAGATGTCGTAGTCACAAATTCCATCATTGACACGAGATGAAGGAAGTTTCCCAGGAATGTGCCCTTCATTTCTGCAGTAGAAAAAGGTACCTGGACAAGCTGCAGTACCAGGCTCATCCGAACCATCAGGACAATCACAAATGTCGTCATTAATCTGAGAAAATGAAAGAACAACTTCTGGATTGCCTAAGCACGCCCATTTCCCATTTTCATCAGGCTGGTACTTTTGGAGATCTAAAGGCATTGTTAGTACTTATGCTTTACGAATAAAGAAAACATTAAATGTCTCATTACCTTCTATTGAAACACCTCTAACTTCAATTGAAGGCTTTAAAGCTGCAACCGAGCTTGCCAATAACAGAATTACCGACAATCCAATATCTTTCATAGTAATAATTGGGCTGTTGAGGAAAGGTTGTGAGATATTCACAATTAAGACATGGGGAGAAAAAAAAAAAAAGACAAGTGGAGGTTTAATTTTTGCCTCTCCACCCCCAAACCCTATATTAAAAAACAACCAGCACTAAATTAAAACTCCTCCAAGTTCATCAAAACTTTCTATCCTGGAGCAATTTTTGTATCTCAAATGACAACATCAGTGGAATATTATAAACCATTGGAAACAGTTTCTCAGGGAGTAAAGTTTCATTCCCAGCAAGCATTTGTGCTTCACCCTCTTCCACTTCTCAATATTTCAGATTACTACACGCGTAGTAAAACCCTTTCAAAACCGCGTATGCTTTAAAAAGACATTTCTTATCAATATTGTTTTAACATAAACCAGTGGTCGGGGGTCTTTTAGGATTTCGCAATTACAAGCAGATCACGGCATTTGTTTCATTCGAACTTTTACTTAACGATGACAACAAAGTTGACGAGAACTATTTAAAAAGAAAACTGGATCTTTGTACGTACTTTTTTCAAACCAAATTATCTCCACAAACTGAACTGACTATTGTTACTATCTAGATATTCAGACTTTTCCTCATTATGAACTGGTGGCGTGGTTTCATGTTTTGCCTAAAGGACTGATGCAACCAGTTCAATTATCACAAACTATACACGAGCAACTCGCAGACATATTAGGAACTAATCCGGCTTTGCTAATAGTTGGCCCGCAAGATATTGCCACCCATGACAGGAAATCAGACACCAGTTCTAAAAGTTTACCGGAGGAACCTGGCATATTATCTTCTAAATCGAAAAAAAACAGACGTCGCCACTCACAAATATCCACGGATGGCGACTTGAAAATGGAAGAGCTTGGAGATGATGATTCCTCTGACTTGAACAATGATACCGAAGAGAGTCAATTTGATACAGACTTACCTTTAGCCGCTTTTGAAGCTATTACAAAAGATCGTCGCTTAGAGTTTTTATCCATGGGCCAAGTCCAAATTGAAACCAGTCAAGCAGAACGTATCGCAGTAGATGATATTGTCAAGGGAGCTAAAGATTCAGACAGTATTGATCTTTCAGATTCCCTTAGTAATCAACAAGGTGCTATCCGTATGCTTCATCAGCGTTTAAGAGTTGTTCGAGACTATATTTTGACTGTTCAAGCAGCACTACAACAACAAGAGGCTATTTCAAAAGGGCTACAGCCACCCTTAGCTGTTGCTAGAGAACTTAATTCTACAGATTACCAATTGATTAGACAAATCAACGCATTTGTGAGCGAGCTCACCCGACAACAGGAATCAGGGTTGGATTCGGTTATTCAGAAACAAGAAAGAGATGTTGTAATGGCGGCCCTTCTTGCAACAGTTACAAAAGCTGAATTCACCAAGCTTGATACTAATACTGTTTGGGCATCTTATAGATCATTTTCCGGCCATGTACCTAATAATAATGATGGTTTTAAGCCTTAAAGAGCTTGATAAATAAAATCATTTAAAATATTTACGTCATTGCTAATTTTTATTTATTTATTTATTTTAGGAATAATCATTATGGTTTTTTCTCAGAAAGTTGCTGGCTAAATTGATCATGATTTAAATGTTTATGTTGTACATTAGTAAGTTTTTGTTACACGAGTGTGATTGTTGTAACAATTTTTGTAAATATTTTGGAATTTGGAATTTTGGAATAGTTTGGTAAGAAATCTTAGATTTCTTAAATCATTTAAAATGTTTATCGAGAAATAAATTTATTGAAACGACAACTAATAGTTGGACAAAATAATTATTTCTTTATTATAATAAAATAATTAGGATAAATTATTCTTAATTTTTTTCATTGTGAAAATGAATAAATGATTAATTATACACAAAAATAATTTAAAGGCAGTTAAATCACTCTAAATGATTGAATCTGTTCAACTAATAAACTTAAGTTTATCATTTGCACACAAACTAGTTCACAAATTCCAATTAACAAAAGAGCGATGCCCATTGAAATAGAAAATCCAGCAATCCCCAATCCCCATTGAAAGCTTAATAATACTGTCAATGGAAGTGCTTGAAAATAGTAAAAAAACAAATTCAGGTATCCGCAAATATACGACCGTCCTAAACCTCGTAAAATACCGCTTAAAACAGCACAAGGGGCATCGGCAAAAGCCATAAATGCCAAAGCACTTGCTGTTTTAACAAACAAATCTTTAACATCATCGTCATCTGAAAAAACAGAAACAATAGCATATCTAGCAAAGTAAATAATTAATCCAATAATTAATCCAACGAAGACGCTTAATACCAAATAGCAGTTTTTGGCAACTTGAGCATTTTTAGGAGATGAAGCCGCTAAATAGCAAGAAATCTGATGAGATGCAATAATGCTAATTGCCAAAGAAATTTGATAAAATGTCGATGATGTCGCAAACATGATTGACTGAGTGACAATTTCAGCTGAACCTAACAATGATGCACAAAAGATAAAGACTTCAAATGCAAATATTTCCATTTCAATCATAACAAGATTTGTACAGGAATGTTTAATCATTAAACTCCATCCTTGGAATATTTTTTTAGAAAAACTAATCCAGTTTTTAAAACCATATGAATACCAGGAAAACCCAAATAGTAAAAATGCCATAAGCCATTGAGTAATTGAAATTGAGATTGCAGACCCAATATATCCTACACTTATACCTGGATACCACACCAAGATATAAGTCAGCACGAGATTAATAGGTGCACAAATAAATAAAACATGACTAGAAAGATAATGCAATCCTTGAGCTTGCAAAAGTCGCTTTCCGCATTCAAAGCATATATACCCAGGAATACCGAGTAAAGCAACACGAAGATATTCAGCAGCTAAATAAGATACAAAAGGGTCATCTTTGGGTGCAATGAAGGAAAAAAGTGGTTGTGAATAATACCATAAAACTCCGATTGGGGAAAAACATAGTAGAATCATTAAAATGCATTTCTGCACATATTCACCCACATCCTTAAAGCTTTTTGAGTGATATGCTTGTGCACATAAGGTATCAAGACATGTGGCTAATCCCTGAATAAATGCCATGCCAGTAATGTTAGCCGTCATCGAAGCCAGCGAGACGGCAGCCAAATAGGATTTACCCAAATGACCGACAAAAAAAATAGATGCAATAGTAAGTGTGTTTTGCACTAAAAGCGTTAAGATCAATGGACCAGCATTGACCAATATGTACTTTATCTCCTTAAAATAAACGGTTGTGAGTTTTGGAGTCTTAAAATCATTGTTCCAAAGTTTATTGACAGGTTCACTTTCAAAAATTGATGCACAATCAGATTCATCTGTCGAAACATTAGTTACGATACTAAGTGGTGAGTGAAGTCTAGGTTCATGGTATGATTGACAGGGTTCTTCTAAGACACATATCCTTTGCTCTGGTATTTTTTGTGATGATGCTAAGGTTTGGCGTTGTATTTTTATTAACGTATTTTCAACTGGAATCGAGCTATACAATGTTTCTGGATCGGTCAAAGTGGTGTCGTTTATTAATGAACAGTCTATCGATCCATATTCCCTAACATTGGGAGTAAGGCTCGAGGATTTTAAAAGAGCTTGTAGTACTGGGCTTTCTCCTAGTATTTTTGGAGAGTTAATATTATTTTTCATAATAAAAATACAAAAAAAAAAAGAAATTAAAGAAATACAAAAAAAAGAAAAAAAAATGGACAAGGCCTTGCCTTTATATAGATCCAGAAACCAGGGCCAGTATTTTTTTGCGCGCGCCAATTTAGTTCGATCTGTAGGGTGCCTTGACAAACGTACGTCGGTATAATCTGGTGTTATAGGTGTGATCTACCGCTCTGTTGTATTGCGCAAGCGCTGAGCGGTCGAGCACCAATACACTCCATCACTACTTCCCGCAAAGATCTGTACCCTAACCACTCTGTACTGTAATTAGTGTGGTTAGGGTTCATAGATACTCCTAGCAATCGATGAAGTTTGCTGTGTCTGATTGCAATCCAATCTGCTTCACCTAATAATTGACAATAAATAGGACAACATATGAATTCACAGGCCATACAATACCAACTGTATCACTGAGTTTCTTAAATTCTCCCTTGGTCTCTTATATCAGCTTATAGTTTCATATATTCTAGATAATCTCCGGACTCCGCTATCTTCCATATAAATCTATAACTATAATATATTCCTAAACACCGAATCTGCAAACAAAATTTTGTTCAAGCCGCACGTCCAAAATAAATATGAACTCGCGTGATACCGAAGTAACTGATGTGTATTGATCAAGAGTTGCTTTTTTAATCGAAGAAAAAAAAGGATCGGAGAAAGATGAATGGTCAAAAAAATAGTAACTAAGCCAAATTTCGGATACATTAGCGAAAAACAATATTTATAAGACCCATAAGTGCTGGTAAATATTTCTTATTCAATATGAATAGATGTTAAGCTTCTTTACAACTTCCCAAATTATGCCCTTTTTGTAACTTTATGCTTTTGCTGCGAAACTTTTGAGTAAATTGAGAGCAATGGTTGTAGTTATTAATCGGATATTTTTGTAACAAATCTGTTTAATATAACATTGTTGTAATATACTTAGAGACAGCCATATTTTAAACTAGGCTTTAAACCAGCTTTTTTTTGTCAGCCGTTAGTTAATAACGGTCTCAGGTTTATTTCTAGTTTCTAGTACATGGGCTCATTTTTTATTTACTTGATTAAAAAGGTATCATAGTTGATTTGACTAAAGGTATAATCAGCTTTTGCCATTTAACCATACACCATTTAAAAATTAGATGGAAATATACTAGTAATTGGCTTATAAGTAAAATAAGCAATTATCGCTGCATTTTTTTTCTTTATAATAATTATTTTAAAGATCTAGAATAATTACAGCAGTTTCAGCAATGTTAAGAAGACTCTAAAAAACTTTAAAAATCTTCAAAAAACTTCACAAATTTTTAAAAAACTTCAAAAAATGGAAAAGAGATTTAAAAAAAAATTATGCAATAATAAATGTCTTAATAATACAAAAAAATGAATAATATCTAAAAGTCTTTGATCAAGGGTCAATTCTTTCTATGCCTTGACGAGATTTTGCCTCTTCTACTAATTTATCCCAGTCCACAGTTTGGACATATATATATTCACAAGAGCAAATGAGCAAAATGGCAATACTCATGGAAATCCAAAATCCTTCAATACCTAATCCACACTTAAATCCTAAGAAAACAGCCAGTGGAAGGGCTTGAAAGTAAAAGAAAAATAAATTGAAATATCCACCAATTTTAGGACGACCAAACCCACGCAAAATTCCACCCATCATCGCAGAAGGGGCATCAACGCAGCATAACAATGCAATAACTGGAATTGTTTTTAAGCACATTGCAATAACATCAGGATCCTCAGAAAAACCAGGTCCCACATGATTTCGCATTAAGTATAAACCCAAGCCATCAAATAAACCGACAAAAATGCTAATAATCAGACCAGCCTTTTTAGCAATGCGAGCATTCTGGGTTAAAGATGCACCAATAAAGTTTGCAATACGGTTGGATGAAACAATACTAACAGAAAATGGAATTTGATATATCGAAGTTGCCACCACAGAGACAACGGATTGGGTAGCCAGTTGGGTCGTTCCCAAAACAGATGCACAAAAAGTAAGAATTTCAAAAGCAAAAAACTCCGCTTCAATCATAATGACACCAGGAATAGCAAGGCTAATCATGGGGCCCCAGTTCTTAAAGATATTTGAAGAAATTCCACCCCAGCACTTCATTCCATCCACAAAGCGAACATAAGATAGCAGAAGAATTGCCATGAGCCACTGAGTAGTTGCAACTGAAATAGCTGCACCAATGTACCCAAAACCGAATGACGGATGCCATACAAGGAGGTACGTCAAAAGCATATTGAAAGGAGCACAAAAAAATAAAACGTATGAAGAAGCACTGTAAATTCCTTGTGCTTGAACAAAACGTTTACCACATTCAAAACAAGTGAAGCCTGGAATACCACATAATGCGACCTTTAGATAGGATGCTGCTAAAGCAGCAACAGCAGGATCATCTTTGGGAACAATGTAATAAAATAAAGGCTCAGAAAAAAGCCATAGTAACCCGATAGGAATAAAATATACAAGTGTCATGGCAATGCATTTTTGTAAATATTCTCCAACAAGAGTATATTGTTTGGCACCATAAGACTGGGGACATAAAGTATCGAGACAAGTAGCCATTCCTTGAATGAATGCTATACCGGTAATACTAATAGTCATAGATCCGAGAGAAACAGCGGCAAGATAAGACTTGCCCAGGTGCCCCACAAAAAACACTGAAGAGGCAGTGAGGGTGCTTTGCAAGAGAAAAGTGAAAACCAAAGGACCAGCGTTGGCCAAAACGTACTTGCATTCGTTAGCAAAAGATGTCAAGATTTCGTTATTATCAACAGCGTCATCCCATGCTTTTGCTATTTCAACGATACTTTCAGTTTCAGAATCCATGACGTCATCAATAGCGCCATAAGATTCCTCAGTCAAAGATAACATGAGCGGTCCTGAACTTGTAGGAGCAGCTCCATGCCCAGCTTTTAAGAAGTCATCTGGATGAGGTTTAAAAGTTGGAGAGTGTCTTTTAATTAGCTCTTCTTCTTCGGCAGCGAGCTTATGGGCAACATTAGGTTTAACTATGAAATGGCTACCAGAATGATTTGGACTACCGGCGTCGATATTGCTGAATGAAGGCGAAGTACTCAGAGCATCGGAAAAAACTGGACGGCCGCCAAAAATAACGTTTGCATTAGTAGGAGACTGTGAAAATCCATGATGAGTTTGAATGTCTATTGTTTTTTTAGAATTTGCTCGAGGAATAGGAGTCATTTTTTTTCTAGTTTCTAATTTCTATTATACATTGTAATAACAAGATCTTAACTGGAGGGGGGTTTGGTTTTTTTATATGAGTTTTTTTTGGATTCTGTTTAATTATTTTTTCGGCAATCTACAGCGCAGTAGAGAAAGTCATCCCGATTTGGACATAGCCGCGCCACTCTATGCCAAAACAAGGATACTTTTACTTCCCCTTATATAGTTATATAGCTATATGAAGCGAGGACTTGCAATAACTCAACAGGGCTGGTAACTGCGCTGTGACTCAACGACGAACTTCGAATGTGTCATTTCGAAAGGACGCTGTGGATTTGATATAAACCATTATTACCTTTGTTGAAGATGTTTATCATTTTTTATGCAAAGTTTTCCACTGTCAACTTTATCATAGGTATTTGAGGTTATTAGAATTGTCAGGGTTATCAGGGTTATCAGGGTTATCAGAGACATATTTATATATAAAAAAATCGATATATATAGTAACTTTGGCGATTGTTGAGTTCTCTAGGAGTTTCCACTTTAATATGTTTGAGCTTTAGTGGTTTCATTTTAGTGAACTGTAAAAACTTAGTCTCCGGTGATAAAATTTAGTCCGAGAGTTAATTATTAACAACCTTTAAAACAACAACAAATAGTTAAGTACAAAGTTAAGCTTAATTAAAAAATTAATTTAATTATTATTATCTTAAAATAATTATTAAAATAATTATTTATAGCTGTGGATAATGGCCAAGAACTAATACGCCTATTTATCCTTATTTTGATTATTTTGATACCTGATGGGTAATTTTTTTTTCAGGCAAATTTATTTTAGAACCTAAGATCATTGATAAGATTTTTTTTAATAACCATTTTGTAATTCTACAGAATCTTTATACTATTTCGATTCGATTGGCGTCGTTTATAAAGAATGCCAAAGGCTGCTTCTTATAGGATCGATGTTCAGTCAAAAATATATGCACTCGTTTACAAAAATTTTAAAGTCTTAAAGCATAGTATTTATAGCCGATAACTTAGCATAATGCAACATGAAATCATGTTTAAAAAGCCACTCATTTAAGCAAAAAAACACTCTTTCGTCAAAAACTGAAAAAAAAAAAATCAATTAAAAATGATAATAATGATTTATTAAAATTATTTGACTTATAATTATAAGTTAAGCTTATGCTTAAAATTTTTTAAGAAATTATCAGAGACTCCAAGATTTTTTTTAACAATAAAAAGGGGGTTCTTTCTTTAACAAACTTAGAATACTAATGACAATATATAGTTAATATAATAATTAGTAAAATGAATTACTTAACCCAAGCTGATTTCCGGAAGCTCAAGAACTTCACATTATGTTTTTTTTAAAAGAAAAATTTAATGATTTTAAGAAAATAGGCTGAAGATCTCACGCCAGAATTTCTTTGGCTGGTATCATACTGCCATTAGCCAAAGTATTACCTATAAATTGGATTTCATCATAATTTATTATATATAAAATATAGTATTTAGGGAAAATTCGTTAACATAATTGCCCACTTATGAAGAATCAATTGCATTGAATACTTGATGTCAACCTCTGTTGATTAAAAATCGATCCTCCCCAGATGACTTTCGATTATTTTACAACTGATATTATATCCATATCGATAATATGATATTAACTTCATGCTAATCACCAATTTTAGAAGGGCTGCCAAAAGATACAACTCTTACGAGCTAAATGATACAAAAGATCTATCCAATAAAATAATTGTTTCTATAAATTTCTCTAAACCCACTGAAAACGTGCTCATTAATTTACCCCAGTTAAAAAAAAACATATAAATATTTTATATATATATGTAACTTTCCAAGGATTTGACCTGCATACCCTAGCCATTCCTTACTTGATGCATAGGACGATATGTCGCTTATGGATAGGTTCATATTTTTAAAAAGAACTTTAAAAATGAATTTCGGAAAATTTACAGTAAAATTAACTTATTAGGGGAAAAAATACTAAATAAGTCAAAAAAAAAAAATGGGGGTTTCCAATATTTTTTTAAAAATTTAAAAAAGTATTTTAATAAATGCCAATAGTTTTATGTTGATAGATTGAAAAACAAAACAACATAATTCAATCTGGTGCACCATTTTACCAATATTTTGGAACTTCTTGCGAATCGAAAAAAAAAAAATCAAGCTTAAATGATCAAAAAATATTTTCTTTGTTTATATTAAAAGCACAATATCTAAACCAGATCTAAACTTTTTTTCGAGTTACAAATTTTTGGTATGATAAATTATGGGACATTTGACAGTTTTATGGGTTCAAAAATACCAAAGAAAAATGTTAAACCCAGGGAATATATTAAACAATTAAGATGAGATTTAGAAAATTTGGTTTTTTTTTTTTCTACTTTTTAGTTTTTATATATAAATAGTCCAATTCCTGATCTTTCGAAAAAAGAAGTTTTATTTTTTGCCTTCTTGTTGTTTAAATATCTTAAATATAACTATTCATTTCAATAATGGAATCAAAATCATTTGAAAATAACACCAACATTCAAAACATAGAAAGTTCTCTTGAACTCACATCTTTAAATGATAACATTGCTAATGAACATTTAATATCTATGGGGTATGTCCCTGAGATGCGAAGAAAAATGAGTACTTGGTCACTTCTTGGAGCTGGTTTTAGCATCACCAATTCGTGGCTAGCCTGCGCTGTGTTTCTTGCCCTCTCAATTTACAGCGGGGGTCCTTTAATGCCCATTTATGGAATCATTATTGGTGCATTTTTTGGTTTATGTACTGGTATTTCTCTTGGTGAACTGGCTTCTGCTTATCCAACTTCCAGTGGCCAGTACTATTGGACAATTGTTCTTGCACCCAAGAAATATGCACCATTTCTTTCATATTTATGTGGCTCACTCACCTGGGCTGGTTCTATTTTTTGCAATGCTGCAACGAGTATGTTAACTGCACAAATGATTGTTAGTGTCCATGCATTGTTAGCAGGCCCAGATTTTGAAATTAAAAACTGGATGATTTTCATAACATTTCAGCTTTGCAATGTTGCTAGCTTTTTGTTTAGTTGCATTGGCAAACTTCTTCCTACTTATGCTACACTAGCCCTTTACATTTCTCTTATAAGTTTTGCTGTGACTCTTGTAACAGTGTTGAGTAAGTCATCGGGAAACTTCAATTCCTCAAAATTTATTTTTGTGGAATTTAACAACCAAACTGGCTGGTCATCATCTGCTATTGCTTTCATTGTTGGGTTGATTAACCCTGCAGCTGCTTTTGGTTTCTTAGACTCCGCAACTCACTTGGCCGAGGAATGTATTGAACCCGAAGTCATCATTCCAAAAGCAATTATGTTTACCGTTGCCGTTGGGTTTGTAACAGCGTTGAGTTACACGATTGGGATATGCTTTTGCATCACTGATCTGGATACAATTTTAAGTTCTAATACCGGAATGCCTATCTTAGACATTTTTTACTTGGCTTTGAAAAACAAGGGTGGAGCTATTTTACTGATGGTGATGTTAATAACGTCGGTATTTTTTGCATTTATTATGGTACAATCATATGCTTCTCGTATTAGCTGGTCCTTTAGTCGCGACAACGGTCTCCTTGGGTCTCGATACTGGAGACAAATTCACCCACAACTGGGTGTACCATTGAATGCAGGCATTATGATTACCCTATGGACAGCCGCTTGCGGCTGTTTGTACATGGCATCATCAGCCGGATTTTCCTCACTAATTTCTGGTGCAGTGCTTTTTATGATGCTTTCCTATATTGTACCTATTATTTGTATGCTGATTCGGGGTCGCAACAGTTTCAAACATGGACCCTTTTGGTTGAATTCTGTAGGGTATGCTGCCAATGTTCTTACAATTTTCTGGACTATATTTTGCCTAGTGTTTTTCTGTTTCCCCTTTAGCAAACCAGTTACTAAAGACAATATGAATTATATTTCTGTTATTTTGGTGGGATTCACAGCATGGTGCGTAATTTATTGGATATTTCGAGGTCGCAAAGTTTTTTCTACAGCTGATATGCACCAGACTGGGTTTGAGGAATTGGATGGTGAAGCTATTAAGGTTGAGGCCATTGTTCATGAAAAAACTGTTCGTGATAACAGTAGTATGTGACGGCAAAAGAATTAAGCATGAGATACTACTGCATATGGAGTTTTTTTGTTTTTTTTTTGTTTTTTTATTATTTTTTTTATAGCTTAGTAACTAAGTCAACATACAAAATTTTAAATAAATTCGTTTCCTTATCTCATTATGCAAATCAGCGAGAGTGTTGACTCTTGCGGGGACCGGTACGTACTGGTATACTATAACCTCATCGTAGTGTACAGTGATGAATATGGTTCTGGAACGCGCCTATCCATGAAGGAGGAGTATATATATATTGATTTCATTCGGGACGTGTCATGTTTTCATTCCATGTTTCTTGCAACTCATTTCTATCTTATCGCGTAGTAGATTCCTATTCATTTTGATACTAACGAGCCATATTGAACTTCTTATCATTTTCCCCCAGATTATGATTTCAGTTAAATAACAATATGAACGTTCATATTGTTATTAAGAGAACAAAAAATTCTTTCAAAATAATTATTAAAAATTCTTTAAAATAAACAACATAAAAAAAATGCAACAAAATAAAAAAAAAGTACTTATATAGATATGAAGTAATTTTTAAAAAATATAAAAAAAGAGAATCATTTAAGGAGTAATTTCTTCAACTCCTTGACGTTCTTCAGCTTCTTGAACAAGGGCCTTCCAGTCAACTTTCTGGACGTAAAAGAACTGACAAATGTTAATAGAAAGAAGAGCGATAAAAATACCCAACCAAAATCCGCTTAAGCTCAGTTCAAACTTAAAAGCAAGAATCATGCCGAGGGGAAGCGCAACTACGTAGTAGAAAAAGAGGTTAAGATACCCGCCAATAGCTTGGCGGCCAAACCCACGGAGAACACCACCAAGAATAGCACCAGGGGCATCCACAAAAGTAGAGCACATAAATGGGATAATGGTATGAAGGAAAAGAGCAGTTACCTCTGGATCATCAGAAAATGCACTTGCAATAGTGTGGCGGAAAACGTAAAGAATAGTTCCATCAAATATGCCAATAAGAATACCAAAGACAATAACCACATTTTTGGCTATTTTAGCATTATCAGAAACGGAGGCGCCAATGAAGTTGGCAATGCGATTAGAAGCCACAATACTGACAGCAAAGGGAATTTGGTAAAGGAAAGAACATGTTGTGATGAGAATGGACTGAGCGGCAAGGGGAGTGGTGCCGAGGATAGATGCACAAAAGGTAAGAATTTCAAAAGCAAAAAATTCAGCCTCAATCATAATTACACCAGGGATAGCAAGCTTCATCATAGGACCCCAGTTAGTAAAAACATTTAGAGAGAAACCGTTCCAACATCTCATGCCGTCAACAAAACGGACATAAAGGAATAAAAGAATAGCCATGAGCCATTGGGTAATGGCAACAGCAAGAGCAGCACCGACAAAGCCAACACCAATGACTGGTGACCAAACGAGATAATAGTTGAGATAAATGTTTATAGGGGCACAGATAAAGAGAACATATGTTGATGCAGTGTAAATACCTTGTGCTTGGACAAAGCGCTTACCACACTCAAACGCAATGAATCCAGGCACGCCTACCAATACAACGCGGAGATAAGAAGCTGCAAGGGGAGCGAGGGAGGGATCATCATGGGCAACAATAAGAGCAAATAATGGTTCGGAATAAACCCAGAGAATAGCAAAGGGAGCAAACCAAGATGCAATCATAATGGAGCATTTTTGGAAATACTCGCCGACGAGTTCGTAGTTGCCTGCACCATAGGCTTGGGCACAAAGCGTATCAAGACATGTGGACAACCCCTGAATTAAGGCAAAACCAGTAATATTTGCTGTCATAGAGGCTAATGAGACTGCAGCTAACTCGGACTTTCCGAGATGGCCAACTGTAAAAATAGATGCAACGGTAAGAGAGTTTTGAAGAATGAAGGTTACAATCAGAGGGCCTGAGCTTTTAAGAAGATATTTGATTTCGTTAGAGTAAGATGTGTTTGCTTGGCCCTTTTCGACAGCCTCATCCCAAGCTTTGTTGATAGTTGCTACGCGAGTGAGAGTTGCTTCAAGTTCGTCTTGGTCATTGGTCATGTTAGTAAAGGCCTGGTCGAGAGCACCATAAGACACAATAGAAGGGTTTCTTGAACCTCCAGGAGCATTTGCAGCACCTGGGGCCAGTGTTGCATTTGAGCTAGTTGGAGATGTACCAAAAAAGTTTTGAGATTGTTGGTTAAGAAGATCTGCTTCCTCGTTAGCCAGGATCTGTGCTTGGCGCTGAGAAAGGATGAAGGGTCTGTGGGGACTAGTTCCCGAGTCGGTGTTGGAGAATGCTGGAGAAAGGCTAAGCGCGTCGGCAAAGGCTGAGCGGCCGACTGAGCCGTAGACGATGTTGCCAGAGGTAGGGGACTGAGAGAAAGCATGGTGGGAGTACAGAACCTCCGAGGGCCGTCTTGAGCTCGCGATAGGAATAGAAGGCATAGTAGGTATATGTAATACTATACTTCTTATTTAGATTTCTGTATGTTTTTGTGTGGGGAGATAAAAAAAAAAGTTTATTAATAGAGGGAAGAAAGGAAAGTATTTGCGATAGTTTAAGGAGAGAGAGGGAGGGAGGGAGGGAGGGAGAGAGGAAGAGAAAAAGAGGAAATAGGCATGTTTATAACTTTGGTCCATTCTTTAAAATTGGGGGAAAAAGGCCCTTTGTGGACCTAAAGGCTGCAAAAATGCGAGACCCAGAAAGGAAGTGAAGACGCCAGCCGTGTGGGTTGGAAATTGGCGCCAAAAATTTTCTCTAGGCAAATCAGCGCGGGAAAAAGATTAAGAAAGTAGCAAGTTTGGTATTCAATCTAGAAAATGCAACATAATAACCGCGCATCAACATACCTAAACAAGCGCCAGAGAGTCTCTAATATATGTTAGCCATATATATATATATATATATATATACCGTTTCTTTGGATATATATAAAAAAGTAAAAAAAAAAATTTTTTTTGAAATAAAAACAATTTTGAAATAAAAAAATAAAAAATTATTTTTTTTTTCTTTTTTCTAGCGGCTATCTCATTGTTCAATCTGAAAGCATAAAGCCTGGAGAAGGAAAAAAAAAAAAAAACCATAGAAAGCCCTTAAATTACATTTGTATTTTTTTTTTTTTTTTTTTTTACTAATTAGTAAAACTTAAAGTAATGTTGCTACTATATAATACTATTGATAAATTGTGCTGCAGGGATTGATGTCATCATTTATGGTGTATCAACACGGGTAGCGATGATCATGGCCTCCCCCAGGTGATATCAGCTGAGGTTTATACATTTGAAAAACTGCACATATTAGCAAGATATTTATATTTTTAATGGTATAAGATCAGGAAATTTGCTAGGTATATTTTTTACTTTTTACTTTTTATTCTCATTAATTCCTTTTAAAAAGATAAAAAAAAGAAAAAGAAAAAGAAAAATAAAAAGAAACCAAAAGCTAGAATTATTTTAATGAAATTTAAAATAAACAAAAAAATGATTTTCAAAATCAAATGTTTTTAAAAAAAAAAAAAAAAAAAATTTAAAATCATGGAGATAGAAGTTATACTTTTAAAGGATCTAATAAATTATGTAAGTATTGGTAATCACTGACTCATATTAACCGAGGCTCTTAACATCCTTCTAAAGTCTCCACAAAACCTCCACAAAACTCGCCATTTACTTGATCCCACCCAAAACTTTTACTTACCTTTCAATATATATTTTAATCTACACCTTCATTATGGATTACTTTTCGTCGCTCAATGCATCGGCACTTGACCCGGACTCTCCTACTTTATTCGAACTCATCTCGGCACATGAGCTTTCCGATCTAATTGGTCCCTCCCTTCGTTATATTCTCACACATTATGCCCAACGACACCCACGATACCTTTTGCGGTTAGCAACGCGTTTCGATGAAATATACGCAGCAGCAACAGCAGCTGTCGAATACCATCATCTTAAAAACTGGAACTCCACATTTACAGAAAAGTTTTACGGTGTTAAACGTGTGCGCGTGCTCCCGTCAGCAGGACAGCTACCCCGAGCCCGCCATGCAGCCCCAATCATGGTCGACAATATGCGCCGACTTACTCACACGCAGGTATTGCTTTCTGTGGCTGCAGCAGTCTTAGGCCCGTATCTTCGTGAAAAGATGGATGCCAAGTACGAAACTCTCAAGGCTCGAGCACTCGTCCGTAATATGGACACAGAGTACGTGCGTATCATGAGTGATGAGAATGTGACTTGGACTGAAAAGTTTTGGTTTTTGCGTGACTACGTTTTTTTCAAGGTGTATCCGGCTTTCACAGCAACCCGATCAGCTATAACATTACTGTTTTATCTTTCTTACATGTTCAACAGACAGTCTAGTGCACACTCATTGCTTGACTGGCTTTTGGGATTCAAGTATAGCCGGTTAAATGCTAATGATTACGATTTAGCTGATAAACGTGCGGGTATTGTTTCACAAGATCTATCTCCAGGCGGGTCGGGCCCATCCGATGATGATGACGATAATACACCTCTTTTGGGTCGACTCATCAATTTAGTTACCACACAGACAGGCCGGAAACAGATAAGAGGGGCTGCTCTAAGCGGGTTATCATATGCACTCCCCACTGCCATGTTTTTGCTTAAATTTTTGGAATGGTGGTCAGCTTCGGATTTTGCACATAAATTAGCAGCCACTGGTGGCCGCCGCGGAATGCTTGAGGGGAACTTACCGACACCTCTACCTAGTAGTTTGGAAAAATCAAAGGTGGAACAAGTAGATGAAGATGATGAGGAAGAGGAGGAGGAAGAGCAAGAGAAAGAGAAAGAGGAAGAACAGGAAGTTTCGGAAAAAGTTTCTATCAATCTTCCTCGGGAAACTTACACCAAAATAGTTCGCGACTCACGGTTGTGTCCGCTATGTGCTGAGCCAGTTACCAACGCAACAGCCATTGAAACTGGTGTGGTATTTTGCTACCCATGTATTTATAAACACCTAGAAAACGGTACTTCTGAGGATGGTGGTCGATGTCCAGTAACTGGAACTCGGTTGTTGCAATGCCGATATAATGCGGACCGTGAAACATGGGACGTTGGAGGCTTGCGACGACTTATGATTTAGACCAAAAAAAAAAAAAAAAAAAAAAACATTTAAGCAAATTATATTGTACAAATATATATAACAAAATGTTGAAAAACTTTTTTATGGAACAATACGTTCTAATGTTTGACGTGAGCGGGCCTCGTCGACCAGAGCCTGCCAGTCGACTTGTTGAACATAAATGAACTCGGAAATGTCAATGGAAAAAATAGCAACAAATATACCTCCCCACAGACCTTTAAGACTATAATCATAATAGAATGCTAAGACTAAGCCCAAAGGCATGGCGACAGCATAATAAAAGAATAAATTAAGATAGCCACCGATAGCCTGACGGCCAAAGCCTCGGAGCACGCCTCCAAGCACTGCGCCAGGAGCATCAACGGTTGTGCAATAAACCAAAACAGTCAGTGATTTTGCAACAAGAGCAACGACATCGGAGTCAGAAGAAAATGCAGTGCCAACATGGAAGCGTAAAACGTAAAGAATAATTGAATCAATGGTACCAAAAACCACAGCAGCTATAAGAGCAACGTTTTTGGCAATGCGTGCATTTTGTGGGAGAGCTGCACCAAGAAAGTTTGCAATACGGTTTGATGCAACAATACTCATAGCAAATGGAACTTGATATAGCAAAGAAGAGGTGGTAGCAAGAACAGACTGTGCAGCCAAAGCTGTAGTCCCAAGACGGGATGCAGCAAATGTCAAAACTTCAAAAGCTAAGAATTCAGCTTCAATCATAATGACACCAGGGATGGCGAGTCTAAACATGGTCCCCCAGTTTTTGAAAACGTTGCGGGAAAGTCCACCCCAGCACTTGAGCCCGTCAACATAGCGAACATAAAGAAAAAGAAGAATAGCCATAAGCCATTGAGTGATTGCAACGGCTAGAGGTGCGCCAATGAACCCAAGACCAACGACTGAAGACCAAACAAGGTGGTAGTTTAAAAAGGCATTAATAGGAGCACAGATAAATAAAACAAAAGTGGCTGCAAAGTAAATGCCCTGTGCCTGGACAAATCGTTTCCCGCATTCAAAAGCAATGTAACCAGGAACACCTATAAGTACAATGCGAAGGTAAGAAGTTGCGAGCGGGGCCAAAGCTGGATCATCGTGAGTCACTAGAAATCGAATGAGAGGTTCTGCATAGAGCCATAGAATGCTAACAGGAGCAAAGCAGGCCATCACCATTAAGGTGCATTTTTGGAAATATTCACCAACAAGAGAATAATTTTCTGCACCATATGCCTGGGCACAAAGTGTGTCAAGACAAGTTGCAAGGCCTTGAATCATAGCAAAGCCAGTGATATTTGCAGTCATGGAGGCAAGGGACACGGCAGCCAGCTGCGTTTTCCCCAAGTGGCCTACAGAAAAAATTGAAGCCACAGTGAGTGAGTACTGGAGCAAAAAGGTAATTACTAGTGGACACGAGTTTAAAATAATGTATCTAATTTCCATTGCGTATGAAGTTTCTGCACGACCCTCATTAACAGCTTCATCCCATGCTTTAGAAATGGCCATGACTTGGGCAGTTTCTGGGTCCTGTTCGTCATTATCTGAAAATTGTGTTTGAGGGGAATCGACTGTTCCATAAGAAGATGAGGCTTGTTGGGATATCAGGTGGGCAGCTTCTGTGTCTTGTGAAATCAGTGTTTCTGAGGATGCAGATTGGTGAATAAGTTGTGTTGGTTTTTGCCATTGGTTCGAGTGATTTAAAATCTCTTCTTCTTCCTGAGCTAAAAGTTGAGCTTGACGAGGATTTACTATAAATGTATCTTCCTCTAAGTTAGAGGGCGGACTTAAGACTGGAGAGAGATGGAGCGGGTCTCCAAAAGCTGAGCGACCGACAGAGCCGTAGACAATGTGGGCATTGTTAGGGGTTTGAGAGAAGGCATGGCGCGAATGTGGCACATTTATAGGTTTTTTCGGGTTAGCAATTGGGATTGGTGACATTGAATAAATGCAAAGTAAAACCTTTCTTTTTGAGTAGGTTTGCTTCTTTGTTCAAAAAAAAAAAAAATAAATAAATAAATAAAAGTAAAATAAAATAAAAAAAGTTAGGAAAAGATGGTTGTATTTATACGAAACCAGTTAGTCGCAAACTTTTGGTGACCCAGAAAAAGAGTGAATTGTATGGCATGAGTAGGCGGTTTATGAAGAAGAAGAAGAAAAATTTTTGGGTTTTAAGAAAGAAAGCGCCGCATATGCCTCAGACAAGCCACATTTACCGCATTGGGATGGCCATTCGCAGAGAGTTGACATACACGGTTGAGGATGGTAATAAAAAAAATTTAAAAAAAAAAAATTACCGAGGAAAACCGCGGCTGTAACATAATTGTAACATAGATGTAATGTCATATTTAAATCTAATTATTGAAATGTAATATAAAAATGTATCTCGAGCTTTTTAAACTTTTATTTTTATTTTTATTTTTATTTTTATTTTTATTTTTATATTTTATTTTATTTTATTTTATTTTATTTTATTTTATTCTATTTTTTTTTTTTTTTGCACCACCACCACCACTATTACCCATAAATTTTTCAGCACTTTCCTCTTTTAGCCTTTTATTACCAAAAAAAAAAAAAAAACTTATTTATTTATTTTTAAATAATATTAAATTAAATTAAATATAATTAAATTAAATTAAATTAAATTAAATTAAATTAAATTAAATTAAATTAAAAAAATAATTAAAAAAAATAATTATTCCAATCAAAACATTCACAACCACCACTCTCACTATCCTAACCCCCCAAAACATACATTTACACAAACCTTTACACACAACAAGACCCATTTAACTAAAATTATACTGGAAAAAAAAAATGAGTCTCGACAACGAGAAAGTCTCTGTCGTGATCCTTGGAGATGGCGGTGCAGGCAAATCCTGTATCACGATGCGTCTTATTCGTTCAAAATGGGTTGATGAATATGATCCCACTATTGGTACGTATTTTGTTTACTATAGCCTAGAGTTTTATTTTTTATTTTTTATTTTTTATTTTTTATTTTTTATTTTTTATTTTTTATTATTATTATTTTTATTTTCTTCTAGAAACCCCCCCTCCCAAAAAAAAAAAAGAATAATATTTTTTTTTATTAGGGGTCCTTTTCTCCCAGCCAACACCATTACCAGCCTCTTTGTTCTCTTATGCACACCAAGAGATAACTAGCCAGTTGTCGATAATAAACAAAAACAAAAAATAATCAAAATTACCATTAAATAATAAAAATATTCATTTAAAAATAATATTAAAACAATAATATTTATACATTCACACACATATATTTATATATATACACATACTAACAATAACATTTATTAGAGGACTCCTATACGACAACCCGTGTTGTGGACGGCAAACATTATCGTCTCGATGTCATTGACACAGCTGGCCAAGAAGAATACCGTGATATGCTAGGCTCTCTCTTTTCAGCAGACTCTGCAATAGATGCGTACCTTCTCGTCTATGATATTAGCTCACGAGCATCTCTCGACAACCTCGAAGTTTTTGATGAACTTATCGAGAAGAACCTCGAATCTGGACTGAGGCCGCGCGGTGCCCCAGCTCCAGTCAAGATGGTGGCTGGCAACAAGTGTGATTTGGCGGAGAGCCGCGCAGTCTCGTCAGCTGAAGGCCGCGCGTGGGCCCAGGCTCATGGATGTGGATTTATGGAAACATCAGCAAAACTCATGGTCAATATTGAAGAGATTTTTGAGACGCTTATTCGTCAGGTGAATCGAAACAGAATAGAAGCAGCTGGTGGTCAGGTACCACCATTACCAGCAGAAGTTTCTTCTCAAAAACAGCAAGGTACAACTGAAATTCAGCCCACAAATAGTACCAGTATTCCACAACCAACATCAGCAAATACAACCGCAGCCGCTCCCCTCTCAGCAAATGTCGGAAATGGTGCTTCAGATAGCGTAGGCGGTGGTGGCTCTATTACCCAAAAGTCAGCAGGTGCTGCTACAAACTCTGGCTCAACTGCCACTAATGCAGGTGCTGCTACTGCTACATCCCCAAATGCGGCGGGGAATACTACTGATGGCAGCGGCGCAGGCGCGGCAGCCGCGGGAAAAGTCCCTGCGGCAACAGCGACCGCGAAACCTGCGCCCATAAGAGGTGCCGCTACCCGTGTCAATGAAAAGACGTCACCTGCAGATGCAAAAGCTAATGGATGTTGTATAATTTCATGAGTGAAGTGCTTGTGCTTTTTTTTTTCTTTCTTTTTTTTTTTTCTAATTAACTTATATATACAATTCATCTATTTTCTTTTTTTCTCTTATTTACAAAATTGGAACGGCTTCAACTGTAAGTTGGACACAATCAAAATTGGAAATAGTGCACGGCACAGACTCGCCAATTGAATATACCCTAGCACCAGGCTTGCCTGCAATGGCATCAATGTCAATTAATATGTTGGTTGCAATTTCTGGTGCATAGCCAAACTGTGTTCCGCCAAAGGGATGTGATGTGACAATGCATGTGACCGGGACACTGTCCTTGCCCAATAGTTTTTCCTGGGCAAGTCGATGCTCAAGGTGCCGCAGTGCCCAGTAAGCTGTGCTTTGTTGTTGTGCACGTCGTAAAATGCTCTGCGTCCGCAGCAATCTAATACTCATGGTGTCAGCTTGTGCCGCATCAAACATGTATGCATTACCAGAGTCTTTATTTTGGTCCTTCAACAGACTTGATCCTAACTGCCAATGACAAACCACGTCTTGGAACCGACGCAATGGCGATGTAGAGTGCATGTATGCATCAATACCCAAGGCCCTATGTGGGCGTCGAGCAACCCCAAGACCGGCCGCTCGCATTAATGGTAGTGTTTGTAATGTTTCTTTGAGTGCAAGCTTGGGTCCAATTCCGTCATTGGCGCGTTGCCATGGTGTTGCAGTCCAATCATATGCCTTATTAACTGCACTTGTTGCATCAACCACACGAGCCTCAGCCGCAGCACTTTCAAGACGCAAGTCTTGGGTCCGATACATGCCAGCAATATCGTGTGCACTTGTGTACCGAGCTGCAGCATGGTTACATAGAATCATCAGCTCTGCAACAAGTTCCCTTGCCACGCTGCGTTTGCTATAAGTCACGGAAATCTGGTTAATAACATCATCAACAGTTTCCTTATTAGAGGATCCCAGTGGAGGCGGTGGGGGGAACTTAAGCACAGGTTGTGGCATGGCCAAACCAACTGCTCCGCTATCAAAACGAATTTTAGAAAAGGCATTAGCCACGTGCCACAAGTTGCGCAAATCCGTAAGAGTTTTATCTGGGGTTTTAGTATCTTGTCTTAAAAGCTCATCCACCTTGTCGTAAGTGATTTGCTTTATGGACCGTGTTATTCCGGCAATCACCTGTACGTTATCAACATCAAAAGTTTGGGAAACTGGATCAAATTCCACCATAAAAGTCATGCACCGTTGAAGATTGCTACCTTCTACCAGCCCCAGTTTTTGAGTGAACCAAGGTGGGAACATGGGGATAATAGATTCAGGGTAATATGCTGTTGAAGTTTGGTTATATGCATGGCGCAAAAGTCCATCAGCTCCACTAGATCCATCAACTTGCAGTGCTGAAGACGGATCGGCAATATGGATATAAACTTTCCATTTGGCTTTAGGATCTTTGGGGACTTGTACTGATAATCCATCATCAATTTCGTGTGCACCAGCGTCATCAATACAATAAACAGTAAGATCATCAGGGAGCTGTTCTCGAATTGTATCGAGACGATCAGGCAAAGGTTTGCTCAAATCTTTAGGTTCGTGGAATTTTGCAAGACGTGCAGCTCCCTTTTCCAATGTTTTAAGCTTAGATTGTAGTCTTACAGGATCATCACGAGGCCCTAATAAACCCAGTTTTTGTAGGTAGTTGAATGCATAACTTTCATCTACAACGGGAGCTTCAAGCGTACTTGCAGGGGTATTTTTAGGAACAGCACCAGTAGCGATTTGTGCCAGAGCGCGGTAATGGTCAATATGCTTTAAGAAAATTTCAACAACTGAACGGATGGTGTTTGAAGAACCATAAATGTCGCCAGTTGCAAAGCGACGAATAAGTTCAATGATGGAGCGATTGGTCTTGTGGGTTGACATAACTCGGGTTGAGTTGGTTGCGAGAATCTCGTCTAGGTAAGATTTGTCGCGAAACTCTGCATTAATGAGACCATTCATAAGATCTGGGGCCTTATCAATTGCAGCTTGTGCGGAATTAGAAGAAACTTTGAATGAACCTCGTTTATTCTGTGTAGATTTACTTGTAATTTCCAATGTATCTTTATCTCTATTCAAAGAGCGAGAAGCAGCTTGGGAAGCTTCATGTTCCACAATAATCTTCATGGCCTTAATAGCTTTATTTTGATCGTTTTCTTCGGAAATTGGTAGTAATGTCAGCGTGATTGGAGTGAGTCTGTCGTTAGTATCAAAAAGCACCTTGTCACCAAATCGTGAGTTAATAGCAGTATAGACTGCATACAAAACATCAATATCAACACGACGACGAGCACCTTCAAGATCATGTGGGGGGAAATGAGCCTTGAGTGCAGAATAATCACGTTTTGAAGATGACTGGTTAACATTAGAAAAAATGGTATAGGCGACTTCGAAAAGAGAAACATTGATAGGGTCTGCTGAATCTTGAAGTTCGCCAAACATGGTTTCAAGCTCAACCTCGACACGGCTAACGACACTTTGTGAGCGAGTGATGAATGAACGAATGCGGGGACAAATTTCATTTTTAAAGCGGCTAGTGACGGTGACAACTGGGTTGTTAGGGTCGTCAGAGCTGATGACTCTGATGAGAGATGCAAGCACACCTGGTTTATCGTCTGGAACAGCCACAAAGCGAGGGATTTTAAATGTAAAGCTACGGCCACTACCTGTATAATAAGAAACACTTCCTTGGTGATCGACTACTGCATATTCATGGACAGTCACGAAATCAGGGACTTGGACAATAACGCCCAGATCACCGGAGCGAGTTTCAATCAAATCTCCTTCAAGAACGCGGCCCAAGTACATTTGTTGATCAATGAACTGTTGAGAAATAGATATATTTGACTTAGTGGAACCTTCAATTCCTGGGAATGTAAGTGATTTGACAATTTTAGGATCATCATTGCCGACCGTTTCTTTAAACTGGTTCTGACGAAGGCGAATATCGGCTATAATGTCAGTAAATGAGCGCGCATTGTGACGGGAATTTAGTTCATCAATAATTTCCTTTGGAGATGGGATATGTTTTGTGTATCTAGGAGCGGATGTACCAAAGGCTTTTCTGCAGGGGAAAGTCCTGGGTATTTTATGGGCTCGTCTAAGCATTATATTTAAGATCCCAGTAATTCCAGGGATATTAAATTTTTATTTTTATTTTTATTTTTATTTATTTTTTTTTTTTTTGGTGATGGTTTAGAAGAAAATAAATCATCTGGAAAAACTCCTCTCTGGGGAAAAATTTTCAATCACATGACTTGACGTAATTTTCTTTATAAACAAACAAGAGCAGCAACTGCAATATTTACAAAAAAAAAAAAAAAAAAACTTCTTTCAAAGACCATTTCAATAAAATAAAAATAAAAATTTTCTCTTTTAATCTAACCAATTAATTGTACAATTTAGTTCTTGTAGTAGTACCACTTGTCATCACCAACGGGCTCGGAGTGAGTGTAAACGACACCATCAGTGGCGAGCTTGTCAGCCTCAGCAGGGTTGAAACCCTTGGAACCCTCGAGAGTGGAGTTTGTGTTGTCGTAGTTTGCCTTGGGGTTGGTGCCAGTGAGGAGACCCTCCTTCCAGGCCTTGTGGCAGTGCTCAATGACCTCGAGAGAGAAGTCGGCCTCCTTGGCCTCACCGTTGAAAGCAAACTCGTTAGAGGGCTTGCCATCAGGGCGCTTGTAGTCACGGAACCAGTGACGAGTGGCAGCAATGAGGCCAGGAAGGTGTTCCTCAACATCAGCAAGGTTGTTGAGCTTCTCAGCAAGAGGATCGGTGACATCAATGGCAAGGACCTTCCAGTCAGTCTCACCCTCATCAATCAGAGCAACAAGGCCGAGGACCTTAACCTGCTTGACCTGGCCAATGTAGCCGACCTGCTCACCAATCTCGCAAACGTCAATTGGGTCGCCATCACCGTTGCACGAGGTGTTGGGGTCGACAAAGGTGGGGTCCTCCCAAGTCTGGGGGATGGCACCGTAGTTGTGAATGTAACCCTTGTAGGGGAAAAGGTTGCGGACGTAGCGGAGCTTGCCCTTCTTGGTGTCCTGGACAATGGGGTTGAAGGGGAACTTGGAAGACATCTCAAGCTTAGCATTGGACCAACGGGGGACCTCGACAACCATGTTGAAGACATGCTTGTCAGTAACACCCTCGGGCTTAAGGGGAATATCGTGAACAGACGAGATGACCTTACCAGAGGCATCACGGATGTAGACCTTGTAATCGAGGGTATCGGGCTTACCGACGTGGACGGAGGTGTAAGAAGACATTGTTCTGATTTGAGATGTGAGGGAAGGCTGGATGGTTGTTTGGGCAAAATGTAGAAGACGGGCGTGGAGACGGGACATGGCTGGGTATTTATAGGTGTGTGTGGGTGTGTGTGAGCCTGGGGGGGGAGGGAGGTAGTGGTGGAGCTGTCAGTGGTGGTATGGCAGTGGTGGGTGTGCTGCTATGGCAGTGTATGGCTGGGCAATAAGTAGGTACAGGGTTAGGGTTTTGAGTTGTGGCGGCGGGTAACGACGTGGCTGGAGTTGAAACTTTTTCTTTTCTTTTTTTTTTTTTTTTCTTTTTATTGGCAGGTGAAGATGATTTGTAAGTGCGATTTTACTGGACTTTTTGTTTTTGGATTTTTCTAAAATGATTTTGAGATTTGGGGATTTTGGGATTTTTTCTCCGTCTAATAAATAAATGAAAAAAAAAAAAATTAATTTTAATGCTACTGTCAATCTTTACGTGCCCAAGGGTTTTATATATATATATATATATCAACATGGCGGGGGATCCTCACCGGCTCTGACGCGGAGCAGGGAGGGTAATTGCCCGCTGCGGAGAAGTTATAAGCTTAGAGAAATCTCCCCTCTAACAAAAAAAAAAACAAAAAAAAATTTAGGTAGAATATTCAAGTAAATGTACCGAGGAAGAAAAAAAGGGAAGCCCTTAAGGTCCCGAAGTCTCTCCGGTGGTTGTGTCCCGGTCAATTTCACATGTATACACACACACACACACACATCAAAACAAACACTCAAAAAAAATGACCCGGTGCGCGTAGTGGTAGAAATCCATACGGGTCTTTAGAAATTACCAACTTGACTTTTAAAAAAAAATAAAAAAAAATAAAATTAAAGACACTCTGGCAACTTTGATTTCTTTTTCCACTCGCCCGTCATCTTCATGACAATGTCAGCCAGAGTGTAGCCGCCGGTACCGCCGCAACCATTCAACCACTCCCGCTGGCCCGTAAATTTGAAAAATACGAAAAAAAAAAAAAAAAAAAAAAAAAAGACGTGAGCCACTCCTGTCATGAAATTATTTCAAAAAAGAAAAAAAAAAAACATTTTATATATATTTATATATATATGAAAATATAAATATGTACTACTGAAGAAAGAGAAACAAGGCCGGGTAATGCCCAGACTTTTATTAAATTTGTGGTGTTTTTTTTAATTTTTTTTAATTTTTTTTTAATTTTTTTATAATTTTTTTATTCACTCCAAACAAAATTTCTTTGTGGCGCTCAATTGCTTGATTGGCCAAGCACCAAGACTCTAATTTCCAAGGAGGGTAACCAGCTCTGTTGGTATCACAATAGCCAAGGCTATATAGCCCATATGAAAATAAAAAAATAAATAAAAAAGTGGCTTGATGACTAATATTACACTAAGAAATTACGTGCTCAATAACCGGAGTTAAGTGATGCACACACACACAAACACACACACTCCACTCCATTCGGTACTTTGGTCCTCCTCACCCTCTCTTCTCGGGCAAAGGTTTCTGTGCATACACTAATAATATCTGTGCTGCCGGGTACCCGCCTGCAGGTGGTACCCGTGTCTGCGCCTTAAACAGATCGTACTCTTGGACTGTAAGCCCGCCAAATGCCCGGAAAAGTGAGTCGCTGTAGTACATGCATAGAAACTCAGCTAGTTGTCCGACCTGGCCACCCCAGCTCCGTGGGAGTGTCACCAGTGACTGGGTCACTCCCATAAATCCAACAGAGTATAGGCGTTGAGCTATTTTGTTACTAGGATATGGGTCCAACGACCGAGCTTCCAGGTTTGCTCGTAGGCGTGACCACCAGTACTCATCTGCAGGGGTCCCGTTGAGAATAGCGTAGTCTGAAACAACTAACTCAACATACCCGCCGGGTCGCAAAACTCGGAAAATCTCTCCTAGTACAGCCTCCCACTCATCATGTCGCACAAAGTACCATAAAGATTTGGCACTTACTACATCAAATGTATTATCATCAAATGGCATTTGTGTAAGTGAATGTCCCACACAGGGAATATAGTTTGCAGGACCTGTCGGCTCAGCAGCTTCGGTTTGTGGTGTGGGGAATAGTAGGTACATCAATGGTGATTCATCTTCACCATTTTCTTCTTCATCCTTCGATGAGGCTAATAATGGTGGTGAAGTTGTTTTCGGTGGTTCTCTAGGAGATTGCAACTGTGGAGTTCCTGATCTGGGAGATTCTACCAAGTTTAAATTGGAAACACTTGGTGATTCAGGTGGATCCACAAAACAAGCTGCAGTCTTGGGTGAAGCTGATCCCTCATCATCCAAAGACAATGATTCTGTAGGTGGCGGCAGCGCATCACAGTAAGATGACATTGGTGTTTGTGCGCTGTGCACACTCTGAGTGCTCATAGTGCTTTGAGTACTCACCAGACTCCGAGAGCTTTGTGCGCTTTGAGTGCTTTGAGTGCTCTGAGTGCTCTGAGTGCTCTGAGTGCTCTGCATGCTCTGCATACTCTGCATACTCTGCGCAGATTTTTCATCCCCAATTCTTGATGTCCACGATCCCTCCCGAGAAACAGCAGTGCTTGTCCGTGTGCCTACTGAACCCTCAGGTGGCCGTGACGCTGCTGTCACCATTGACGCTGCAGACCCTACACTTTGTACTTCTGAGCGTGCACGTGGAGTGGCCACCAGACTTCCAGATGAAAAAATCACTGTATCATCAACCTCTTCCTCTGAACTATTTTCCCGTGAATGTGGGGGTGGTACTGAATCTTCAATAATTGTCTTTTTAGGAGATGCTGATTGTTCTGATGAAGTTGGCTCTACAATAATGCTCCCCCGCGGATCTAGGTATTTTGCTGAAAACTGGGGTTTCTCAACTTGTTGTTTCTTCTGCTTAGCAGCTGCAACCGCTGGTTTCGGTGCTCCCTTCTTAATTTCATCACCATTGTATCCGCACTGGGTATTATTATCATTTAAATCCTCATTCTTCTTCTTATGATGGTGGTGGTGGTGATGGTTATGGTGGTTATGTTGATGATCATGTTCCGGCTGCGGCTGTTGTGTTGATTTTGGCGCTGCTCGAACCTTACTATTTGTAAATTTGAATCCGTAAATCACAGATGATGGATTATCCAATGCAATTTGCCACGACCACTGGTCCTCAAACATCCCTTGAATGTCAAGTACTGTGTGTCGAGGACTATCTTTAGCTGGTGAAAATAAAAGCTGTCCGCACATGATATAACGTAATGCCATCATTGTCCATAGCTCAATGATATTGCGGTCACTTGTTGTTGCACCCGCCCCAAAACTCCCCACTGATGGTAAAAGTGGTGGCAATACAGATGAGTCTGTATCAGAAGGAGGACCCGGGGCACCTGGGGAAAGGGGCGGTGAAGGCCCAGACACTTCCTGGCTTGATGCAGGCGCTGGTGTTTCAGGAACTGGTGCAATCACAGGAACAGGCGTTCCAATAATTGTTGTAGCCCCAGACACTGCTCGTACAGTTGCCACTGATGTCACTGATGCTACTGATCCCGTATGAGATGGTCCAGCACTTGTTTGTAATAATGAAGTTCCTGTACTACTATTCCCATCTTCTTTCTTATCAGCTTGTAAAGAAGTTCCGGGTTTGGACCCAGACTGTTCAACAGAACCATCCCATAACCCAGATATCGACCCAGCCCGTCTTGCTGTTTCCGAAACAGTCCCATATGTTCGTGTATTTTGCAGGTAAGCCTCCTTCCGTGGTTTTGCATATATGATAGAGTCTGATTGCCGGCTTGTTGATGCAAACTTGTAAAATGTATTCCATGTTTCCGCAAGCGATCCTGCAACCCCAGACGCCCAGTCAACTAAGCCGGGAGTATTTTCATTCCCGGAAATGGTGTTAAACATTGGTCGCAGAAACTTTTGTGAATCTGATGATGGTTGTGTAGAAGAAGAGCCGCTAGATTGAGATTCTGATGTTGTCGCTGCTGGTTGTTGTTGAGGTTGATGCTGTTGTTGTTGCTGTTGCTGCTGTTGCTGCTGTTGCTGTTGTTGCTGCTGTTGCTGCTGTTGCTGCTGTTGCTGTAATGATGCTTGTGCCAGAGCTTGAGCCCGCTCCAATACCATGGCTGGTGTGGCCCCGGTAGTGTTGTTTATTGATGTAACCATTAATTAGATTATATAGTTATTTTGGTTTTCGTCTCTATTATATGTCTGTCTTGAGATGAATTTAATGGTTGGAAATGCAAGAAAAAAGTAATGTGTGTAAGAGAAAAGAAAAAGATTTAGCAAGGATTGAGTTCAAGTCATTTGATTGCTACAGTGCTGCTTTGTATTATTTGGTCACTGGTAAAAAAAAAAAAAAAAAAAAAAACTGGAGATATATATATATATATATCCACACACCGGATAAGGTTGATATAAATAATAGTCCTTTCCCAGTAACTGATGTTTGATTTTTAAAATATTATTTCCAGTCTGCCTTTAATTGTTCTTTGTTTAGGAGGTTTTCTAAAAAAAAAAAAAATGTTTGTTTGTTTGTTTTTATTCAAGGGTTATAGAACTATATAACATCAGCATCTGCGCTATCCTTTTATTGTCTGACTATGTGACTTGCCGGTTTTCATTTGTACCTTTTTAGTACGGGTGGTTTCTGTTCTGTGCGTCTCCGGTAGCCCGGATGATGGGCCCTGATGCCAGCTTACGAGGAACAGGGAGAACCAGTCTGTCGGTCCCAAAACCTTCCCAACCCATTTCCACTTATCTTCACGGACGCCCATGTATTTCTTAATCTCTTCCGTCAGAGATACGGCCCGCAATCACCTGCAGGCTATTTAGACTGTACGGAAGAGTCGGCATTCCTGTAACCAGGGTAGCCTATGGTTTTCAGTCTAGGTGTATACTCCCGTACACATCCTCAGGAAAAGGGGGTATTCTGGGAATCGAACCCAGTATCTTCCGCTTTCGAGCGAACGTGTTACCCTTTACACCATCCAGCCCTTTCCCAAAAAAAGGGGGGAAGAAGCATGGAAGAAAGTCATCCAGTATTGTTTTTTTTTTTGCTTCTAAAAAAAAACAAAAAAAATAAAAATTATTTTTTGGTAACAATATACACGCGTTCGATCCACTTAAGCTTAACCCACAGAATAACAATCAAATTCCAGCCTTCAAATTCATGCTCTACAATTGACCTTTTTTTTTTTTGTCTTTTTACAACTTTGTATATAAAAAAAAATTTTTTTCATAACAATACTAAAACAATACATTTATACACAGATATAAATATATACGCACATTGTGCTCATAATATAAAATAATAATAAAAATAAAAATAATATTCAAACCGTAATCATAAAAATAACATTTAAAAAAAAAAATTGTGGGGGGTATTAACATGTAAAGAAATCCTCATTTTCATATACATTCATTCCTCATTAAATTTAAAAGGTGGTTCATCGTATCATGTCACCAAAAAATCATTGGTGAAGTAGGGTTGTAATTGGCGTAGGGTCATAGACACTTAGTTATAGTTGTTCCACTGGCGGTTGGCAGTGTACTGTTGCTGCCCATAGCCAGCATAGCTGTACATGTTGGGCTGGTACTGGTTCTGGGGTTGAGCTTGAGTCTGGTGCATTTGAACAGGGCCGCCAGAAATCTGAGCATTACCAACAAGAGTCTGGGGGGAACCAGGAGCACCCTTGTCCTCACGGTTCAAAAAGTCGGAAATACCACTCAAAGTGTTTTGTCCGGCAGCAGCACCAGCTTGCTGTTGACCTTGCTGAGCAGCTTGCTGCTGACCACCCTGCTGCTGTTGGGAAGTCTGCTGCGAAGCCTGCTGAGGAGTCTGTTGCTGAGGCTGGTGTTGGCGGTAATCCATACCAGTGTAGTAGGGCTGCTTGTAGAAAGCATTCTGGGAGCTGAATTGAGCAGCTTGAGCGGCTTGAGGGTTAAAGGGGTAATAGTAGTGGTAGGGGTTCATGTAGTAAGGAACCTGACCGTACTGGCCAGCAGTGGGGCCAGAAGAAGCAGAAGTGATGCCAGGAGAAGCAGCACTAGTAGCAGGAGACTGGCCAGCAGCATTAGTTGAACCAGCAGTCACAGGAGGCTTTTCAGCACCATATCTGTTGGATTGCTGGGGGATGCCGGATTGATCAAAGCCACCAATACCTCTGTTCAAAGCATCTTGAACATGTTGGGGGTAGCCGTAGTAGCCAGAAAAGGCATTGCGGCTAGCATCATTGGCACCGTAGCCATAATCAGCATAGTAAGAGGCATTGAAGTTGGGGTGAGCACCAGGATACATAAACTGGTTCTGACCATAGTTGTCATAAGGCTTGGGCAATTGCTGGCCTTGTTGCTGTTGAGCTTGTTGTTGTTGTTGCTGAGCTTGCTGGGGTTGCTGTTGAGCTTGTTGTTGAGCTTGTTGTTGTTGCTGTTGCTGGGGCTGTTGCTGTTGCTGAGGTTGGGTTTGGTAATTGTTGGTTCTTTGGTTAAATCTGTTGTAGTTACCATAAGATTGAGACTGAGATTGCTGATGCTGGACCTGGTAGACATTCTGAGACTGGTGTTGCTGATCGGCAACAGCGGAGCGAGGCTGAGTAGGAGCAGAAATCTCGGTAGACTTGTCCTGACTAGACTCGTCTTCAGCAAGATTAAGAGAACCATACTGAGAGCCAAGGCGGCTGATAGAACGGCTACCAATAGAGTTGGGAAGAACAACAGGAGCATCTTGGTTAAGACGACGAGAGTAACCAGGGTGACCAGCGGCAGCAGCAGCAGCAGCGGCAGCGGTAGCAGCAGGTTGAGAAGGAAGAGAATTGATAGATCTCTGGGCTTCGGAAGCAGGTTGGGAGGGAATAGAAATGGGTCTCTGGGACTCAGATGCAGGAGCAGTAGGAGTAGAAGAGAGAGGAGCAGAAACAGTTGCGGAAGAGGGTTCGGCAGATTCAGCAGGAATGGATTCAGCAGTAGAAGGGGCTGGGACAGAAGAAGCAGGAGCAACAGGAGTAGCAGCAACAATCTCGGGTTCAGCAGCCTTTTCAAGACCAGGGGGTGTAGCATCACTTGACTCAGAAGTGACAGGTTCAGATTCAGCCACAGTTTCCTCAACAGTAGCAGTTTCAGGTTCAGGAGCAGCAGCCTCGACGGGGGCAGCAGCTTCTTCAACAGCAATAGTCTCCTCAGTGGGAGCATCATCAGTAGTAGCAGCGGCAGAAGCAGTAGCAGAGGCAAGAGCAGCAGTCTCTACAGCAGGTGTAGCAGCAGCGGGTTCGGTAGGAGCAGTGGAAGGAGCAGGAGTAGCGGCAGGAGCAACAGGAGCAGCAGGTTTGGTGACTTTAGGAGGGGGAGGGGGGGGAGCAGCAATAGCGGCCCAACTGAGCTTGGGCGGAGCAGCTGGAGCCGGTACCGGTGCCGGAGCAGCAGCAGCGGCAGCAGCAGCAGCTGGAGGAGCGGCCGAAGCAGTAGAATTTTGAGTAGAAGCAGCAGTAGACGAGGAAGGACCGGTAGGAACAGAAACAGATTCAGTAGATTCTTGAGAAGATTCTTGAGGAGGAGTTGATGAGGTGGGGACTTTAACAGTAATTGTGGCAGAGTCGGATTCAATGTGAGAGTGTGTTGTTGTAGCTGGGGCAGCAGCGGTGGCAGCAGTAGCAGTAGCTGGGGCAGCAGCGGCAGCAGGCACAGGTTTAGGCTTACTCGCCGCCAAAGCGGCCCAAGTTAGAGATGGAGCAGGAGTGGCCGAAGATGTAGTCGAGGACGTGGTTGAAGTAGTAGGGGCCGGGGCTTGAGCCGGGGCCTGGGTAGGTGTGTGTGCTGAATGGTCAGAGGTATTGCGGACTGTGGTATTTTCAGTAGATTGGGAGTGGCCATTAGTGTGAGGTTGTTTCCGTGGGCCTCTGGCAGAGCGAGGAGCAGATGCAGTTGAGGAAACCGATCTCTCAGACTTTGGACCACGAGGAACATGCTTAGAAAGGGATGAGCGCTGGCTAGAAGAACTACTGTGCTTCTCTGGAGCAATAGCTGAGGAAGAAGTCGACTCAGAAAACTCCTGCTTCTTAGATCTGTCCTTAGATTTCTTTTTAACTTCGCCCCATTGAGTGGCATGACCTATAAATTAAGGAAAAAACAAGTTAGTTAAAGCTTAGAAGATGGATGGATTGAATGGATGGATGGATTGATTGATTGATGGATTGATAATCGTAAAGAGGCGTAAAAAAAATTTTGGTTGCCTCTCTATTTATTTTTTTTTTTTTTTGTGTCTCCAAGTTTGAAAATTTTCCAAACACGACAGAAAAAGAAACCAAAAAAAAAAAAAAAATAACACAACAATCGTAATTTTAATGTCAAAGCAATCAATGTAAACTTGAAAAAAAAAAATCTTCAACATAAATATCGTTTAACTTACCTTCAGCAATTCGTAGAGATGCAGTTTCAGCATTTCCATCTGTTTCAGCCAAAACTGAAAGCAAATCTTCTTCCTTCCAATCCGGGAATAACTCTTGAAGTAGCAGCAGTGGTTCCGCATATTTTGATTTAAGTTTCTTTGTTTCTTCATCTAAATGCGAAGATGCGTGTTGTGAACGTCGTTGACGTGAGTAAGAGGAACTAGAGGATGAGGTGGAAGAAGGACCCGATGGGGTCTTTTTTGGTGGTTTGGAATCTGGTTGTGGCGTTGCCGATGTTGTCATTGTGTATATATATGTGTGTGATGTATTTGAAATATATGGAAATTCCAGTGATGAATGAAATAAAGTACAAAATAGACTGGTTTGGTGGTTGATTCTTTAAATAAGGATCTGACTCAATACCAGTTAGTTGTGTGTGTTTTTTTTCTTCTTTTTTCTTAGTTGGTTTTTCAAAAAAAAAAAAAAAAAATTCGAGAGTTGAAATACTTGCTTTGAATAGAGTTGAGGAGGCTTCTATATCAAGCAAATACGAATAAATGAGAGCGCTTTGAGGATGATGATACGATAGAGGGTTATATAGATGAGGATTTGAGTTGCTGGTTGGGTGGTGGTGGTGATGGCAAAAAAAAAAAAAAAAGAGAGAGAGAGAGAGAGAGAGAAAAAAAAAAAAAGAAAACAAAGAAGGAGGAAGAGGAGGGGGGGGCGCTGGAAAAAATTCAGGGCTTACAGTAGTTACTAAGTAGAAATAGTAGTAGTAATAGTAGGTGGTAGTAGTAGTAAAGGGAAAAAAAAAAAAAAAAAAAAAAAATATTAAATGGGTAAGGGTTTTGAGATTTAGCAATGTCAAAAAACTGCAGGCACTCGCGTGTGCGTGTATTTTTTTTTTTTTTTGATGTGCGTGTTGTTAAAAAGTCAATCAGTTTCACCCCATTATGGTAGCGAAATATTCGTAAATGGAAATTGTGGTGGTGGTGGTGGTGGTGCCGAATTTTTTTTTTTTTTTAAAGTTCTCTAACAAAAAAAATAATAATAATAATAATAATAATAATAATAGAAAGTGGTAGGTTAACATTTGAACAGCGATCAGATGACCCAGTTGCAACTTTGGTTAGCGCCTTGTCTTTAGCCGTGGCCTTTTTTTTTTATTTTTTATTTATTTTTTTTGGAGGAGGAGGAGTGGTGGCTCTGAAAATTTCAAATTTTTAAAAAAAAAAAAATATTACATTACATTACATACATTGTTGTAATCTCTAGAAAATTGTTACAAAGCCATTAACTTTTTTTTTTTGTTTTTTTTTCATGTCACCCAAGACGGCCACATACAACTGCATCACGTGATCCAGTCCACCAACGAACATGACTGAGACGAGGCTGTGATGTCACGGGACTCACAGATACCCCACGGCTGCCGAAAAAAACAGGTCCAACTGTCACAACAACTGACGAAACAAGCGGTGGTGGGCCATGAGTTTCCACTCGAGCTGCAGTCTCATCCAACAAACTGTTAATCACGGTTGCTCCTCCTTCTACCATTATCGACTGAATAGGGTGGCCATTGGACGTATTTTCTCCATACAACTGTGCAAAGATCTCACTCCAGGGAATAGGTCCAGTTGCTTGACTTGTACTTGGAATCACAATCACTTTGCCTCCAACTTCCTTAAGAGCCTCGATTTTGGCCACAACCTCAGAACTTAATGTATCGCTCAACTTGCTATCAATGCTACTAATACTGCTCTGATCACTCTTCCCTAATGCATCCGAACGAACAACAACATACGGCCCAAGTCCCATGCCTTCTTTTGCAGTCCGTAAAAGACGAGATCCACGTGGATCCCACTTAAATCCAGGATCCACCACAATCGGTTGAATTAAGTGAATGGGGTCCCCCTCTTTTGGAGTCCAACGACAATTGAGTCCTGGATCATCAGCTAAAACTGTTCCCACACCAACAAGAATTGCATCATGATGATATCGTAAATAATGTGTCATGGTTTTCGTTTCTGGATGCGAAATAATGGTTTGCATACCAGGAGCTGCTGAAATCCGCGAGTCTAACGAAGTAGCATATGTCAATGTCACAAATGGTAAATTATTGGTATCATTCTCAGAATTAGGTAAGTAGCTCTTAAGAACACCAGGCAATGAAGCCGGCAAAGGAACTAATTTAGACATTTTGTACTAATGTTTTAATGTTTTAATGAAAGAAAAAATATATATATATATTCAAAAATAAACAAGTCTTGGGTATAAAAAAGATTCAGGCGAAAGAAAAAAAGGAGGAAGAATGCCAGTTTAAATATTACCAATTACCTCCTAATGGAATGTTTAATAAACAAACTTTATCAAATGTAAATAAAAGAAGAAGATTTCAAATTATGAAAAGTCTATTTCTTCATCAACCAACCTCGTTCAAAAAAGATGCAGGCTGACCCACTCTTATCCCCCTATTGATATGGTTTGTGACACTATTGTAATTATTATTATAATTACATTCTTTCCAAAAACAAAAAACAAAAAACAAAAAATAAAAAACGACTGTTGTAACAAAATTAACAAAAACTCCCATATAACAATACTCTCATCATCATCACCATTAACAATTTTGCCACACACAACCATCCTAATCCACATAATATTTATACCCTCTCTCAAAATATATAAATAAATAAATATCATATATAATAATGATTGGCACTCGCGCAACACAATCTGCAGAGCAACTGGCTGCACAGAACTCTGCTCCTATTGAACATCGATTTAACCCTTATGATGACAATGGTGGCACCATCATTGGCATTGCTGGTGACGATTTTGTCGTGCTTGCAGGCGATACCCGCCACTCGACTGGCTACTCCATCAATACTCGTTACCGACCTCAGGTCCACGAACTGGGAGACAATATGATTGCCTCAGCAAGTGGCTTTTCTGCAGACTCGGATGCGCTGATCAAGCGTCTTAAAACCCGCATCGAATGGTACCACCATGCTCACAACAAGCCTCTCCAAGTCGCGTCTGCTGCCCGCCTTACCCAGACTCTGCTATACTCCCACCGTTTCTTCCCTTACTATGTTGGCACTATTATTGCAGGCATTGATCCAGAGGGTAAAGGTGCCATCTACTCTTTTGACCCCGTCGGCTCATATGAACGTCAAACCTGTCATGCAGGTGGCTCGGCTGCTTCTTTAATCGTTCCCTTCTTGGACAACCAAGTCGACTTTAAGAATCAGTACGATCCTGCTACAAACATTCCAAAAAAACAAGTTAACCTGCCTCAGGAAGTTGTTGTTGGATTGGTCAAGGATGCCTTTACCTCAGCTACCGAACGTCAGATTCAAGTCGGTGACTTTCTGGAAATTGTCATTGTCAAAAAAGATGGTATTACTAAGGAGCTGGTTCCATTAAAGAAAGATTAATGAAACTATTTACGATATACATAAACTAGTTTTAATGAGTATTTGAATGATTATTAAAAAAAATGAATTTTTTAAAGAAAAAAAAATAAAAATAAATTAATTTTCAATGTAGTCTTAATGCTTGCTTGCTTGCATGCTTGTATCAAACTTATTCAAATATAGACATTAAAGCCTATTGTGCCATAAATATATCCCTATGAGTAAATCTAATTTCAATATTTCTTCGTTATATCTCCTATTAAAAAAATAATAATAAGTTTCTTTTCCAATTCTGCCGATACTAGGCGAGAATTCTTCAATTTTATTTTTTTTTTCTCTCTTCTCATTACTGGGGAAGTTCAAACTTCTTGCCTTTCAAGACCCTAATTTTGCAAAGTTAGAAAAAAAAAATATAAATCATATCTGGTAATTTTCAATACTTACTTTTGGTAATAAACCCAGAAAAAGTCTGAGTATAACGCGGTTTGGATAATACCCGTGACAAACGACGTCAGACTGAACCAGTTATCAAAGTAATATCTGTAAATCCAATTGAGGACGTAAAACCCACGGTACAATCCCAGCGCAAAAATATAGTGGACAGTCAAAGATTCAGCCTGACCAGTACGTTGCAGCATAAAGAGCTGTGGAAGAATGGCCACTGATTCGAGCCACAGGGAAAAAGTCCATAAAATGTTTGTAACCGAGTAAATTCGTTCAGATGGGAAAATCAAAGCCAACGCAAGTGATCCGATAAGCAAAAACTCAACACGGAAAGTGTCAATGGTGTTGGCAGCAATGGTGCCGCTATCACGCTTCTTGTACATAACATGTAGGGTATAAAATGATGTTCCCAGAAATAGAATCTTCATAGCTGTGTTGTATATTGACACAAAATAAATAAAAACATCGAGATATCTCGTCACAAAAACAAGTGCATACAGAGCTTGTGTTTTGAATGAAATGCCGGCAACAGAATTGCTGCTACGAATCTTTTGTAAAAGAAGAAGAATACTGAGAACATGTGACATGTCCGCAAGAAATCGAAAGATATTCATTGTAATTTAAAAAGGCTGGGGAGGGAAAAAAATATAGAACTGTGTGATTATCTGTTGTGATGTTTTAAAACTGGGGATTAAATTTCCAAGTTGATTAATGTCTGGGCGAATGCGTAGCTAGAAAGGGGGGGAGAGGAAAGGGTCTTTAAATGCTGGGCCAACCGCTTTAAAATGATAACGAACTGGCTTTTATATGAATCTTTCTCTTTCTTTTTGCAAAAAAAAAAAATATCTAACTCCAAAATCAATGGCTTAAATAGCTTTATTATGTTGAGACTATATAACTATGTCGAAATCAAATAGATGAGTTGGCAGGTTTCAGAAAAAAAAAATTAAATAAAAACTGCATAAATGTTATGGCGAAGAAAAAAAAAAAAAGCCTAAACAAAAGCGTACGTTTTTTTTTTTTTCTTTCCGCTGGCCGTTTACGTGGATCGAAAACGTGGCGATGAGTTTAAGACCTAAGTTCTAATTAAGTTTGTTTGATCCTCAGTAAATACCAACCTGTGCGGCTATACATGCAAAAAAAAAAAAATTCCCGAACCCAGTCCAGCTAGTATAAACCGCAACTATAACATCTTGGAAGTCCCTTCAAGAATCATCCCGTTCGCGCCGAGGTCGCTTGTTATCTGCTCGGATTGTGTCTCTGCTTGTATCCATCTCTTTCAGTGTACTTTCCCGCGTCCGTCCCTTGATGCCAATCTTGCCGCTTCGCGTCTGCAAATACTTTGGCAAAACTTCCTTGTTTTTGTAGTCATCTTCCAATGCTTCCGAAAAGTCTCTGTTTTTCAAAATGTCCATGTCACGGAAATAAGCTCCCTTGTAGTATCCCTTCTGCATGTACCCAGGGTTCTTCTTGTCCTTGCGCTTTTCTTCTTCCTCCAAAGCTTCAGCCTCAGCCTTTTCAGCCCCAAGCTTAGCCCGCTCAGCTTCGCTTTTGCTCCGCAGCTCAGCAAGCTCTTCTTTTTCCTTTTCAATTGCTTCAATTTCATCTCGTTCACGTTTTATCCTATGCAGTTCTCGTATTTTCCATGCTGCATACTCTGCTTCAGGATCCAAATCATCGGTATCATCCACCTCGTAAATTTCATTGTCGTCTCGAAACTCTTGCTTTTGAGATTGTTCAGTTGCAATCTGTCTCTTAATATCTTCTTCTGCAAGTTCAAGCACTTTTAATTTTCGAACGTCAACTTCTGAGCTACTAGACTTTTCATTCTGGGAAGCATTTGGAGTTGGCTTAGAAACGTCTTTTCGTTGGTCCTTCTTGACAAACTTGGGTATAAACATGGGTTTTTCGTCTTCAGATGATTCACTTTCAGACTCTTCTTCTGAACTCTCCTCTTCTTCACCCTCATCACCTTCTTCTTCTTTTTCTTCTTCTTCCTCTCCCTCTTCCTCCTCCTCTTCAGAAAATTCTCTTTCTCTTGTTGCTTTCCGCTTGATTGTCGTTGCTATTTGTTGAGTTATTGGTTTAGGTGTGACTACCTTCATCAACTCCTTTTTCTCTTCTCTCTTAGAATATATCTTAACAGTAATATGCTTTTTTGATTCCTCCTTTTTATTATTTTCTCTATCTTCGTTGTCTTCCTCTATTTGTTGTTGTTCTTTTTCTTCTTCCTCTTCATCATCACCATCATTATCTTCTTCTTCCTCTTCATCTTCTTCGTCTTCTTCTTCCTCACTGCTGCTGCCCTTATCCATCACCTTTCCTGGAAAGTGTCGTGTCTGCTTTACCCGCTCATTTGGCTTCCTAGGAGCACCTCCAGGATACTTTGTCTTATGTTTTGCAAGCTGTTCTAAGACTTTGGCGTTTTTGTTGGCATACATTTCATATTCTGCTGGAATGAAATAATGGTGTAAGCTTAAAAGTTTTTGGGAAGTGTATGATGTTGAAAGTCCTAGGGTAGCTATTTTTCTACTACACACTTAATCATCCAAAATCATTTAACTTTCTTAATTTTTTTCTCTCCACCAAGAATCTCTCCAAGAACTTCTTGCCTTTCACACATTTCTTACAACTCCAAAATGTCATCCAAACAAGAAGTAGCTGCGCCTTCGCGTCCATCAAACGCTGGTATGTAGACATTTCTTTAAAGTCGCTTAAAAATTTCTCATCACTAACATTCACATTCTTTTTTTTAGAACTTCAAGAGCAATACAACACATTTAAGGAATCTATCGCACAACTGTCATCCAAAATTGGCGAACTTGAAGCTGATCTTGATGAACACAAAATTGTTCTTGAAACTTTGAAGACTATGCCTTCCGACAGAAAATGCTTTCGCATGATTGGTGAATCTCTGGTCGAGTCAACTGTTAAGGATGTCTCTCCAAATCTTCAGACAAACTCCGTGCAATTGCAGACCGTCATTGGCACGCTTAACAAACAACTAGAACAGACTAAGGATGAGCTTAAGAAATGGCAAATAAAATACAAGGTTCAGATCGTTCCTACTCATTAGATGATAAAAAAATAAAACAACTATTTTTATTTACTATTTATATTTATATTTTTTTTTTTTTTCAATCTACATGTACAATCTATTCAAACTTCTTGACGGTTTCAGAGAAAGGAGCACCATTATCTGTGTAAAAGTAAAATACAACAAAGATAACCCAAGCACCGACAACAGAAGCAAATGAAAAGAAGTAGATCCAGGAGTTGGTGATTTCCCAAGATCGGGGCCACTCATCGTTGGCAGTGTGTCGCACAGTGACAGTATTACGCTTCTCCAGGTAAGAAAGACCAGGTCTTTTATAATCCAGCTTGAATGTGAAAATTCCGTATTGGTCAGGGACCTTAAATGTGACGGTGTAGATGGCTCCTTGCTCAGGAGTCTCAGCTGTGGGTTTTCCCAAGTTAATGCGGTAGTAAGGATCGAGCATAACAAATTCAACTTGGATGTCATCAGCAACGTAAGGAACCCACTTGTCATTGACCCATTCCTGGACACCAGCTGTATAGCGAACGTCCTCGTTAACCTTGTACAGTGAGAACCCGCTCGTGTACGAGGTGGCCTTGGCAGTGTTATTGTCAGCAGGTTCATGGGCAACAAAAGTGTTGCGGATGACACTCTTTTCTTGGAAAACCCACTTGCTCACCTCGTCAATGAATTCGGCATTATACAAGTTCTTATCTTGCAAGTACTTGTTGTCGAGCAAAGTCTCATCACTGCCAATCCAAACAGCACGAGCATTGTTGAGACCCTGGAAAGCAGCTGCAAAAGTAGACTGAGTGCCACTAACCCATGGACTCGTCAGTGCAAGAGAATCATCCGAGGAATCGTAAACGTAGCTTGTGGATGAGCCACGAAGAATAGGAATGGTGTTAGGGTTATTTCCGAGGTAAGCACCGGAACCTCTGTAAATAAGGGGCTTAGATGCAGGTGCTTTGACAATGCGATCGGCAACAAAGTCTGAAGCAGCGCTAAGTTCCAAAGTGTCATGCTTGTAAGAAGACTTGCTTTTGGAATATGAAAAGTGGTCCACAGCCTTGTAGTCTTTGGGCGAAATGTTAATGTCCAGCTCCTTAAAAAATTCAAAAAGAGACTCGGGTGAGCTGTTTTCGGAAGTAAAGGCCAAAATATTACCACCAGCATTGTAGTATTGAACAAGATTACTAGCCTTCAGCTTAGGTCCAAGAGCTAAAAAAATAATTGTTAGAGTATAATCTCTTTTAAATGTGGAAAAATATATATATACCTTTGGAAGATACAGGCAAAATAATGACATTTTCATATTCAACGCCATCATCGCTTATTAAATCAAGACTTTTATCTCTAATAGAAGCAAATTTAAGCGTAATTGAGCTGTGATCTAAAAATTTCAATTAGTTTAAGACTTTTCAAATCAATTGACAGGTGTTCGGATACTTACTTCGTAAAGCGTTGAAATATTCCGAATATTGTGGGGGCTCCGTGGCGTTGTCGCCAATAACAAGAATCTCACCAGATCCAAAAGCAGGTTTGGCCTGCGCCAGAGCAGCAAAAGCTGTCACAGCAGTAGTAAGAACCTTGGCCACCGATTGTAAAGTGTACATTCTAGGCTTTTGAATGGTGTGGTGGGTTTAAGGGTTTTTTGTTGGAAGGTATTATCCAAAAAAGCGTGAAATTTTGGTGATGTTCTCTTTTTTTTTTGGAGGTTTGGGACAAGGTGTTAAGAAAAAAAATAAAACGACTGGGAGAGACGTAATACAAATTACCCGGCCTTGTATAGACATGTTCAAAAAATGTAGAGCCGCACATTACGAATTTGGCAGCCAAATAAACAAGAGAAAAAGAGAGGTTGCACAGATTTATTCTTTTGCCATCGATAAGAAAAATCTACAAGAAATGGGTGCAGAACAAACTGAAGGAGCTGCCGAAGTGGCAGCTGTTTATGAAGAAATGAGAAAAGCAGAGGAGTACGCTACTGTATGTTAAATTTTATTGTCTGAATTTTTTTTTCTTTTTTTGATTATTAGTTTTAACACTTTTTAGAGATTGGAACGCTTACTTGACTCGATAGACGCAAAAGTCGATGCGATATTAAGTTCACAAGAACTTGCCGATCTAGAAAATGCTGAACGAGAAATTGCAGAAATTCAAGACAAACTTGCTGAATTGGATGTAGTTGAGGAAGAGGATGAAAATGAGAAGAAAGTCTCTACCAAAGAAGACAAGACATCAAGTCTTGAGGACGAAAAGTCGGAGTCAAAGAACTCCAAAGAACCCACAAAAGAGCCTAAGGAACCAGAAACTAAAAAAGAATCCAAGTAAAAGTCATTTATTTATTATGTTTCCATATTCTTCATTACAATAAGTTAAGGGAGTTTTTTTTTAAAAAAAAATGAAAAAAAAAATACAATATCAAATTTCTTTAACTTGTGGGTTGCAACAGAGTAAGCCCTGACACACTCGGCGCTGCCCCTTCTTGGTCATCATCATCTAGTAAACTCTTAGGTGTAGAATGCCCTCCTGATGACCCCTTTACGCTGTTGGCACCGCTAGTAGGTACCATAGGTGGTGGCGTCCATCCTCGTACACTTTCGGCGTCCCCATCATCATCAAGTAAATTTTTGGATCCTGTTGGCGGAGTTGTTCCATTAGACTTAACAGATTTTCTCTTTGGAGGAGGGGCAGGTACTCCTGCTTCAGAAGAGGGCGATGAAGAAGCCGATATGTGAGCGGTAGTTGGGATTGGGGTTGGGCTTGGAGTGGACGCAGGCTTGTGAGCCGCACTTTTGGCCACACCCGATGCCGTTGGTTTGGAACTTAACGACACCGGTTTACGTGGTACAGGTGGTGGTGAAAGAGATTTGCGGTTCATCTGGCGAGCACCTGGTCCACTGGCAATCGTATTTGAACGGTGAGCAGCTCTGACTTCTGGTTTGTTTCCGGAGATTGCTGGAGCAGATGGTGGTTTTGTACCAGAAGTAAACGTGTGTGGTCGTGGAGGAAGAGGAGGCTTGATGAAATCAACGTCTTCAACAAACGGATTGGTATCGCGGTCTGGGTTTATGACCGTACCAGTGGGTGGCTGAAAGTTAACTTTGGTGCTCTGACCACCAGCAATCCACCACTTGCGAGAGTCACTAGATGGGGGTGGCAGGCCATGGGTAAGCGTTGTTTCATTTAAATCAATTAATGAAACCAAATCATTTGCATCGCCAACCTCAAGACGACGACGGTTGTACAACTCGTTCGCAAGTCTATTCTTAATGTCTTCATCAACGACAACCACAGTAGCATTAAATGTGGCATAAACTGGGCGATGATCTGAAAACATAATTTTTGGGACACATCCATAACTGGTCTGGTGAAGGTTTGTTCCACGACTTAAGATGCGGTCAGTCCAAGAAGGAGTACGCATCTTTTCTGAGGTATCATACTCATTTGAATCATTGTCAAACTTGTATGTTGGTGGGAAATTGATTTGCATTTCATTGTAGAAAGGAAAAGTTTCACCCCTCACCATTTGGTCATAGAGTTGATCTTTCTCAAAAAGCTTTTCCAAATTTCCCTTTTTGATTTCCTCCTTAACATATTCATATGGCATATTGATTCTATAATTAAAATCACCAAGCCAGATGATGCTGTCATGAGCCTTAATGCGACGTCCCCGAGAAAATACCAAACCAGAGGAAATGGTTTTGAAATTGTGGTGGCGTTCGTCAATGTTATTTGGACCTGCAGCCAAGTGGGCAGTGATGAAGCAAAAAGAAGTACTAGCAAAGTAAAAACTAACAGCAATACCTCCCTTGTTACCGGCCATACCTCCTAAACCTGTTTTGATCATGGCACCTTCAACATTCTTGACATAGGAGACTTCAGCTTTGCGCACAAACATCATAAGCGCGGTACCCACCAGTTGGTCAGACCGAACCAAAACATATTCATCGCGCTGGTTAAGTGTATTTGCAACTCGTGTTTCCCAAAACTCACGCTTATATGGTTCAGCATTGAGGATTTGACTTGGTGTAAGTTCAACAATTTCTTGAAAGCCAACAAGTACAATATCAGGGGCTTCACGGCCACCATCAGGTGGGAAAAGCCAACCTGAAAGATCATCTGGTGACATGACACCGTTGAGATTAAAGGTGCCAGCGAATACCTTAATGTTTCTGGTTGAAGAAAAATCGCCAACACGTCTTGTCAGTTCCACTGTAACATAATCATTAATTGGGTCATGTAAAACGACCTGTTGCTGACCAGCAGTTCGTCCCAAAAGCAAATCCATGGTGTTTTGGCGACCTTTATCCACAAAGTTGTTGATATAAAGACGACCAACGGATTTTGTTACATCAGCAAGGGCACCTGCAAATCCCATCTTACCACTGCGAGTAAATGATGTTTTGAGTGCATTAGTCCCGGCGTAGATCTGAGACAGTTGATCACCATTATCTGCCCAAATAAAGTTATGTTTGGCCCAAATATCCTGACCAGGTGGAATACGGTAAAGCTCAAAAAACATCATGAGAGCTTCCTTTGAAATAAGTTGTTGGACCAAATTAGTTCTGTCTAAACAATCCAAACAGTTTGTGCGGAAAATACCGTGTTGTTCAGTCTTGTCTGCTGGACGTCGTGCATTGTTTGAGTAGAATGAGATTTCCAAAAACGCTTCCTGAAGAAGTGGGATAATTCTGTTGGCTTGAGAATAACCTCTTGAGGCCACTTCAGCGTGAAAATCAAATTCAGTTAAACCAAGATTTCCCTTGAGATTACGAGATGCAAGAATGTGGTTTCGGTAACGTTCACTAAGTTCATACTCGCCAGGTTTGTTTGCAAGTAAGTTGACAACATGGACGATACCAAACTTTTGAACCAATTGCTCGAAATGCTTGTTAAATGCTGGTTGGGTGGCCTCAGATGATCGGGTAATGTTGATTTTTGCAGAAATAATATTTGCATCTTGTTCCCAAAAAATAGGAACAGAACCTCTGATTTGAGTAAAACCGTAAATGAGATCTCCATAACTTAATATAGTTTCAGTCTCCACAAAGTTTGCCACATTTCCTTCGTCGTCAACACCGCGGGCATTGTAACGGGTACCTGCGCGTCGCCATGACTGGCGAGAAATGATAGTGAGCATAGCAGGTTCATGAGAACTTCCGATTCGAACTTCTTTAGATTCTGCAAAGCCACGGATAGCTGTTGTGAGGAAATGACACTCATCAAGCTCTTGGCGTTGAGAATCACTTAGATGGTTACGAAAGTTAATAAGACCTTCAGTCATAAAACTATTCCACATGAAAGAGCGATCAGCCATCTCCATAGTAAGTGTACTTTTCTTTGCATTGGATCCACCTCCACGATATTGTAGGACCGTAGCCACATCAAAGTTGGACGAATAATAGAAACTTCCGTTACTTAATAATTTACGGATACTTGCACAGGGATGTTCACTTCCAATATGAAGGCGGTTCAAAGAATCTGTTGCTGCTGAAGCTAGACCTATATTTTGATCAATAGCATAACCATTAGCGTCAAGGGTAACAAAATCCCAATCATTGTTATTTACGCAGTAAAATTCGACAGAGTAAATACGGTTAACAGTTTCACCAGGACGGGGCTGAGCCACTTCGGCACCCTTTGTAATGACACAAAGATAAACGTCATAATTGATCTCAATAAGACCCAAGCAGCCCTGACATTCGTGGGGACTGAGCAGACGATATTGATCGAATTTGATAGAGTCGCGTTTGGCAAATTCAATGATGCATTTTGGTGGGCTTTGGTCTGCAGGGGCGTTATTACCGCCACTTCCACTGCCTTGCTGATTAGGAACATTACGTCGGCTCGAGCCTCTGATAATTAAAATGTTATCGCCTTGAACCAAAGCCAAAGACCGAGGCCGGCGATTATAGTAGACTTTCATTTTTGTAGTTATTTTTTTGTGTGTGTGTGTTTGTTTTTCAACTATATTTCATGGTATAACTAAAGGGGGGGGTATATGTACTGAGCAATGAGAAAAAACGCGAAAAGGGTAAGTGTACAGTTGGCAAATAAAAAGAGTTTCCAAGGAATGAAAAGAGGTTTGAAAAATATATATATGAAAAATACTCCTTGATAAAAATGAAAATTAAAGTATTTTAAAGATATTAAAGATATTCCAAACCAAAAATATCTTTCTAATATCTTTTTTTTTTTTTTTTTTTCTGTAAATCTTTTTTTCAAAAGGATAAAACTATGGTGGAAGAAGAGGGAAAAAGACAAAAAATTACAAAATGGCCGCCGACAGGACCGAAGACTTGCTGTTGGTGTCACGTGGATTTATCCCAAAAAAAAAAAAAAAAAAAAAAGAAGTTAAAAAAATAACACAACACTGCCCTTTCTACCTATCCCTTTGAACAAGTAAACATATTAATTAAGATATTTACACAACATTGGATTCAAATGGCTCATAATTCACGTCCAACAACGCCACTAAGACGATATTCAGGGTTTAGTGATGCTTCAGAGGATGATGGAGATACCAAAACTCCATTGGAAACAACCCTTTTCTCACGGTTTGTGGACTTAAACGATGGGTTTGCGCAGTTTGAGGCCAATATGCACCGAATGCAGCAGGTTCATGAGTCGATTACATGTTTTAATGAATCTTTTTCTTCTTTTTTATATGGAATTCAAATGAATGCATGGTGTGTTGAGTTTCCAGAGGCACCAAGTAGCGGGTCTTTTGAACGGTACGAGAAGAGATTGATTGAGCTGGCGCATGAAAAGGAACTTCGAGAACAACAAGAACGTGAGGAAATTGAAAAACAAAGACTGCTCGAAGTTGAACGACAACGCGATCTAGAGATCGCAAGGGAGCGATTGATATCTGAGCAACAACAACAGCAACAGCAGCAACAGCAACAGCAACAGCAACAACAGCAACAGCAACAGCCGAGACAGCAGCACCCTAGATACCTTACCAGAAGTAAAACGACTGAAAAGAAAACGCTTAAGCGGCCTACTGACTACACACCAGGTCGGCCTACTTATGGCAAACCGCCCCAGTCAAAGCTCAAATCAACAAACGGAACAAGTCGAATACCAACACGACCTTCTTGGAAATAATAAAAATAAAGGGACTAATTTATTTTGTTTTGTTTCTAAATGCTTGGACGAACCTCGACTATTGTTCTAGCGACACCGAGACCGTTCCCGCTATTGGTATAGACTATTTCATATGCAACATTTGGGTGCTTTTTAAGAGTTTGAATAAACTCAAGAACGCCACCGCCGACGCCAAAGTAGACTTGTTTTGCAGCAACAAGGGCTCGTGCGTGTGGGCTTTTTTTAAAAATACCGAGTAGAGTGTCGGTAAATATAGGCAGAGTGTCTAGAGAGTAAACCGTTTCTGAAGCGATTATGAGATCAACAGGAGCAGGGAGGTTTGAATTTAACAGCTGGACAAACTCGGGCGACCAACCACCTGATATAAATTGAATTGAGATAGAGCGCTGGTTTAGTACTTGCAGAAACTCTGTGATGAGGGCCTCTGTGATTTCAGCTTCGCCCAAGCGGGCCTCTGCAATTGCGTTTGAGGTTTGTGAGGTTGAAGAAAGAATAGAAAGACGCGTTTCTGGGTCGAGGGTCTGGAGCCAAGCGAACAAGAGGTTTGGCGCAGTGACCAGTCGCAGAACGCTTTCATTGTAATCAGCCATGATAAGATTAAGGCCGGCTTGTGAGTTTTGCTGAAAGTATTGCTGGAGCATGTATAAGCATGGAACTCCAGTTCCACAGCCGAGCTCGACAATGGTTTGTGCAGGTATGTTGTTTTGCGAAAGAAATTCGACAACGTCGTAGGTGCACTCCCAGCTCTTGAGACCGCCCTCGTACTGGGCCACACGCAGATCCTCGTTGGTAAGACCGAGAAGGATTTCTTCGGTTGGAGTCAACGAATCCTGAAGCATAAGCTGGTGCTTGACATCGAACAAGTCGCGGCGAGGAAGAGATGAGTTTGTTGTGGAGTAACTCATACGCACACCCACAGAAGCTTTTAGCAGTGATTCGAGAGATTGTAATTTGGGTTGGTACTCAGGTGCAAGCCCCACCTGCTTGGGAGTTTGGGCTACAGGGGTTTGAACGATTTGAAGGGCATCAATATCAAGGGACGTGTCGATATCGTCACCGCCGAATCCAAATGAGAAGGCCATTGTGTTTTGTAGAAAAAGAGAGAAAAAAAAATTTTTTTTTTTTTTTTTTTTGTAAGCCTAATGCAGAAAACCCAAACATTTTTTTTTTTTCTTTTCTTTAGAACGGCTATAATCATAAGATATACTAACCCTTACAAGTTTCCATCCGAAACCTTTTGAACAGATCACCACTTTTTTATTTCATACATACACCATGTCTCTACAAAGTGACTATGTCGACTATGATGTCTTTTTGGACATCAAATTTGATCCAATTGCGTTTGCCAACACTTTAGTGGTTGCGACCAATGCGCCAAATGATGCCGAAGTCGATCTGGCGACCCCTGCAAAGCGTCTTGGGTACGACTTGGCTGAAGTGAAGGAGCGTATTGAAAAGTTAACTACAGACAAGTATGACGCGCTTATAACTGAAGGTGTAAACGTGCAAGAAATGAGCCGAGCTTTGGAACCTTTAAAACCGGCAGTGGAGAATTTGACTGCGGCGTACGGGAAACTTCAGCGAGATATTATGGCGCCATTTTATCAGGCACAACACATTCATGGCGCGCTACGCAGACTGCACGCAACTACAGGACTGCTGCGCTCACTGACATGGTTCTTATATCTGGTGCGCCAGGTATCAGCAATCATGGATCCTCTACTGACTAGTGACTCTTCATCGTCGTCTTCACCGTCGTCGGCTCCACGAACGGCTCGTCAAGCCAATTTGTTTGCAATCCCTGATGGGCGACTATTACTGCGAGCTGCCCAGACAGTGATATCGCTGCACAAGCAGTTGTCCATGGAGCCTGCTTTGCGGTCAGTTCAAGTGATTAGGACATTTGAAAGTTCACTACTGGGGAAATATGAAGCCCGGTTGACTCAGCATTGCCAAAATATTATTCGGTTTTACACTTTAACCTCAGCATCAACAGTACCTTTACCGACAAGTAATAGCATTAATGTGGATGACTATGATACCCTTGCTGCTCACGCGGCCAGTGCACTTGCGATTCTGAACCCAAATGCACTTGTGGGTTCTCTTGTGCGGTTTGTGGAGAGCCAAGCCCAGGCTTCAGTAACAGAACTTACTCGGTCACTGCCATCTCTCAATCTGTCCATGCAAGCGTTTACAAATGCGCTTGGGACGATTGCTGATCGGGCTCGGTTTGTTGGACGGTACGAGAACGCATTGCGTCATTCGATTTCTGATGATATCTTATCGCGTGCAGTAGGGAAGTTTGGCGACAAGGCTGAGAGTCTTGTGGGAGAATATTGGGCGGACTTTGCAGATGCGGCAGAGCAACGATTACGCGAGTTTGCTGGTAGCAACAATAATATGGCAACAACTATCAGATTTAAAAACTACCCTAGCTCATCCACACTTGTCGAAACATATGTGATCAAGCCGTTTAATAAATCTGGGGATCCACTTGCACGGACATGCAAGCCTGATGCAATTTCTGTGCGGCAACTTTCCCGGGGGTTGGCCATTTTGTTTAAATGAAGATCTTTAACTTGAATGATATTTTACCTCTAAATTTATCTCCATATAAATAAATAAATATATAAAAAATTAAAAATAAATATATATCCCCATTATAAATTGATCAACCTCTAAAAGATTTGAATTGACGACGCTGTCGGTTGTACATTTGGCGTTGTTTTTTGATTTCTTCTGCACGTTTTTTAGTACGTTCACGAGTCTTTTTACCTGGACGACGCCGTTTACGTTCACGCAAACGTTCAGCGCGAGCCTCAAGCGCCAGCGCAGTATAATCGAGGATCTTGCGAGGGTTTTTAGGGGGTCGTTGTGCTGCTGTGCACAAAGCAGCAATAGAACGGACTTGGTCAAAAGTTACTGCAGCAGCCTTCAGGGCACTGCATTCGGACTCTGTTGGTTTAGAAGCAAAGTAGTACGAGTCAGGTCGCTGGCGGTTGGCAAGTGGGACTTCATAAGACTCATCATTGGCAACACCTGTTGCTTCTTCTTTTTTTGAAATGACCACAACGGCATTATCCTTGGAAGTAGTACCGCTAAAAAGATTAAAGGCAAAAGCTTCCTCGTCAGCATCTTTTTCTTCTGAATCAGAGTTAGGCTTGTCTTCCTCACCATCAGCATCTTCATCATCATCATTATCAGCTACATCAACCTCAGTGAAGACAAAGTCCGGGACATAAGCCGGTGCTTCCTGGGAAATTATGCTGGCATCGTCACTATCTGCGTCGTCGTCACTATTACCACTCCACAGTTTGCTCCGTGAGACTCTTTAAAGGTAAAACTAGTTAGAAAGAAGAAGTATGTTATAAGTGTAATGTTGATATACGAACTTTTGTCCAGACATGATTGCAGCAAGACCGGGTTCTATTTTTTTTTTTTTTTTTTTTTTTTTTTTGTAGAGGGTAGTAGTTTTTGATAAATTGAATAAATTTTTTTTTTTTTTTTTTTTCATTTTAATCGGAATACACGTGACCTGACGCGTGGGACGCGTTAAATACACGTACTGAACGCGGTAGCTGGAAACTCAATGTTTGGTGATTGCTCAAAATTTTTTTTCTGTGTTTTTTGTTGACAATTTTTTTTTTTTTTTTTTTTTTTTTTTTTACTTTACTTTACTTTACTTTACTTTACTCTTAACATATAATATATATATATACACACAATCATCACCAACATAGCTCAACTAATAATAATAATAATAACAACAACAGCAACAACATTCAAAACATGACTCCACACCAGATCACACATTCATCTGACTGGTTAGGAACTCGGTTTCCTGAAATGTCCGAAATGGATGAGGCACTACGCTGCGATATTTGTAAGGAACTAATGACAGCTCCTGTAATGACTGGTTGTTCACATACATTTTGTTCTCTTTGCATTCGACGAGTACTTGTTGCTGAACAAAAATGTCCGACTTGTCGACATTCAGCATCTGAGTCGCAGTTAAGACGGAATGGGTCGGTTGAGATGTGTTTGGAGGTATTTTCCAAAGTGCGGAGCCGGTTGCTGGATCTAACACGAGGGAGTGGTAAAAGTGAAGAGAAATCAAATAAAGCAAGGCCAGTAGAAGAACCAAAACTAGTTGAAGGAGCAAAATATGGAGAAGAAGCAAATAATAATAATAATAATAATAAAGAAATTCAGAGAGATCAGGAACCAAAACCAGTACATAAACAAATACCCTCACAGATTCCCGAAAGGCATGCGCCATGTCCAGTATGCAACAAGGTTTTGCCAATCAAAGAAATTCAGAGCACTCACATTACTGAATGTCTTTCCGGAATGTCTACTCCACTTGGAGTTACTACACGAACGCAGGCCGTTTCTTTACCACGAACAAGATCGAGTGTTGTTTCCAACAGTAGCAATCAAGCAATGACTTTAACTACAGTTAGTAGTAGTAATAGTAGCATCAGCATCAGCAACAGTAGCAGCATCAGCAACAGTAGCAGCAGCATTAGTAGCAGTACCAACAATAACAATTCGACCACAACTCCGTTTACATTTAGAACTAGACGACAAGCTCGGTTGGCACAAACAGAGGACATGCGGGTGAAACTTCCACGGACCAACGATTGGAACTCGTCAGTGTCAAAGCTGCGGGCACGGCTGACACGACTTGGGATTCCTTCGCATGGATCGGGGCGCCAAGATTTGTTGCGACGTGAAACAGAGTGGATTACTTTGTGGAACGCCAATGCGGACCGAAAAGAACCGCTGCCACGGTCCAAGTTACTTGTACAACTTTCAGAATGGGAAGAAGCTGAGCGATTAAGTAAATCACAGCGCAGTTTACTTGTGCAACAACTGCCGCCACCACCGTCGTCGTTGTCGTCGTCGTCGTTGTCGTCATCGTCTTTATCATCATCTTTGGAAACTGCAATGGCTAATAATAATAGTGCAGGGTCATCTCCGAGCAAAAAAAATAATAACAAGAATACAATTGTGGGGGGACAAGGCACTCAACCGTTAATACCATTTATTCCTACGGACCTCAAGAGTCTGAACCGGGACTTATACTCACGGTCACATGATGCTGCGTTCCGTGAGCTGACTGCACAAGCGCGTGCCACTCTTAAACGGAAGGCATCAGAAGCAGCAAGTGAATCTGGGGTTGTTGTTGTTGCCACTGGGAAAGAGAATGAAAATACTGGAGGTAGTAACAAGAAACAAAAGAAAGAGGAAGAGACTCAAGCTGGGTCAACAGTTGAGCAGGCAGCATAATAATAATAATAATAAATAATGCTTAAATATATATAGAATAAAAATGGTAATGAAATCAATAAATAAATTAAAACTAAGCAAAAAAAAAAAAAAAAAATATACATCAAAGAGTCATTATTATAGGAGGTTTTGAGGAAGGATATAGAGAAAAAAACGAGGCGAAGCATGAGTTGATAAACAGAGAGCATAGAGGGTAAAACAAAGTCTAAATGAATGGTATTCAAAAAAAAAAAAAAAAAAAAAAACAGGAATTAACAAATCAAGAAAACGCCATTAAATAAAAATCAAAAAGAAAAAAAAAAAAAAAAAAAAGTCTTTTCTTCTTCTTTCTTGTTTAAAAAATGGCATCAAGAGCTAGACAGAAACACATGGATGCCAGACAGGCAAGACAGCAACTAGAGTTATCAGCAGCAGGGTTTTGTTGCTGGACAATAACTGGCTGACCCTGTTGGTAGTAGCCACCTTGAGGTGGAGGTCCTCCGTAGCCTTGCTGGTAGCCTTGTTGATAACCTCCTTGTTGATAACCACCTTGTTGTTGATAACCTCCACCTGGGGGCATTCCTCTCTGGTCATAACCTTGTTGGTAGCCTCCCTGAGGGTAGTAGGACTGTTGTGGAGCGTTGACATTGTATCCCTGTTGATTATGGCCTTGGTCATAATAGGACTTGTTTTCACCTTGTGGTGCGTACTAAAAAAAAAATAAAAAAAGATTAGTTTGTCAGTTTGTCGGACACATAATAATAATAAACCCCTCCCCAAAAAAGCAACAAAATAATATTGGCTTTGTGAGATTGATATATAGTTGCAAGAGTTTTTTTTTTTTTTTTTTTTTTTTACATACATAGTTTTGTGACATTTAAAATATTTTTCAAAAAATTTTTATATATGGGTATATTTGTTTATTTATTTGTTGATTTTTATTTGAATATCTTTTGACAAAAAAAAAAAAAAAATTTACAAATAAAGGTACGGAGAAGAAACAGAAAGAAGAAAAAGAGGGAAAAAAAGGTGCCCAGTTTTAACCACACAGAGAAAAAAAAAAAAAAAAAAAATTGAGGGGGGAGGAAAGGGAAAAGGAAAAGGAAACTACGCAGACACACACAAACGCGTAAACTTCGAGCGATTTTCAAAGTCACGTGGCTTTTCAAAGTCATAAGATCGGGCCAAGTACGGTGCTGCGCCGACTCGCAAGCCATGTCGGTGGTGCCGACACCCGACAGTTTTTTAATTGATCATGTTTCTCATATTTCTCATTTTGTTCAGAAACAAGAACAGGCGAGCTTTCATTGGAAGTGGATGCAAGGTCGACGACAGATTGTGATTCTTGGTTATTGCCACTAGTAGACTCAGTAATTGCTGTTTGATCTGCTGCAAGTCTTTGTGCAAGAGATTGCCATGCAGTTGCCATGAGTTCAAGCTCATGTCTTAGTTGGGCACATTCGTCTCGCAGCCTTTCGTTTTCATTTCTTAGTAATGTATTTTCTTCTTCTTCTTCTTCTTCTTCTTCTTCTTCTTCTTTTTCTTCTTGATGGTCATCATGGTTTTGTTCACTAGTTTGTTTATCATCATTACTGTTATCATTATCATTATCATTATCAACACCTGTAAATTTTTTTTTTTTATTTTCACGAGCTTGGACTTGTTGATGTCGCATCAGTACTTCGTAATGATCAATAAGTGTTCGGATTCCTGCACTTTGAAGACTAGTTCCTGATACTGAGCGTTGGTGTTTGTTATAATGTGATGAAGTTTTGGCAGTTGCTGCAACAACACCAAGAAGTTGTTTTTCACGAGCTGAAGCTTCTAAAGCTTCTTTCCGTAGTGTTGCAATGGTAAGTTTGTCAAGGGCTGCAGCCTGTTCAAGTTCTTGAAGACGAGTCTCCAGGTGAGATTGAGTTGAATCCATTAAAGATGATGGGGATGAGTTGGGAGTGCGAAATGTGAAAAAAAAAAAAAAAAAAAAGAAAATCTAAGGATTTTGGAAGATTGTGATGATGATAATGATGATATTCATATTTGTTAGAATAAATAAATGGAGATGATTACAAAAAATAAAAGTAAAAATAAAAGTAAAAATAAAAGTAAAAATAAAAAATAAATAAAAAATAAATAAAAAATAAATAAAAAATAAATAAAAAATAAATAAAAAATAAATAAAAAATAAATAAAAAATAAATAAAAAATAAATAAAAAATAAAATTAGTATTAAATGATTATATGACCCAATAATGACAATAAATTTTATTATTATATTGCTACTAAATAAAATTCCAAGAATATTACGAAACTTATCAGGGTTTCAAAAAAAATAAATATATATATATTTTCCATAATTATTGTAGTATTATATATATATATATATATATAATAGTATATATAGTAGATAATAGATAAATTGAATGTGGAGAAGAAGAAAATTGGGGGGAGGGGGGGGGAAGGAAATATTTTTTTTTTTTATTATCTGTTTTTGGACTTGAAAGTGTCCCAATTAGATGGTGGTGGTGATGAATAGTTAAAAGTAGACAAGGCAAAAAAAAAAAAAAAAAAAAAAAATTTAGATAGTAGCAGTTAGCAGCAAGCAGCAACCCAAAAGAAAACTTAAAACGGTTTTTAACGTCAGCATATATTAATTATATTATAATAAGATATATAAGATATGATATATGATATATTTTTATTTATATTTATATTTATATTTATATATATATATTTATGTTTTTTTTATATGGGTGGCAAAACAAAAAAAAAAAAAATCCCTAATAAGAAAGAAACAGGGCAAAAAAAAAAAAAAAAAAAAAATTCAAGTCCGGCGGCTTTTGAGCATCTTTTTTTTTTTTGTTTTGCGGCCTGTTTTGACTTGAAAGCCAAAGCAATTTTAAGCAATTTTAAGCAATTTTAAGCAAATATATATATATATATATATATTTTTTTTTTTTTCTTCTTTCAATCAATATCACACTGAAATAAGTTGGAGTCCACATTTGTGAGGTAATTGTAGATTAGAATGGCGATAAGAATAAAAATAAATAATAAAGTTACTATTGGTAAGGTATACATATTGTACAATAATAACAATTTATTTATTTTATATATTTATAAGTAAGTTTAGACAAGCTTATCGGTTTACCGTAGTAGCACCCAACCGAGGTCGATAAACATTGGAGAGTCAATTAAAAGATTAAAAGACTCTTTGCAATGGTCTCAAGAATATTTTATATATATATATATATATATACAGACAAAATTTAAACTTAAGGAACGGCCCGCTGAACTGAGACGAGTCTGAAAATAAAAAAATAAAAAAATAAAAAAAATAAAATGTGTTGTTGCACAAGTCCAATTGTTGCACTCAAACTGGTCGACCATCTTAACTTTTTTTTTTTTTTTTTTTTTTCTTTACAAGTTAGGCAGGTGAGAATAACCTCAATACAATCATTTTGTTTTTAAATATATAAAATAGAAATTGACAATTTTTAATATATATATATATATTTATATATATAATAAAAAAAAATCCATTTTAATTAAGCTCATCATCAATTGGGGACATGTTTTTTTTTTTTTTTTTTTTTTTTTTTTTTAAATGTATTCCTTTTGGTCTAACTAAAATGCTTAACTTTTTTTTTTTTTTTTTTTTTTTTTGGGCTGCACACACACACACTTTTGACTTCTTCTATGATATTAATAAACAGGTAGAAAATAAAATGTCCTTTTTTTTTTTTGTGATTTTCTAAAAAAACTATAATAATAATAATAATAATAATAAATTTTACTACACTGTGTGCTACTTTTGTAACTGCTTGTTAACCCCGCCGTAACTGGCAGACTATAAAACCACAGCCATATCCGCATCTTTCCCGTTTTTTTTTTTTTTTTTTTTTTCCCTTTTCCTTTTTCTTTCTTTCTTTCTTTCTTTCTTTCTTTCTTTCTTCTTATCATAATTTTTTTTTTATCAGTAAACTTATCTATTTATTTATATCTCATATATATACCAACTTCTTATCAACAATTCTCCAGCTCATATAACTTATACCCTCAATGAAACTCACTGCCATTACCCTCGCCTCAACATTGGCAGGCTCTGCTCTTGCCGGAGTCCATAAGTATGTTTAATTCCTCATCGGTCTTTATACGATGGAATTTTTTTTTTTTTTTTTATTTGCTAACTTTTTTTTTTTTTTTTTTTTGTAGAGTCGATATTAAGAAGATGGACACTAATGCTCGCTACCATGGTGTATGTAAAGTTTTATTTTTTATTTTATTTTATTTTATTTTTTAAAGATATATATTTCTAGTTTGAAATTGTTTTTAACACCATTTCATAGGAAGCTTTCCAGGACCATCTTCGCTCTCTTGGACAAAAGTACATGGGCTTGGCCCAAAAGTACGGTGCTAAAGACAGCCAAGTTCCCTTTATTGGAAACAATGTGAATGCCGATGGCGACTATAGCGTGCCTCTTGGTAACTACCTTAACGTTCAATACTTTGCCGATATTACCCTCGGAACCCCTCCTCAAGCTTTTAAGGTTGTTCTGGACACTGGCTCTTCCAACCTATGGGTTCCTGGCGCTGATTGTAACTCAATTGCTTGCTTTTTGCACAGCCGTTATGACTCTTCTGAGTCTTCCTCCTACAAGGCCAATGGCACGGAGTTTTCCATCCAGTACGGCTCTGGTAGCGTGTCTGGTTTTATTTCTCAAGATACCTTGACCCTGGGCGACCTTGTGATTCCCAAGCAGGACTTTGGTGAGGCCACAAATGAGCCTGGCTTGGCTTTTGCCTTTGGCAAGTTTGACGGTATTCTCGGTCTCGGCTTTGACTCAATTTCCGTCAACCATGTTGTTCCTCCCTTTTACAATGCTCTCAACCAGGGCCTGCTGGACGAGCCCGTCTTTTCCTTTAAGCTTGGCGATGCTGATAAGGATGCTTCTGATGGTGGTACTTTTACCATTGGTGGCACTGATAAATCTCTTTACACTGGAGACATTACTTGGCTTCCTCTTCGTCGCAAGGCTTACTGGGAGGTTAAGTTTGATGCCATTTCCCTGGGTGGCGAAACTGCCGAATTGGAAAACACTGGTGCTGTTGTTGACACTGGAACTTCGCTCTTGACTTTCCCCTCTGCTCTTGCTGAAATGATTAACTCTCAGATTGGTGCCACCAAGGGCTGGAATGGTCAATACACTGTTGACTGTGCTTCTCGTGAATCTCTTCCTGATCTCACATTTAATTTTGATGGATTTAACTTTACTCTTACTGGCTTTGAGTACACTTTGGAAGTTTCTGGCTCGTGCATTTCAGCCATCACTCCTATGGATTTCCCTGAACCTGTTGGTCCTCTTTCCATTGTGGGTGATGCCTTTTTGCGCAAGTATTACTCCATCTATGACTACGGCAAGAGTGCTGTTGGTCTGGCCAAGGCTGCCTAGAGTTTATACATGTATAAAATTACCTCTTTATTGATGATGATTGTGTGTGTGTGTGTGTTTTTTTCTCCCTTGTGTATTAATAATATTCATAATAATAATAATAATAAATACTAATTATTAGAAGCATGAGATAAATCAAGATAGTTGTATCATTATTATTATTTTTTTTTTGTTCTTTACTTATATTGCTGGAGTTTTTTTTTTGAGTATTGGTGACGCTGCGGCTGCTTTTGCTTTTGCTTTTGCAACTGTTACTAGTACTAGTACTACTATTGAAGATAATTTTGTTGGTGCTACTACTGTTGGTGCTATTACTACTACTATTACTGCTGCTGCTGCTGCTGCTGCTGCCGCTGCCGCTATTCATGATGTTGTTATTTTTTTTGATATTTTTATTATGATGAAGTTTATTATTATTATTATTATTATTATTATTGCTGGAGTCTGAAGATGAAGCAAGTCAAATATCCTCCAAAGATCGGGTGATTTCGTCTAGCTCGTTCTTTGCAACCTTGTACTTTTCGTCAAGCTCCTCATACTTCTTTTCCCAATTCTCAATTTCCTGCTCCAAGCTGGTAACTTTACGTTCAAAGTGGTCAGCCTTAACATCAACCTGGCGAAGCTTTTCAGTTGTTTCACGC